AAATGATTCGGAAATCTATGATTTGAATTCTGATTCATGGAGGCGGCTTCTTGATAATGATCACTCTCTAGAGTTGACAGTTCAATACTCTGGTCACAGCGTGTCTTTAAAGGGTAACATTTACCGGTTTTATGGAGAGGAAACAGGAACCAAATCCTTGCTTAGATTTGATTTTGCAACTGAGAAATCCGAGATTCTGCCTCTTCCTTATCAGTGTGATAGTTATGATGCCAAGATTCTTTCCGTTGTTGGAGAAGATAAGCTTTCTGTGTTGTTAAAGCGGTGTAGAAAGGGTTCCAAGACTGAGATTTGGGTTACAAATGGGATTGATGACACCACCAAAGCTGTTTCTTGGACCAAGGTCTTAGCATTGAATTTGAGCAGGGAGCTTCAAATTACTGATCGTGGAAGTTTCTTGCTCGACGAGGAGAAGAAAGTCGTCCAAATTTGCGAGAGATGGTTCGACAATGGAGACGACGAAAGCTATAACAGTGACATGCTATACGTTGTTGGGGAGGGTAAAAAAGACTTGATAACCGTTTATGAAGTACCTGATATAAGAGTATGTTGGCCTGCTATTCTGAATTATGTTCCAAGTTTTGCCCAAATCAAGCTAGCTGGAGGCAAAAGGAAAAGAGGTCACTGAATAGAAGCTCTACATGTAAATCTCCTTTTTTTTTTCTCTTAGTTATCTTGGTCATGTTCTTTTAGTTTCAAGCTTTTCTTGTTCTATGAAACTCATGAGATACTCTCTTATTGTGGTTTAACCTAAAGTTAAGCAAAATAAGTCTATCAATAAGAGATCCTTTAATTGTCACTGATGCATCAGGGCACTATTAAATTTTGACCAGCACTGCATCTTCCTCTCATATTAATAAGTTCTGTATCATCTGTCTGTTTAACAACCTAACGATCAGCCATTGTTTAGGGTGATTGCATGGTGAAGCATTTGTCAATTATGTAGCATAACTTATAGCTGTAAGAGCTTGTGCCTGCACCTTTGGAATCTGACTCTTATGGTTTATGTAATCTCTAGCTTCAACTCTCAATGTCTGCTGCCATGGTATAACCTTATGTATTTTCTCTGTTTTCATTGTGCAAAGAGCATGAGTGCTCTATAGAGTGCATCGGATAGCATGATTGCTCTGCCACAGTATTTCAAAAGCTGTAGATCACACGACTGTGAATCAGATAGCATAAAATGAGACTAGAATGTGTCTCCACTTCCTGTCTTCTTAAAAGACAAATTTCATTATATGCTCAACATCACCAGCTATAACGTCTCTTTCTCGATTCAGTCTAATGTTTCTGCTCCATGTTGTTCTGTTCTACTGTGGATTCAATCTCCCCTTAAGTAATTTGTCTCTGTCTTCCTCTCAAGCTCAATTGCTGTGACAACACAATTGATAGAAGCTAGCAAGGGATAACTCATCAAGACCAAAGCCATACAAGTAGATCAACTGATCAAGTGAAAGAAGTCAGTACCACTTGTTTTTCTTTTTCATCAATCTGTTTAGCTTTACACATTTGATCATTCGAGTTCAAGACGCTCGGTTTCGTTCTCTTCTATGCATTTTGATATTCCTCTCTGACAAGTATTTGTGTAAGAATATAGGCTAGTTATTTGGAGGAATTTGCGTAGAATTCCAATTGATGTATCATACCTTGATTATTACGATCTTTTGGCATGTTTCTGAGCTACAATGCTTTTCCTACTGTCATTTACATCAAAGCAATCCCAATCCGTATTGAGTAGGCTCTGGAGAAATCAAAGGATGTCTACGTTTACCTCTACTTCAAGCAAATCCAGTCGTGATTGAATTCGACTGGGAGATTCAGAACTACCTTAGTTCTAAAGTGAAGAAATGTCAGCATGATGTTGAGAAGCCTTGCTTTATGGATATCTGTAGCTTGTCTGAACTCTGGGTTTAGGACTGTTGAAGCAACTACTTTCTGCATCATAATAGAGTCGTTTTGGATTACGCAATCTCAAATTTTCTGTTATGGACCTTCTCCTTCCGGTGTGAAAGATACTTCTTCCTTGAATGTATAGAGCTTCCACACAATCTACTCTTACCTGCCGGAAAGTGTCTATGGGAGATTATGTATTCAAAGAAGTGATGATGAAGGGGTCTCTTCCCGAGTGGATCAATTGGCAGAAAAAGAGTGTTCATGTTCTCGGTTTTGGCGTTTTAAACAAGTACCTTCCAGATCAATCTTCCGCTTTCAATTTTGATCCGGTTAACAATCCTCGGGAAAGCTTGAAGCAGTCAAGTTCTGTGTTTTTTGTTTAAAAAGTTTTAGAAGTAGTTGCTCACAAAGATTCAGCCTGCAAATGCGACGAGGTGAACTTATTGAACCTCCCTGATGACGACGAATACAAATTCCAGAGAAGCTTTAAATATCTCAACCTCAGGTATCTCTCTGCTCACACAAAAGGGATGCTCGTTGGGTTTTTAGATTCATAACCGCAGTCTTTGAGAATATCAATTCACTGACAAGCGTTTTCGACATTGCATTGAGGGAAACCCGGTGTTGAGCTCGTTGGTCCTGTTCTCCCACTTCCAGGAACTCATGGATGTCTCAGTTCAGAACAAGATTTCTCGTCCGAAGCAGAGTTCTCTAACGAATGCAATCAAATCTCCAAAGCCACCACCTATTAAAAAAGGGGAAGGACAAAATTTGCTAACGTTTCGAACTCGCCACATGTTAAATACACACAACCGACTTAACCGCCAGCCTACTATGAAATATTAAACATCTTTCAGCCGTTAAATATATTAAATAGAGCTAAAACCGCAAACCCAAGTGGGTTCTAGGCCGGCACTAGATCAGACCAAAGATTAGCTAACTAGCTTAGTATTTACCTAAATACAGTGACTACAGTCTGTGAAAATATTTACGAGTTGAATCTATGAAACGATAGTGTCATATATTATTTGGTTGAAAAGTCTACCGTTTGTTACGTATAAAGTAACATTTTTATACAATGTTACTCTTTTTGTTTTAAAATATAGGATGAATTTTAAAAATCAAATATTAAATAATAGTTTTAATAGAAAAAATAAATGTTCTTAAAGTACTGTATGTGCTATAAACCAAAACATCATATATTTTTAAACAGGGTGAGCATAAAATTTGATTACCAAAAATAATTGGTTGTGAAAATGATATAATAAAATTATTTTACAATAAATTGATCATGTAATAAGGCAAAACAATTCAATTCAAAAAGTGTGTTAAAAAAGAGAAAAAAATAGTCAAACATAATCAACAAAAATACACTATAATGTTGTACAAAAAAGGAACATAATGAATTAGTCTTAATATTCAAGTAGTTAACATGTTGTTTGATCAAATGTCTCATAGAGTTGTGTTTTCATTATTCTAATGTAAATGATTTCTGATATCAAAGAAGAAGAAGCAAATCGAAACTCTATAGAAAGAGGTGGATAGCTTAGGTGTCCAAATATAATACATACATGTGATGATGTCACTCGTAAATCAAACATAGAGCATACTGGAAAAAGAGCTAGCTTGTCTAGAGATTAAAAGCAAGATTTACTTGGAAAGAGATCAGAATTGGCATTTCTCTTACGATATCTAGAAAGTGTTGTTGCTGGTGCTGTATTCATAAGATAAATCTAAAATCGTATTATTTACAGCGCTTTTTTTGTTTCTCATTTTAACAAAACTTAATGTCTCATTTTTTGTTTGTTGTATTTTCACAGTGGAAGCCACGTGGAGGATTATCTTCATCAATAAGCTTTGCATGTTACATAGGTAACAACCTATTGGTTTATGCATCATTCATTGATGGAAATATTGTTGTCTTCGATGCTGCATCCTTGAGTCTCAGAGCTCGCATTGCTCCATCAGCTTACATGCTTGAAGCAACACCCAACATTCCACATGTGCTTGCGGCTCATCCTACAAAAGCCAAGCAGCTAGCCATAGCCAAAACTCCTTTTTCTCTTGTGAAAAAGCGCTACAATCACGAGGTCTCTGTTCCCCACCAACAATTGACGATTCCAGGCAATGTGTCAAGTGCAGAGCAGCATGCAACATTGTGTGCCAACTCCACAGCTTTGGCGCCCACTGAAGTTGATCCCACTCTCTCTGCCAACAAGTGACTATTCCATGTGTTGGTCTGAAGCCAAAACTCTTGGTTGTTATTTCAATTTCAAGCCTTTCTTTCTTTTTTAATTTTGCTGCCAACAAGTGATTATTTCATGTGTTGGTCTGAAGCCAAAACTCTTAGTTGTTATTTCAATTTTAAGCTTTTTCTTTCTTTTTTAATTTTGCTGCCGACAAGTGACTATTCCATGTGTTGGTCTGAAGCCAAAAACTCTTGGTTGTTATTTCAATTTCAAGCTTTTTTTGTTTTTTAAATTTTGCTTGTGTTTTTTTAAGACATCATGTTGCTTAACCTAAAGTTGAAGAAACAAGACTATTGATAATTGTCACTGCTGCATCAAAGGCGCCACTAGATTTTCCCTACACTGCATTTTCCTCTATTATTAAGTTTTGTCTCGTGTGGTTGGTTGCTCTTAATTGAAAAGAATAAATTTGACTCCATCCATTAACGGTTTCTTCTTGTAGTTCTTACGCGAATCCTCTACTGCTATCTCCCATGGATTCACATCTCCAACCACTACTTCACTTACCTATTGGTTTGGTTCAGTTTGGTTTTGTACGAGAAATTTGGTTAGACCTAGGCATAATATCCGAACTCGAAGAACCGACCCGAACCCAACCCGAAAAGCCCGACCCGAATCCGAATCCGAAGTTTTAAAATATCCGAACGGATTTTAAACTTCACTACCTGAAAACTCTTGGTTTGGTTCAGTTTGGTTTCGTACGAGAAATTTGGTAATTGGTTAATTCAGTTACACAATAAATCTGTCCAAATTACATTTCGGTTCGGTTAACGAGAACCAAAACGATCCATATATTAAAAAAATTGCGCCGACCATATTAACCGATCATTAATACTCGCCGCCGATCTCCGTCGAATAACCCTATGGAGATGATTACCGATAAATGGGGACGCAAACTCTGCATCTCCTCCTCTCCCGAAGAATCCATTGGTCCTTTCTTCTCGAACCCATCAGTTTCTCAGCTTCTCTTCTCTTCTCCCTCACTCTCTCCTCCGATTCTCTCTACTATCCCTCACTTCTCTCCCGCGCGTTTTCTCTCCGTCTCCGGCGTCCCTCCGTCGGATTCTTCCGCAATCCATTCCTCTTTCAAAATTCTCAATCCGCACGATGATACCGCTAGGGTTCTCTCCTACAATCGCCTCCAGTTTCTACCTTTCCCTAGTAAAAATTCAGTCTTGGTGTTTTTCCCCACAGGGACTAACCTTGATCAAATTGGGTTCTTGCTGCTTTCTACCGGAGATTCCGGTGGTTTACAAGTCACGGGTTCGGACGAAGGTGACGTCTTTGTGGCAACAGAGAGATTATTTTCTCGAATTTTGAAGATTTTGGTGCAACCTGTTAGTGATTTTGGAGCGTATAAGTGTTCTTCTTCTGGCGAATTGGGATACGTTTTGGTTTATTCTTTGTATTCGATTCATTGGTACTGTGTCAAGTATGATGAATCTCAAGGTAAGCCGGTTTTGAGAAACTTGGGGTCTAAGCAGTTTAAGAGGTTTATGATTGTGAGCGCTTCTTGGAGCCCTCATGTTACTGGAGAGTGTCTACTCTTGTTAGACAACGGTGAGGTCTTTGTGTTTGATTTGAATCAGAGACATTGTAGAGTTAGAGGTTGCAAACTGAGAGTTTCTTGGGAGAGTCAAGGGAAATCAGTGAATAAGAGTTGGTTAGGGTGTGAATTTGGTTGGAGAGTTGGGGTTTATATCGTTGCTCGGTCTGATGCAGTCTTTGTTATTACCAGAAGCTCTGAGAATTGCAGTGTGAGATGTTTATTGGAAGTTGAGAGTCTGAATATGGTTGAAACAGAAGTGTTTGTTGGGTTTGCAAAGGCGGGTAGTGACAGTTTTCGGTTTATTCTTGCTTCCCAGAGCTATGTATTTCTCTGTGATCCGAGATCAGGAGTACCCTTGTTGAAATGGCAGCATGATGTTGAGAAGCCTTGCTTTATGGATGTTTATAGCTTGTCTGAACTCAAAGTTAGGACCGTTGAATCAAATACTTCTTGCGTCATAATTGGGTCGTTTTGGAATGCACAATCTCAGATGTTCTGTTATGGACCTTCTCCTTCTGTTGTGAAGGATGCTTCTTCCTTGTATGTATGGGAGCTTCCACACAATCTACTCTTACCTGTTGGAAAGTGTCTATGCGGAGATTGTGTATTTAGAGAAGTGATGATGAAGGAGTCTCTTCCCGAGTGGATCGATTGGCAGAAAAAGAGTGTTCTTGTTCTCGGTTTTGGCGTTTTGAACAAGTACCTTCCACTTGGGTCATCAGATCAATCTTCCGGGTTTACTTTGATTCGGTTAACATCCTCCGGTAAGCTTGAAGCAGTCAAGTTTCGAGCTTCTCGTTTAAAAAGTTTAGAAGTAGTAGCTCATAAAGATTCGGCCTGCAAATCCGACGAGGTGAACTTACTGTACCTCCCTGATGACGAGGAATACAAATTCCCGAGTCGATATGAATATCTCGAACTCAACTATCTCTCTGCTCACGCAAAAGGGATGCTCGCTGGGTTTTTAGATACAAAGATGAGGACAAAATCATCAGATTTGCAGAAGAGTAAATCTTTCAGCTTAATCTGGCACGAGGAGTTATGTAAGAAGTTGAAGATTTGCGGATTTGGTAGAGGCAGATCTTCCTCTAGCATAACCGCAGTCTTTGAGAATATCGATTCACCGACAAGCGTTTTCGACATTGCATTGAGAGAAACCTGGTCAAGCTTACCTATAGAGATTTTGTTGCTTGCATTCTCCAACTACTCTGAGTTTGCAGATGTTCTGGTAGACAAGAAAAAACCGTCTCTCGAGTTCTTAGTTGTTCCAGAATTCCCACAGTTACCACCTTTCTTGTTAAGGAAACCTTCAAGCCGGAGTAGCAAATGGTCAAAGAAGGAGCAACCCGGTGTTGAGCTTGTTGGTCCTGTTCTTCCACTTCCAGTTCTCATCACACTCCATGAGTTCCGTAACGGATGTCTCAATTCAGAACAAGAGTTCTCGCCCGAAGCAGAGTTGTCTAACCGATGCAATCAAATCTCCAAAGTAACCCGGGAGCTTGCAAACTCAGGTCGAGACGAGACAACCATTTCACTTGACGATGACCTAGACGATGAAATGTGGCCCAACAGTGATTCACAGAAGGAGAAAAAGACGTTCATTGCTTATTGTCCGATCACAAAGACAGCTGATTCAGATAGTCTACAGCAAGAAGTCACTACGTTTGTCTCCAGAATGCGTCGTTGTAAAGAAGGTGATGATAATGCTGGAGGAAGAACAGGGCTTGAACTGTTCGATGAGTTGTCTCCGGTCGAGATTTGCTTCGAAAATCGGGAAGTGAATTTCGACACTAAAGCTTTGCTATCTTCCAAGACGTTTCTCTCTCAATGGCAGCATCGATCATCTTCATATCAAGAGTTTCTTTCTCAGTACCATCTTAAAAAATGAGAGATATCTCCCAGTCCCACGGCTTCACCCATCAATTTTGTAATTTGAGGATTATCGTAGGTTTCTTGGTATTCTTGTCTTGTAACCAAACTGGTACGTAAATATATATACATCTAGAAATTTTCGTTTTGAAAATTCAAATTACGTAGTAATTACCATTTGAAAGACTATCAAAATAGCAACATATTGAGTTATCAGTTACCTAATCTGGCTAATCTAATTTTATATGATGAAAAATCATAACTGATTAAAAAAAATTGTATCTATCTATTTATTATACATGGATTTAGTTGCATAATCGCATGCGTTACAAAATGAAACAAAGAGTTGGTTAAAAGAGTCTGGTATTAAACTGGTCCTACTTTGGGAAGGATAACAAAAACTGTTATTACTTCTTTTTCTTCTCTTTTGTAAGTCGTAAGATGGATCCTAACCCAAACGGAGATGGACCACCGATCACCGGAGCAATCCAAAAACTTCCTCCTCTTCCGCCACCATTTTTTCCGGCGTGTTTTTGTGGCCTGAACTGATACGAGCTGCAGCAGAGAGATGAAGGAGGACGCATATGAGATGATTGATTCACCCCTGGACGTGGGACTCCATGTCTCTGCGAGCTATGCTTGTTAATGTCCCTAAGCATTTCCCTCTTCGAATTCATCACTGATCCTGTGGAATTGCTTCTCGTTAAACGAGGAAACGAACAGATCAGACTCTTCTTTATATCGCAGTTAAGGCTTGAGCTTCTTTTGAAGCTCCAAAACGACTTTGATGATTTCTCTGCCTCTGAATCCGAATTGGCAACGCTCCCTCGACCATTTACGCTTCCACGAGTTTCTTTCACGCTGTATTTTATCGAGTGTTCAGGCAATGGTAAAGGCAGAGGAGGAAGATAGGAAGATAAGGATGGAGCAGAGACAATAGGAGGGAGCTCATATTTGTAGAGACGTTTTGGCATGGTGGATCCAGCTGTTACTTGGAAAGGAAGGACCGGGAGGATCATGCCATCTGCAAAGATCTCGTCGGCTGGTGAGGAATCTTCAGGATCAAAGTTTCTTGAGATGTGGAACTCGAAATCTGAGTTTGATGAATCTAAAAGAGTTGTGTCTCTTCGAACCGGGCCTGATGGTTGTTGTTCCATATGAGATCCTTTATCGGACTGGCCGAGATCACCAGCAAACGAAATCCGCTGGTGGTTTGACTCCGTGCAGATCATGATGGTCCTTTTTGCTGGAGTTTTCAAAACAAATTAGTGAAACCAAAGAGAAACAGAGAAATGATGAGTAAATGAAAACTAACTTTTGTTTGGCGGAAAGATGAAACTCTGCTCAGAGACTTTCTTTTTGCAGGACTGTGCCAAAGAAAGAAAGTACCAATCTTGGTGAGCAGCGATCAAAATCAAGACATCATAAAGTCAGATAAAGCGTGAATGGGGGAGATGTGAAGGAAGTAAGGTTTCCATGAGAAGATGATGAAGGAAAGGTTTAGGTGAACATGATGTTTGGAAACATTTGAGATTAAACGCATAAGTCTATGGATTAGAGGTTGAAAACTTCAATTAAATAATGGATGTGGTGTGCCACTACTAGTGCAGGAAACAATGGCTGAGAAAAAAGAGCATAATATCTAATAAGATTTCAAGGGTTTGAATATATTACATTACCTCTTACTTTAGGCGTCCAACGGACTGTTTATTCTTTCTTTCTTCCTTCTCTGTTTCCCACGCAGTTTACATTGCTTGTGGAGTGTGGAGCCTCCTACTCGCCACACAGCATATCCGTTATCAGCATATGATCATCCTTGCATTAGCTTGCAAAAGTTAAACTACATTGTTTTTTCTTTTCCATACAACAGTTAATAATGGAACATCAAATCAATATGTAAGAACCTGATTGCAGCTAGTAACAAAAGTGTCCCAGTTCAGGTGTTCAATAAATGGAGAAAGGAAGCTGTCTATAAAAACCTTGGGAATGGTGAGATATTGTAAAAGGAAAGCTTGGTCTGACCCTGCAAAGTTGTCAAAATTATCTAACAGCACAAACACTGTTTCTCAGCAAGTTCTTGACACAAACATGCTCAAGAACAGAACAGGATCAGAATTTTGGCATACTCTTAGCAAGATACTAATTTAAGTAACTCCTGAGCTGCTAATAGAAAGAAACAAGACAAACTAAATTAAGAAGAACAAGATGTAAGAAAGTTGCAGAGAGCTGCATTATTGATAACAAAAAAAAACAGCCTGGAGATTCCATTACCACGGAGATTACAATTAGCTTTTGGTAACGGAAAAAAAAAAAACCCCAAGTTGTCTCTTTTACAACAAAAGAAGAATATTAAAGAAACCAAGTAAAATTGGCTTCTTCATTCACTAAAACTGAGCACATTGCTACATATAAATTTTCTTCCTTTTTTACAACGAAAATGACAAAGTAGAAAAACAAAGTTGATACATTTTCTTGGATAGAAAAGAGAAGCTGACCCCAAATTTGAAGAAACAATAAACAAACTTCATGTTTCCACAGCCTCAGGAACATCGTAAGACTCTGCTGTTACTTCTTCTGCTAACCACAATCCTGGAAATAGAGTCTGCAATGAAAATTCAAAATTGAATTCAGAGTCAAAACAAAGATCAATTGTGTATGTGAGAGAGAAGAAGAAGAAGAAGTTACATTCATTTGCTTCTGAACCAATCTCGGTCTCTTCTTTGGTCTTCTAGGAGGTCTTTTACCAATTAAGGCTGAGAAATCTTGTTCGATTTCTTCTCTCAACAAAGAAACAGAGAATTTCACTTTCTCATTCTTGTTCTGTGAATCACCATCACCACCATCTTCGCTACCACCTCTCTTAACGCCAATTTCATGTCTCCGTAGAGAAGAAGAAGACTCGATGATCCTGGTGGATTCATCACCAGGTTCGTTACAAGCAGCTCTTCTGGTCCTCAAATTCCACGGCCGAGCAGCTGCAGCAACAACATCGCCGTTGTTGTCACCTCCATTTCCCAAAACGGAGAGCTTAGGTTTGTTGGCATCGTAGACGAGATCGACCCTGAGCTCTCCAACAAGTCCACCGTTGTGAGATCTATGATCGGGAGAAGGAGAAGAAGAAGAAGGAGATCGGTTGTGGTGAGGAAGCTTGACGCAGCGGAGGAATCTTTGCTGACCCCATCGGAGATAAGGTAAGGTGAAGTTATGGAGGCGTTTGGATCTTTCCGGTGGAGGAGGAAGCTCCATTGATTGATTTTTTTGGTTTCTCTCCGCCGTGGGAAGATGGAAGATTCCTTTCTTTCTTTTTGTTAACAAATTTGTTTTTGGTGAGCTTTCTTCTCTCTTTCCTTTGGAGCAACTTCAAAGTTTTTTTTTTTTTTTCTTTTGGTTTTCGTTTGTGTATTTATTCTCACGAAATTTTTATTTTATTTTAATTTCTGTTCGAATTATTCGGAGAGAGAGAGAGAGTTAGGGACGCGATTGTAACGTTGTACTCGTTTTTTTTCCGACCCGTCTAAAACCAGCTTCACAACTTTGTTACTATAAAATACGTTTTTTTCAAAATTTAGGGGGATGAGTGTTTTAGTTAGAAAACTAATTTTATTATTTTCTATAGAGCTTTTGATCATTGAGATTATTATTTTTTTAATAATTTTCTATAGAACTAATTAAAGTTCAATATATTATTGAAGGAATTATAAAGTATTTTTGGCTCTCTTGCTGCTTTTTTCTTTTCATTACACAACAATGATGGGTTACGTTACGTATAAAAGAAACAGTGTTAGAAAACTTGCTTCTGAGGATTTCACCGCCCGCTCCGATTCGGTTAATTTTGTCAGCTTTTCGATTTTAGTTTGATTTCTGATAGTAGTTAAATAAACAAACTAAATCATGCTATCGAAATCAATATTACATCATCTCATACAGTGAAATGTCCTTTTCTTTTAACCAACTCTGATTATTTTCCCTCGCGAAAATTTAAAAACTAGAAGTATTGATTTTTATTTTATTTACATCAACTAGAAGTATAGGTAAGAAGAGTCAATAAAGTTTTCTATTAAAAACTGTAACTATTTACACTCTTCAAAGAAAAAGTCTCAGCTTAATGCAAAAACAAATAGCGGATTATGAGGAAGAGAAGGACGAAATGGTATGGGATGTTCCAGAAACAAACGATTTTTGGCTTTGTCCAAGCCAAAATGTATAGTAAGGAAAGGTAACCTAAATAAAGACTCTTCAAAATCTTAATATCTCAGAGACTATACAAATAAAAATCTATCAGAACGGGCTTCTTCAAATTGTTGTGCGAAACAGAAAGTAAAACCCGAAAAAAAGGAGTAAAAAGTGAGTGAAACCTCTCAGTGTTTTCAGGATGAGGTTGAGCAGTCTGGGGGGGTTGTTTCGGACTTGATCACACGGGTATTGTAAGAACCACAGCTCCCGCATTTATGGTACAACCAATGGAACCGTGTAGTTCCTTTGCGTTCACAATCATTACATAGAATGTCCTGAAACATTTGTGTGTGTGTGTCATGAAATGACTAGAGTAAATGAAATAGTCAAGAAGCAGCAGTTTTATTGTTTCTCACCTGACAGCGATTTTTATATTCCTCTGGAAGTTCTTCTGCAGCTAACAGTGCATCAAGCATACCGAAATAAACCTGTGGAGTTTGCAAAAGAAACGAAGGAGAAAAGGTTCAGTGAACGATATTTGTGTGATGTGATTTGCAAATTACGCTCTTGAGGGGCGGGGAGCATCTTACAGCCATATCTCCTAATGATTTTCCACAGATTGGACATGTGTAGTGGCTGCAAGTGTAAGCCTGAAAGACCGGAGTAACAGTAAGTGTTTTGATTTTAGGCGATAAAAGTGAACTTAAGTTTAATGAGAGAAAGAGAGATTTGCAAACCTGGAAGCAAGCTGAGTGCATGTAGTGACCACATGGTAAGGCTCTAACTGCTTCACTCGATGTGAAAAGAAATTCGCAGCAAATGGGACAATTTGTCTCGAGGCTCTTCTCGAGGCACTTGTGGTTTACTAGTTTCATCCCCAGGCAACAGTTACATGTCATGCAATGGAAAAAATCGATTCCTAGTCCTTCCCCGACCCGGCAAAGGTTGCAGAATGGACAGTGGTAAACAGCCCTGAAGGCAGATAATTGTTTCTGAAGGTTAGAATAGCTTCTGAAGTTTGATTTTTGACAGTGGTAAATTGATTCGTTTATGCATCAAACTGTTGGGTTTTGCTTACCTTTCATCATCAAAAAGTTTGCAAATACTGCAATAGTGCTTTGCCATTGGGAATCCGTCGCATGAAGGTGTTGTGCAGATGGGACCAACAGGTTGCACCTTGAGGCACCGCATACAGAGCATTTCCGTCACCAATTTTCTGTAATATGTTTCAACAAAATCACATATCACAGAGAGAGAGAAAAATACGAAAAAAAGAAGTTTCAATTTAATTAGGGGAGATTGGCATAAGATCTTACCTATCCATGGAGTGGTCGCTTACTTTGTCATGGCAAAACCTACAAGTGAACAACTGATCACAACAAGCAGCTCGAAGCTTGCAGTTACGCTTGTAATGCTCGCATCCATATATCTGTTTCTCGGGATCTCGAAAAGACGGGGAACATCCAAGTTCAACTTCACCATTTAATGCAGTTTCTGTTTCCTTAGGTAACTTTTGCTGAGCCGCAATCCATCGACTGATAAAAGCACCAACAGAAGAAATTTAAAATAAATGTTACTCTAGAACAAAAAGGATTCGGGGTATGAGGGACATGTGAATGAGATTATAGGTTCTCTATAGTTCAGAAGACTGTTTAATGAAGGACACACACACATATACATACACGGGAAAATAAAATGAGCATATTATTTCGGCTTAGGAAACCGGGAAAGACAGGAGCACCCCTTATACTCTTCCACATTGCAAAAAACAAGTTCAAGTAATACAGGGAAATGTATTATCGCTTTGGGGTGTTCTAAGTTTATGTCAGGTATGGTGTATGCATGAAAATGTGGAATAAAGGATCCATGCATGGAAATAGTGAAAGAAATCTGACCTGGTCCTCCAATTTTGTACGAGATAATCTTTTCTCCTCGGATCAAGTGTTGAGTCCTGATAAACCTTCCTGATTTCAGCCTCTAGTTCGTTCTGATTCATGCGGAAAATATCTTTCCACCCCGGCTTAAATAGTTCACCAGTTTGGTCCAAGATTTCTTGATGATCATTATCTATATGGAAAATAAACTTGACATAAGCAAAAAAAACTTAACAAAGAGAAGCTACAGTAGCCAGCTTAAGTATGAGTTATGAAGTCCAAAGAAGAAACATCTAAGGCTGCATTAAACAAGTTAAAATATTAAATTGGTGAAAAATAGTTTAGCGATTGCTTTTACCTTTCTGTGGACTAGGTTTGGATGTTTCTGTTGAGGATGAGTCGGGTGATCCTTTCCAGCATTCATTAAGCCATTCATCGAACATTGTGTTCTTGGTTGCCTGCTTCCAGGTATCCATCATTCTGTTTTGCTCATCTTCAGAAAGGGCAGACGTCACCCATGGTAACATAGATTGGAGAACTTCAGCACCCGTTGTTCCGATTATACGACCCACAATCTTGTCTTGCTCTTGAATGGAGAAGTGTTTGTCAAATAGAGGCCATAGCTCCAGTTCCTCCAAGAAAATATGCTGATCCAAAGTGATTTTAATGGATTTGCACATCCCTTGTAGCTTTGTAGCCAGTTCATTGTACTTCTTCTTGCAGTCACTGTTATCGATATCAGTCTGAACAGTGTCAGTTTGAGCTATGTCCCCCATCACAGAATCACTCTGTAACTTCTCATGAAGAATTGAAAGTTCAGTAAGGACACTATAAATATCACCAAACAACTTCTCCTCCTGTTTATGGTCGAGCGTGTAAGAGTGACTGACATTGTGAAGCGTCTCCTTCGATTCCAGAGCTGGAAATAGGATGTCATCTTCTGCATTACTATGAGCCTTGTAGAAACCCCAGAGTAGGTGAAATCGACCGATAAATTGACGAATAAATGTCCCATCGCAATCAATGAGCTTTCCAGATTCAACATCAAGAAACTCTAGATCTTTGCTTATGGCCTTGTGAAACTTGAATATTGTAGCAACTGGCCGCTCGGCATGTCCAGTACCAAAGCTGTTACTATCCATTTCCCAAATAAAGAGGCTGGAATTAAGAGCGGGTGCAGCAGAGTTTAGCGAAGAAGATCTCATAGCTTTAGCTGCTGGAAGAGAACCAAGTTCCAGACAATTATTGTTAACTCCGAGATCCGGAACACAGCATGACCTACCATTTCCAGATGGCTTACACCCATTTGCAACTTCTGACGAGTGCGTGGTGGTTTTTTTTTCACAAGACAATACAGCAGTTCGCTTAGCTGGCCTTTTATCTTGATGCTGGCAACACGATTCTGTACTCCTACTCGTGCATGGAACAGACGCACAAGTATTACATGACTGAAGGTTGACTTCTTTAATGTTGCTTAGTGTTTTAACAGGGCATAAACCATTCCCGTTTGGAGACAAGCATTCCCCGGCTTTGCGTCCTTTGCATGCCCAACCAGAGAAAAGAGTAACGAGAGCAACATCTGATTTAGGTGCTGAGGCCACAAGGAAAGCATGTAATCGTGCAAAATTGTGAGTAGCTAATAATTTTGAAAGAAGGTTAAGTTTAAGGCAATACAGTAGATTGTACCTCCAGCTTGCAAGTTCTTCAGAAAATTCTTAGCTTCATCTTCTGTTAAAGATGCCGTCAACCATGGCAAAACTCGTTCAATTAGTCTCAATGGCATTATACACAGGCTTTGGTAGAGAAGTTCTTGTTGTCTTTTAAAGCTGAAGTTCTTTCGTGCAAGGGGTAGCACCTGCAAACATTACAAGTTAGTTGACATCCAGATATTGGTATCATGAATCTCATAGCATATGGTTACAACTGATCTTATGCCAAACTTTCATAGTTTCACCTGTTTACAAAATCAAATGTCACAGCACTTCAAAGCAATAGTTCACCTGAATTTCCTCGTTGTGGAAGTGTCTTTGAATAGTTTCCATTATTTGATCAGCATGTGAGCACAACTTGGTGTAAAATTCAGCAGCGGAAGTAGAAGAGGCTCCAGCACTCTTGATATTTTCAATTAAGCATCGAAACTCGTTAAACTGATTTTCTTCTTCATCGTGCTCCTCAGAAAATGAAAACTCCCCATCTACTGCTGGAAATATAATCTTGTCCTCTGCAAGACTGCAACGAGAAAAGAACAGATCATCTCAAAAATAGTCCCATGACATTTCAATCTCTGTCAGAAGACAAAAAAATTGTATGTTGATATGAACGTGTGACAAAACTCCCTTTAGAATGATAACACACTAATGCAGAAACGTGCTTAAGCATGAGAAGAGTAAAGGATAAACAACATCCATATAACTTGAAAGTAAAACACATCACAGCTGGCAAACGTGTTTTAGTGGCCATCAACATCAACTTTAAAATAAAAAAAAACTCTAGTTATTTACCTCAATAAATCGCAACATAGAATAGTCACACAAGAGATAGCCGATAAACAATAGCAAATTTGAAATTATTCTGTTTTCATTGTAAATAAAAGGATGCAACGAACCTGTGGAAGATGCACACTTCAGCAATATATTGTAAGCGTTCATCAAATGCAGATAAATCCGAAAAATCTCCAGATAGCTGAATCTTCCTAGCCTCATCGGCTATTTCTTTCATCTCCTTGTTGATTGACTTGTGCCAGAGCTTTATCTCATCAACTGGGTGCATCTGAGTATCGGATGAACCAAACTTAGTAAGCTCTGGGTACTTTCTCTTCCCAATCTTGGACCCCTCACATGCGCACTGTTCTCTACTTGCTTTACAAGGAAGCATGCTGCTAGAAGAATCTAGACAGCACTGGAACATAGAATCTTCAATGCGACACGAAGCCACAGTATTGCTTTTCCCTCCCAACCAGGTGAAAATAACCTTCGAAAAGGAAAATATCAATCAACAAGCCAAAGTCTTTCAACTTAGAAATTTGGATCTTAATTCAAAACTTACCTGCTGAAGGAGCTTCTCGCCTGGAACTATCTTCTTTAAGCACGTTTGCATCTCCTTGCTTTCATCTACTGAAATGGAGGAAGAAATCCATGGCAGGAACACAGCAAGCATATTCACAGGAATACTGCAGAGAAACCGCCAGACTATGTAAGCTTGCTCCTCATACTTGAATTTCTCAATAAGTAAGGGGAACACCTGTCAGCAAGCCAAGAACAACAGTAATTAATAAAGGCTAATGCGTAATGCTAAATACTGGATCTGTGTTAATAGAAAACAACAGAGAAACTACATCTGTGATGTGAAGGAAAACAAAAAAATACCTGTTTCTGTTCTTTTGCCAAGTGCTGGCTAACAGAAGTCTGAAGTGCTCCAGTAGAACGAGCCAACTCCCTTCGGTAACTTTCATCAGTTTCCGTGGCAGAATTCAGCAGCTCAAAGAGATGATCGAAAAGATTGCTTTCCCCCTTGTGTTCAAGAGAATATGTTTGCGCTACATTCTTCACACGTATGTCAAGAGCTGAAAATATCACCTACATCCACAGATTTGCAACCGTCAATAATTTTTCCTCATGACACAACAATACACATACAGAATCAATAAGATCTCCTATATCCAAAGCACTCAATAGAATCAATAAGATGATCAGCAAGAGACAAACAAAACTAATCGAGACTTACAAGGGTCAGTTACAAAACTAATTAAGATAAAATCAAGTCAGATTTACACAAATTTGCAGCTATATGTTGTATTACAGTAGTTTTCAAAAGCATCAACCAAAAGAAAATTTAGCATTGTTTCTAATACAAATTCATGTGGCAACCAAGAACTCCCCCATTGAGTCATCATCCATTGGTAAAACGTAAACTGTATTGAGTTCAAAATCCAAGCAGAGAGGGTTCCAAATTCTGATTTAGCAGTTTCCAGAACATGATGAGGAAAATTTAAAAAGAAGAGAGCCAGATTTTTGCATTACCTCGTCTTCGGCATTGCAGTGATGCTTATAGATGGATCTCAAGAACCGGTACCGTTCACGAAGCAGCCGGAGATCGACATGGTGACCAGTAGCAAACTCCAGCGCCAATCTGTGAAGAGTTTCAAGCTCACTACATACTGCCTTATGAAAGAACAAGAAAATCAGGATCGGAGAAATCTCTTCCGCGTCTTCCGAGAACGAATTCGCCACAGGCAACGGACGAGAGGAAGAAGAGGAAGACACAGAACTCGTAAGAACCGTGGTTGAAGAAGACGCCACTCCTCCGCCGCCTCTCGCCGTCTCAAAATCTGGTAACGGCGTCGCCATTTCCCCCAAAAGCTTATCTCCGTTTTCGTCCGCCAAAAAGAAATCTCACAGCACTTCTCTGTTTCCTTGTGATTCGTCTACGACCTTCAATTTTCAAATCTGAGCTGGGTTCACCATGGGAATTATCTGGTTTTCTTCGTGTGTGGTGGTGTTCAACGGAGACGATGAGAAGGAAAAAAGAAAGAAAGGTCGAGGCGTTGTCTGATACTCTGATATGTCGATTTTGATTTTGCTTTTGCTTTCTTTTAATTTTTTTGCCTTTTATCGTTTTATTAATGTTTATCTGGAAAATATATATATATATTTTTTAAACTGTTAGTATTATTATACGATCCTTGTAAAAATTTATACAAATGATTAAATAATGAATAAAAGTGCTTGGGGATTGGGTGGGTGTTTCTATACGTAGGTTTTGTAGCACGTGGCCATTCACATCGCCACGTCAGATGCTGATGCAACCAACCCAGGTTGGCACGTGACCGATTACATCTCGACACGTGCGAGCGTCGTACTTACGAACGCAAATGGTCCGTGAGCGAGACGGGGACGCTGGTTCTCGGAGTTAAGGACTTCAATGACTAGGGGCAAAAACGGTGTGTAATTGTGCTTACGTGGAATTCATTAGGCTTTTGTTAAAATGAATTTGATAGTTTTTGACCTCTTTTGTTTAAGATTAATAAGATATAAACAAATAAATATTGCTTTGCTAAAATGTTTATTTTATAAGTTTGAGGTTTAGCTTTCGAGCAAGCACTTTCAAAAGAAAAGATGAATTTGGCTTTGAGGTTTATGAAATAAGATAATGTAAGACAGATTCGAAACTTGTTTTAAATATTCAGGAATGACAGAGAGGAGATGTTGTAGCACCCGTTCGTAATCTAAAGGAGCCAAATAGCTAATTACCTTCTTAATTAAATTATTGCTTCACTGTTTTGCTTTGATTAATAAATGCAATTATAAAGGTTTAAACTGGTTTAATTGAGTTTGCATGTGCTCAAAGGTTTACTAGATTGAGTCAATTAATTTTGTGCGGTTACTAGAAATAATTATATTTCAAATTAGTAACAGATAGTATAAATCATGTTCATAATTCTTATGTAAAGATAAGAGACAATTCTTTAGTAATCAACAGCTAATGACGACCATATTTCACAGTCGTGGTTATACTATTACCGTGGTCTAGTTATTGGTACAACAGAAAATTACTTTCAAACTTAGAAAAAATGTTAACAACGCAAATATTTGGTAAAACTTTTTTCTAAAACGATTAAAAGTATTATAAAAATTCAAATGTGGATATATATATATATATAGATCAGTTATTTCATATTTTTATTTTTAAATAGATATGTTTACATATTAATCCAAAAAAAAAAAAAGAGTGTTATAATACATCATATTGGACTTATAACCGGGCCCAATAAGCCCATCAGGGTTATTCATTATGTACTCTAAAACCCTAGGTTTATATGCCTATATATATGTATCATTATTCATGGAATGAGAGAAAACAACAATAAGTTTCACAACACGTTATCAGCACGAGTTTGCTCTTAACAACCCTAACCCTAAAAATCGCAAAACACTGTTCACGCCGACACTGTTCATCGACACTGTTCATCGATACTGTTCATCGACACTGTTCATCGGTACTGTTCATCGACAGCGTGAGTTACCGAGATCTTAAGCTCCCGGTTCAATCCGTTCAACCCCAATTGGTGAAAGGTAAAAAAAAAAAAAAAAACAAAACCTTAAAAGCTTAAAGATCAAAAATCGAACTTGAACCTAATGCAAAGCGAAATCTTAAAAACGGATAATGATTGATTAAGTGATTGCTTTTGCTTGTATGATTCGATTGCTTGACTCGTTTAAGTTGTTAGAAAAGTTATTGCTTAAACCTAACTCTCAAAATCGAAAACATGATTCGATTGCTTGACTCGTTTAAGTTGTTAGAAAAGTTATTGCTTAAACCTAACTCTCAAAATCGAAAACACTTAGCCATGGCTGAAACCTTAAAACCTAAATCAAATCAAATCCGAAACCCTAAAAACGATTTTGCGTTTGAAAACCGCAAAATTCAAATCGTTTTCCTCAAAGGGAAACGAAAACCCTAATTCGTGTATCCCCTAAACCGGAAATCATTCTTGGTTAACCCCTAAACCCGAATATCAATTCGGTTCATCGGATAAACCGATTATCAAACCGGTTCCGAAAATAATAACCGGATCTCAATCTGGGTAAACCGGTTCAAACTGGTTATTCTAAGCCGGAAATCAATTCGGCCCAAACCAAAAATCCCTAAACCGGAATCTAATATTCCGGTCCAACTTTAAACCATTAAACCGAACTTATGTTCCGTATCCTTAAATTTTACGATTCCCGAGAAACTATCCTAAATTAGAAAGTTTCCTCAAATAGAAACTTTCCTCAAACAACAATAAGTTTCACAACACGTTATCAGCTCATGTCCAACTCAGAGGCACTGGAATGGTATCAAACACCTCCTAAGATACCTTCAGGGTACTAAAGACTTAGGGCTGTTTTACACTAACCACAACAAGGATGGACTAGTTGGCTTTGCTGATGCAGGATATCAATCAGATCCGCACAATGCCAAGTCTCAAACCGGTTATGTGTTCACGCATGGAGGAACAGCTATCTCTTGGAGATCGATGAAGCAGACAATCACTACCACTTCATCAAACCATGCAGAACTTTTGGCCATTCACGAAGCCAGCAGAGAATGTGTTTGGCTACGATCCATGACTCAGCACATCCGGTCAGATTGTGGTATGGACGAAGACAAGGAGCCTTCGGTGTTGTATGAAGACAATGTGGCATGTATCGCTCAACTCAAGGAAGGTTATATCAAAGGAGATCGGACGAAGCACATCCTACCGAAATTCTTCTCAACCTCAGATTGGCAGAAGGATGGTACGATCAGCGTTCAACAAGTCCGATCAAGCGATAACTCCGCCGACCTTTTCACCAAATCATTGCCCGCTTCAACACTCCGGAAGCTCATCCAACAAATAGGAATGCGTAGACTTAGAGATCTACGGTGATGCTCTAATCAGGGGGAGTAATGCGTGTTGTACTCTTTTTCCTTCACCATGGTTTTTCCCACTGGGTTTTCCTGGTAAGGTTTTAATGAGGCAACATTCCCCAGCGTATTATCGAGATCCCGATTGACCATCAGGTCCGGTTACTCCGTCCAAGGGGGAGTGTTATAATACATCATATTGGACTTATAACCGGGCCCAATAAGCCCATCAGGGTTATTTATTATGTACTCTAAAACCCTAGGTTTATATGCCTATATATATGTATCATTATTCATGGAATGAGAGAAAACAACAATAAGTTTCACAACAAAGAGGAAGTAGTGAAAAGTAAAAAAGACACAAGAGGGGACGTGTGGGAAGTGTGGCGACAATTGGGTAGCAACAAGTTCCACTCGCGCTCTCTTCTCCTCAACACATTCCTTTTTCTTCTTTTTTTTCTTATAACAAAAAAAAGAACATTTATTAGGGGACCAATATTGTAATAAGTATTCATTATTCTTTTCCCCGATTTCACAACAACCTAATTATTTTATAATTAGAAACAACCTAATTAATTCGCCGTTCTTGACTATAATTCTATAAAGAACAAAAACAACACGAGACTAGTCAACTTATGTAAGCATTTCAACATTGTTCCACGTAATTTTCTACGGTAACCTTTTCTTAATTTATATAGTAATTAATAAGAGATTAGATCATATATATACTATATGAATAATCATATAGAGCTTTATTTTCAATCTTTTAGGATCATAGATGGTAGGATTATTTTTCTCCCTTCTCCAATTAATGCAACGATAGAGGCATCTACGACCACCTAATTATGATCGTAGAGCTAAATGATTAAAACAATGATACTACAATTTGATACTAAATTCGATTGGTTGGTTATTTTTAATAGTGTATATGGCTGGTTTTTGTTCCGAATTATTTGGAAATTTCAAGTATCGTGCAAGTGTACAATATGCAATGGGTTGGCTTTTTATGATCCATCAATATAATGATCAATCTCTTTTCATGTATTCTTTTTCCCTCTTTTATTTTCTTTTCTTTTTTTGTCTAAGGATAATGTCTATTTGTCTCGTCTCCTCCTTTTAAATGCATCCTTACACTTATCTTGTTTCAACATTCTATATTTAAAATTTTGTTTTTACTTTATTTTTCTGGTTCCATCTGTTTTTTCCATTAGAATTGTCATTTCTGTTCATCTAGTAGATTTAGAAAAAACATATCTTTCAGTATATGTATCTACCAATATAACTTGAACCGGTTTTGCAATATTGGAAAATTAAATTTCTTGAAGTTTTTTAGGTCTAGATGTTTGGTTGACTCTAATTTTTTTGCTAATTCAATATGAGACTTGTTCAACTCCATTTTAAATTAGCACTTCGTAAGAGGGTATGTTAGTTTTAATTCTAAAAATTTGATAAAGATTTGACAAAAAAATAAATCGACTTTTTTCAGATAAGAACTTTTACTTACAAGTCTACTTTACCATATATAATTAACAAAAAAAAATTGAGAGAGAAAAATAAAATAAAAATAATGAGCATATGCGTCTCAACGTATTTTTAAAGTTTACTGCATATCAAAATTGGACATATATCGTGATTTCAAAGAAACTCATGAGAAAATATTGTATAAATATTTTTAGCCTGATTTTAAAAGTTAACTTTCTTTATATTTTGATGTGATTAGTACATCTTTAACATCAATCCCGACCAACACCTTCATCATTCATGTGTGTCTTGTTCTTAGTCAGATAACTACAAAGCCGTGTCCTCTGGAATATCTATCTGTTAGTTTCTTCTCTTTAAAATAAATACACACACAGAATTGGGTCAAATTGTTTTCAATACTCAGATTGCACTAAACAAAGATAAGACATTTCATCTCATGTGGAAATCAATGCATAACGCATTACCAGTCATGCACAACCCACATATTAAAATTCACTACAGATTATTGGTTTTTTTTTTTACTGGCAAAATTTTATTCTATACTTGATGTGTATATGCATATAGATCTTCATATTCTTAGTAAACTCGTAGTATCAATTGATAAATTTTATGTACAATATCTTGTCATTCAAAAAAATTAGTTAATATTGATATTATTTTTATTTTGAAGGCTAATATTATTGGAATTTGAATTCTGAGATTGTATGCATAAGACAAAGCTTTTAACTTCACTGTATCTGTAAAATTGTTATACCCAAACTGATATATAATGTATTTGACAAAGCTTTTGTATATACAAAACGACCTTTAATTAGAAATTTATTAAACCTTTGTTCGAATTATTTGTTTTGTATCAAAAGAATAAGGAGAAAATTTGTTCGAAATATTAATATATATTGTATTTGACCGAGCTTTTGAATATAAAAAGCTCTTTAGAAAATTTCAAAGTCTACTATAAATTCTACTTCTTTTTATCACATGATATCTTCAGAATATAAACCCTTGAATTTGATCCAAAAAAATAAGTGAAACGAGACACACAATTCATAGTAGTTTATCGTCAATATAAGAGTTATGTATATTTTCGGCTACTATATAGTTGTATCAACTTAATTATGAGCTTAAAATTTTAATCAGTTGACGTGAAACATGTCTTAAAATTTTCACATTTTTAACGTCAAATAATACTGCACAACAAATACCTTCTACATGAAAAGAATAAATATATATGACCACTAATTTTACTTTGTGCCATGTATATTATATTACACAAATGTTGTTACTTGTTGTTAGTAAAAGTACTATTAACAAATGGTTTAAGTTGACCATGTACATGACTGTTCTTCGTGTATAAAAAAAAACACACACACACACACAAAATGTTTAAAAAGAAACACAGATTCCATGTTTTTAGTGTATTAGAATTATAATTATGTGAAACTACTATACTACGTTAACTTATACATCAGAAACGTTCAATGCCGTATTTTCAAATTGGAATCTCCATGTTTATTACTATTTTGGCTCTTTATAATTAAACTAATTATGTCAACTATTTATTTAGTATGTGTGTGCTTATAAAAATATCAGATGCGTAAACAATTTGCTTTCTTTAGGAGAAACTAAAGATTTTCTTAATCAAACCGCACTTCAACTTCAACTTTATTTTTAGCCTTGTGAAAACGACAAAACCTTAATAGGTCCACGAAAACGAGAGCGTCCATCAATTCTCATTTACGCTAATTCATGTATAATTTGTTATTGCTTTTTTTTTTTTTTTTAAACATACTGTTTATGAGAAAAATGACATGATTTCTGGTCTTCTTTTAAGAATAATAGAATCTGTGTACTAAAAGAATTTTTTTGGTTAAAATTAGGAAGAGCAGTCGTTGGGAGAAATATTCGGAGGTTGGGGAAAATAGATGAAATATTCGGAGGTTATGGATATGTATAGCAATTAGCAAGCATGGTGTTTCTAGTTAGGTCGAACTATAAATATATATTAAATTTTGATATATAGTATAAACTTTAACAATAGAAAACACAATTGATGTTTAAGTTTACTGCCAAATGTCAAACGTACAATATTAAATAGCTGCATATAGGAAGATAGAGTCAGGATCGCGACTCCTTTATGTGACAAGGTATTGGAATTTTTCTCCTGATGAGGTAATTGGTTTAGGACCTTAAGTTAAAATTAATTTTGAAGTTTCAAGACGTGAAGGTATTTGTTTAGACTGATTTTGTAAAGTTTTTTGCTAATTTTGTTTCCCATCAAACATAAAGAAGACTATGAACAGTGGACACACATTTATTGACTGAAAATATTTAATCTCATAGCGAATGAAAATTTTATTCTTAAATCATTTAACAAAGAAAATAATAAAATATTTTAGCCATTAATGAAAATCAAAATTATTATTATCTGATTCATACATATGGATAATTTTTATTGGACTTATTATTATTTAGTCCCATTTGTTTCCCGTAAAGACTCTAGTCTGATGATCTCTAATCCGTGAATATTATTGGAGTTTCCTTTTAAGCCTCAGTAAATTTTCTTTACCACACAGGACATACATATATTATTATATTGACTGAAAATAATTTGACTTCATCGTTATCTGAAAATATTTATTGGATATTCTTAAGGCCCATTTGTTTCCCGTAAAAGCCCAAACAATATTTCACCATCCTCTCGAATTGATCTCCGATTTCACTCTATGTCGTCGATCATGAATCGTTTCAGATTCTGATCATATAACTTCAAGTCTTAGTTGTATCCCGATTCGTTCTCAATGGCGTCTTCAAATTCGCTCATGGACAACTTGTTCCAGCGAAGCCTCGAGGATCTGATCAAAGGTCTTCGTCTCCAGCTACTCGGAGAATCCTTTTTCATTTCTAAATCCTTAGAAGAAATCCGCCGCGAAATCAAATCAACCGATCTCTCCACTAAATCCATCGCGCTTCAGAAACTCTCCTACCTCGCCGCACTCCACGGCGTCGATATGTCTTGGGCAGCGTTTCACGCCGTCGAGGTCGTGTCCTCGTCTCGATTTTCGGATAAGAGAATCGGCTACCACGCCATTACTCAGTCATTTAACGATCAGACTCCGGTTCTGCTTCTGATCACAAACCAGCTCCGGAAAGATTTGAATAGTTCGAATGAATACGAGGTGAGTCTAGCTCTGGAATGTTTGTCTAGGATTGGAACTGATGATCTAGCTAGGGATTTAACCTCTGAGGTTTTTACGCTCTTAGGTAGTAGTAAGGTTTTGGTTAGGAAGAAAGCTATTGGTGTGGTTTTGAGGGTTTTCGATAAGTACCCCGATGCTGTTAAGGTATGTTTTAAGCGCCTTGTCGAGAATCTGGAGAGCTCTGATCCGCAGATTCTGTCAGCTGTGGTTGGAGTGTTCTGTGAACTCACCACAAAAGAGCCAAGATCTTATCTTCCTTTAGCTCCTGAATTTTACAAAATTTTGGTTGATTCGAGGAACAATTGGGATCTGATCAAGGTTCTTAAAATATTTGCTAAGTTGGCTTTGGTTGAGCCTAGGTTGGCTAAGAAGGTGGCTGATCCAATCTGTGAACTTATGAGGAGGACTGTGGGAAAGTCTTTGTTGTTTGAGTGTATTAGAACCGTGGTGAGTAGCTTGAGCGATCAGGAAACAGCTTTGAAACTTGCTGTTGCAAAGATTCGGGAGTTTCTTGTGGACGATGATCGTAATCTTAAGTACCTCGGTCTTCATGCCTTGTCGATTGCTGCTCCAAAGCATTTGTGGGCAGTTTTGGAGAACAAAGAAGCTGTCGTCAAGGCTCTGAGTGATGAGGATCCAAATGTTAAACTCGAGGCTTTGCATCTTTTAATGTCAATGGTGAATGAAGATAATGTGTCTGAGATTTCTCGGATTCTTATGAATTATGCTCTTAAGTCTGACCCTTTTTTTTGCAACGAGATTATAGCTTCTATTCTACTGGCATGCTCCCGGAACTCATATGAGATCATAGTTGACTTTGATTGGTATTTGTCTCTTCTTGGTGAAATGGCTAGAATCCCACATTGTCAAAGAGGGCAAGAAATTGGGCATCAGTTGATTGATATTGGTACGAGGGTCAAAGATGCTAGACTGGAGCTAGTTCGTGTTTCTCGAGCGCTGCTTATTGATCCTGCATTGCTTGGTAATCAGTTCTTGCATCCGATATTGTCTGCTGCTTCTTGGGCTTCAGGGGAATATGTCGAGTTCTCTAAGACCCCTTATGAAATTGCAGAGGCGCTTCTGCAACCACGTACTTCTCTCTTAGCACCTTCAGTTAGAGCAATCTACATACATTCTACTTTCAAAGTTCTTGTCTTCAGTCTCGCGGTGTACTTCTCAGCCCAGGAGCCCATTTCTTCTCCCTTGGTTGAGGAGTCTACTAGCTCTGGCTCTTCACCGGTGAATGGTATCACACACAAATCTATATCTAGTCTGGTGAATATGATTGAGATTGGGCTGTGCTCGTTATCTGGGACCCTAGATGTTGAAGTGCAGGAGAGAGCTAAGAACGTTTTAGGATTCATCGGTATGATAAAACACAAAATAGCTGAGAAAGTAACCACTCAAGAGAGTGAAACAGAGGCTTCTAGAGCTGTAGCATTCATGGAAGATGTTTTCTCAGAAGAGCTTGGCCCTGTTACTTCAACTGCACAGGAAAAAGTTCCCTTACCAGATGGGTTAGAGCTGAAAGAGAGTCTTGAAGATCTGCAAGAGTTTTGCGGAGAATTTCTCAAACCAGTTGTGGACTCAAATTCAAATTCCAATTCGTTCTCTTCCTCAGAAAATATCAGCTTCTCTGTTGCTAAACTTAGAATCAGTGATCAAAAAGAAGCCTCATCATCTTCATCTCATCCGCCTGAATCTGCATCCTTACTTGCGGAACACAGAAAACGACATGGCCTGTACTACCTCTCCTCTCAGAAGAATGATGACCACAATGATAACAATGGCGACAACAACAACACGCTAAACGAATACCCGCCAGCAAATGAGATATCCGTGGACTCATTTAACACCAAGAAAAAGATGAACCAATCAAAACAGAGACCTGTAGTGGTGCAACTGGACGAAGGAGATGGATTAAAGACAAAACCAGATGCTAGTAATAATGATGAACCTCTTTCTCGTGCGATCCAGACCGCTCTAATGGGGAAAGGAAAGGAGAAGGAAAGAGAAAAAGATAACCACGAGAGAGATCTTGATTCAAGGATTAAAGGACGTAGCTCGGGAAGAGAGAAGAAAACGAAGAAGAAAAACGGGGAGAAAAGTAGTAAGCACAGATCACGACGACGATCAGACAAAGAATCAAGTGCAGCGGAACCAGTCGAAATCCCAGATTTTCTCTTGTGAATACTAGCTGGAGTTTGTGTCTCAGACCAGACAAAATGGTGTGTTCTTTTGTACTGTGATTTTCATGTATCCATATTGATTCGTTTGTGTTTATGAAATATATATTCTTTTTATTAATTATTACACCATCATATATGTCAACAACAACCAGAATAAGATAGCAAAAATTGAAATAAGATGCATACAAAGCATCACCACACATTGTTATTCGCAAGAGTACCACATAGCTCTACTACTTAGAGATAATAAAGAAACATCCTTAAACACACACCAAAAGTAGGATTGAAACATATATAGGATGATCATAAATAGCAAACACCTTTCTGTTTTTTAACACCTTGGGATGGGGAGTCTGCAACGGTTAGAGACTTTACGAGCGTTGGGAGAGCTGACGAAGCGACGGAGGCTAGGGTTTCTCATGTAACCACAAAGGCATGGCTTCTGTTCCTTCAGCTTTGCACAGCACAAAGCCGATGGTGGAGAAGACGACGTTATCGCCGCTGCACATGGGCTTAGCTGCATTGGCGAGCATGTCACGGCTTCTGCCGCCGGGGCAAGAATCATTAGGAGAACCGTCGCTAGAGCAAAAAGGGAAACCCATGTGGTCTTGATCATCACCATGTTTCTTCTTGATCTTTTGTTTGTTTCTGAGTTTATAGAAATGTGTTTTGGTGTGTTTTGGGTTTTGACATCTCCTTCTATTTATAGAGTGGGAAAGTGAAATGGTTTTTCTTATTTTTATTAGTATTTTTTATTTATTAAGAAATATATGGACTGAAAATATTTTATAAACCAGTGTATAATTAATCTATTAGTGCACACTTGCTTATAGTGCGGCCTCTTATTTTGTTTCGTTTTTCGATTTTTGTTTTCATTTTAGTTTAGCATTGGAAGAACATATTTATAATCTAAAAGTTTGGTGGATGGCCTTTTGTTGAGTTGTTAATAAAGAGCTCAATGCTTTTTATCATGCATTGGTATAGTATCATGCCATCCAAATTCAAATCGGTTTGAATATTGATAATAACTAAAAGAAATGCATTGGAATATAAACATTTTGGATACATAATAAGAACTCTCGTGACTTTGACTTGAGGAACATTAATCAAGATCCATGGGTAAAATGGGGGAAAGTATTAAAAAGAAAATGCGACACTAATATCTTAATTATATTCATTTTTTTCAGTTTTTTGCTTGTTTTAATTGTCAACGTTAGTGTTTATTCATTGTATTGGTGTGGTTTGCTTACTCCCTCTTTTTCTTGTTTTGAGTGGAAAGAAGCACTACAAAGTGAGACAAAACATTTAGAAAACTATAAATGTTTAACTCAATATATATATAATATATATAACTACATATATATTTTTAACTAATTGATAAGAGTGAACATTTTCACTGAAAAAACTCAACAAATACGATATATTTATCCATGAAACAAACTTTTATTTATATGGGTTCACAAAAAAAAGGAATTTAACAAACGAAAAAAAAAAGTGGGGTCGAAGTGGGAAGACTTTGGGAGGCGAAAGAGGCGCCGAGGACTTTCGGTGATGGTACTTGCCTACTTGGTGTCGTGCCAATATTTGTTGCCGTCTCCTTTATCGTCATTATTACTTCAATGAATCTCTCACACACACTGTGATCAAATATATATTGTAGAATTTGTAAATGTATAAATATAAAACAACATCAAATCAATTAATATTTATTTACAAAATGATGATATTGAGATGAAGCGTGCGTTTTGGGATACGTGTGAATAATCATTGCCACAATCACTCATTGAACATTCTTCTTTTGCAGTTCTCTTTTTAGCACAATTGTAGTAAATTAATGAACATATCCTATTCTCTCTTTAGACTTAGGACTGAAACTACAAGGAGAACATGGAATGTTTGGTGCGTAGCTCACTACACATATGTTCACACTTCACACATTGGTTGGCTGTTGTTGTTGAAGCTCATACAAACATGTGTCTTCGACTTTGAGGGTTGATGTCACTATATTTTTACTCTTTCTTTTTCATCAAAAACTAGAAAATGGAGATGACTTTTTTTAACAACGAAACTATATATAACTTTATCACTGAGAAACATGGCAAAAAATAGTATTGAATCTCTTGATAGAAAGTGGGTCCAAATCATCTATCGTGATATAAACTTTAAGATTCTCACGCCTAGTGTGTCACAATTTCGGTTGTTATTATTGCTCTTCTTATATGTGAATATATTGTGTAAATGTTTTATTACAAGTTCCTACTAGTGCATTAATAATTATCTTACCGCATGTGTGATATTAGAGATTAATAAAAAAAAAAAATTTGTAGATGGTGCTGGTTGCTTATAGAAAACGATTATCAAAACTTAACTTCTACCAATACAATTTGAATAAATAATTTGTAATTTGTTTGTTTCTATTAACAGTTTATTTTCTGTAATCTATACTATTAATTGGGAAGCACTCAAACATAAATAACCTTATAAAGTGTAAAGTATTACAAAAATGCCACTGGTTTTTGTTTTTAAATAAATTCATTAAAGATACAATAGTAATCACAAAGTAATTATTAGTTTCCAAAAAATTAAACTCACTTTCTCTCTCTTATTAATTATGGACGAAAATTTAAAAAAATTTTCTAAAAAGTTGTTAACCAATGAGAATTGAAAAACTAAGATTTGATATCAAAATAAAATTTTATCTAAATCAATCCTAATAAACTATTCTATATCAAAAATAAAAAGAAAAATAATACCATTTTAATTCAAAACTAAAAACACTATAGTTTAAATTTTTTTATCAATAGAGGATTTTAAGATTGAGTTTGAAATTTCATAAAAAATTAAATACAAATATTTAAGACTCAGTTTTGTTATAATATTTTCACAAATTTTGAAATATAAAACAAAATTTTATTTCACAATTTCTAAAAAAACGATATTGGACATTCGTTTAGAGCATGTTTCGGAAATATCTAAACAATAAATTGTACATATTAATTTCGAAATATTTTGTGTTTTCTTTTTTTTCTTCTCAACCGGATCTTCCTTAAACTAATCCATAATATATTGCACACAGTTTTCAAAATAATGTGAACTAATTATATATTTTTGCATTCAAAACAAATTATGCAGCAATAGCATATCTCTTTTACAGATGTATCTCAAATTTTAATTTTAGTCCAAAAAATCGAATAAATTATTATTAAACAATGAAATGAAAAATATGCAAAATTTAGCTAGAAACATTAATAAATTTGTTAAAATATACTTGTAACTTTAACAGCATACATATTAATCCGCAAAACTCACAGTATATATTGTAATATTGTATGGTATTTAAAGGTACGCAAACAAGAATTTGGAACATAATTTTAATGGAATAAAATAAAAATAGAAATTACGAGACGAGATGGGAGGGCAACATATATTAAAAATCAAACTGAATACCCAACTGGTATGAGTTCGGGTTATGAGCACTATATAAAATAAATTTGTTTACACACATAACCCTGTACATACGTTTTAAGTTACACATACTCTATTTATGACAGATATGGGACCGTAATATTTTTATTTTATGTATACATGATAGGTATGGGACAAAGAATTTATGACAGATACCGGACGAGATATGTTTCATGTTCCAAAATAGTTACGCCTTGCTAATATACATGAAATAACCCAAACTAAAACCGAATTCATATCCTATTTAACATATGCAATCAAAATTTTAGAGCTGTTTTGATTAGTTAAGAAAATAAAAATGTAACACCATTTAACTTTTGCAACTAAATTAGTCCGGATCTTAAAATATTTTTATGCATTAACGCAACTGAATTTTTTTGTCATTACTCTAACTTTATAATATTTATATTATTACGATGTTCATTGATACAACAAATATTTTATATTTTTAAAATCTATATAACAATTTCTATAAAAATACTTCTACACGTACGTAGATCCAGATCTAATACACTAAAATATATATCATAAAAACAACAAAATAATCTATATTGAATTAAATTTTGTTAGAATTTTTTTAAAATATGAAACCCCGCACGTACGTGCGGGTCATGATCTAGTATATAATAAAAAAAATAGCCATCCAGTACTTAATTGGACCGTTACCAGAAATCTATTGAGACTTTCACGCCTCACCAGTCACCACTACACCTACCAGTTTTACTCTCATTTCTTCCTAAAGAAAAGCAAATTCATTTTCACTTTCTCTCTATTAACACACAAAATAATGACTAAAATAAAAGTCTGGAATTATAGTTGACTAAACAGACTCTAAGATTGAAATCCCCGATAATCAAAGATACGTTAATCAAGCTGAAGAAATTTCAACAGCCGCAAGAGATCGAAACAAGAAGCACTTAGTTGTGATCTATAACAAGCTCTGTGAATTAGACCTGTGTTGTGTGAGTGTTTCAGACAGATATCAATCAAGATCAGTGTAATGAATTTCCTACATTTATTTGCTACTCCCTGGGGCTGAAATTACAAAGCTTGTATATTACATACACTCTCAACTAACACATACTGAGAATTTAGGACCAAGATTAGCCTTTACAAAACCCAAAACCAACATTAAACTTGAGATTGACATACTATGACACCAAAAGAAAAGGGACCTAAGTAGACTGAGGGAATTTCACTAAGCAACATCATTCCACTGAAGATATCCTCCGTGACCGCCTTCATCGTTAAACTCGTAGACAGCACCCCAAGCTGCCAACAAAACCACAAGCATTGGACTTGTTCATTTTGAATTTCTATCATCTTTTTTTAACAGGGAAAGATGCAAGATGAAGAAAACAGAGACCTTTGTAGCCACCTTGAACTGGATCATCAGCCAGAAGAAGCGGAGTGTCCAAGTCGATGAATCTGTGTATTCCTTCTTAATTTGTTAGGATTATGATGGTCACATTAGAAAGCAATGTGGTGTTTACATGTTAAGTATACGGTATACCTGAAACATCCAAGGCCAGCAGCAACGTGACCAGAGAACCCCATTGCTAATCTAGTCTCCACCATTCCCCCTATCATTAGCTCAATTCCAGATGATCTAGCCAATTCAATTACCTCAAGGGCCTCGAGGATTCCGGTTTTCGCGAGTTTGATGTTAACAACATCTACGATACCACCTTCTATGATTTTCTTGAGATCAGTCAAGCCTCTGCAACTCTCATCTGCTGCAACAGAGACTCCGAATCTGTTTTTTGCAGTCCGAGTCACATGACTGAGACCTTCCCAATTGTCTCTGTGGACGGGTTGTTCAAAGAGAACCGGTGTAACCTTCATTTCTGGGCAAACAATCACAACAACTCAGGTTTTAACCGAGAAACGAAAGGCCGGCTAAAAATTTGAACAGGCAGGGAGTTTTCCAAACACCAATGCTTTTTAAAAACCTTCTACCGCTCAATACCTAACTGAGAAGACTCAAAAATGATTCATACACCTTTTTACCATGCAGCGTCTCGAGAACTCTAACAGCTTCCTCTGTTTGATAACCCTCATTTGCATCCAAAATGAAGGAACAAGTAGGATGGACTGCACGTATAGCCTGGAGAACTTCTACGTCAGCCTTAAGATTCTTCCCCACCTTGAGCTTCAAGGTTTCAAAACCTCGTTTTCTATACTTTGAAGCCAAAATAGACGCTTCCTCCGGAGAAACTATAGGAATCTGAGCATAGACCAACAAACATCCTTTTAGACCCACATCTGTGAAAATCACACAAACTTTCACACTTGAGTAGTTTTCCAATGTTTTCAAGCCATTAACATTCTACAAACAATTCAAAATCTCATCTTCAAAACCTAAAAGTGCAGTGTTAACACATATAGTCTTAAGTAAGACTCATAGTTATTTTACTTTTAGAGAAGTTCTCAATAACTGGAAACTTTTCCATTATGTTTTGCAAACACACAGAAAATGAAGGTGAATTGTACCAGGAAGAGCTAAGGTTAGAACCGAACTGTTATGTCGGTAGTAATCGTACTTGAAGCTCCACCAAATAGTTTCCACAATGGCATTCCTACACTCTTAGCTGCTGCATCAATCATAGCCATCTCCATCCCAGCTCTTACCTAAACCCATTTCAAAAAATTTCTTATTTTCTTCCTTGAGAGAAAGATCAAAGCCAATGTCAACCCAAAAATTGAACTTTAACTTAAGCTCAAAATCACGTCTTTAGCACCAAATGCTTAAATTGATTAAGAAACATACACAGATGTCAGACTTACAGAAGCAAATTGATGACCAGGGAGAAATCTTCCGATCTCCTTAAGAGCATTACCAAGTTTCATCTCCGGTAACTCTCTCAGAAACTCACAAGTTTCCCGCGCTTTTACCATGGCCGTTATCTGATCCTCCGCCGTTACCGACGGCAAAATCGGAGCTTCTCCCCAACCAACACACCCATCGCTGAGCTCGATCCGAATCGCAACGTTATTGACTGAATCAAGCCGTGAAGAAGCGATAGTGAAAGGTGAGAGCAGAGGCACGTTCAGTTCGCGATTCTCTGCTTTAAGCACTCTCACGGTGAAATTCTCCGTCAGGGTTTTGAATTTAGACGTCGCCGACATAACGGAGATCGGAGATTTCGGCGAATTTTGAAAATTTAGAGTTGAATTGACGAGTGAAGAAGAAGATGATACGATCGAAAACATTTTGCTTTTAGGCTTTAAGAATTATTTTAGGGTTTAAATAGTTACTTGAATTTCGTGTATTCAAATATTAAAAAATTCAATTGCCTTAAGTTAAAAATTCAAGTTAGATGATTTTTAACTGTTAATTGTTTATACATGATGGAAAACACAAATTTTTGTAGATGTTACACAAAACACTAAACATATATTTTTTCAAGTTTTTTTTTTCTTTCAATTCCATTCAATTTTTCTACGAGCAACATTGGTTTTAAGGCATTCTCTTTCGTTTTAAGGAAGATTGAAGTTAAAATATGTATATGCAAGATAATAACGTGAGGGGTTTGAATAGTTTATTTAGAGATGAAGATGAAGAAATAATGGGAGAAGGAACAAGGCCAAAACCATTCCCATTCTTTGCTTCTTGAATATGTTTTTGTTACCTTTGTTCCCAAGCCTAGAACCTCTCTCTATTCCTCTTTCTTCTTATATTTGTTGCTTTTCCCATTTTCTCCAAATCCAGAACAACTGTTTTGTTACATAATCATCACATTTCATTGTTGTTGTTTTTTACCACATTAACTTTTTATCTTAATAAATTTCATCTAATCATGCCAATATTTTCGGGATCTTCCGATTCTGAAGACGAAAGAACAATCCACAAAACAACTAAGCTCTTCACTCGTCAACGATCGATTCACTCTATATTTGGAGGTGGTAAAGGTATTTATCTCACTTTCTTCTAAACCTTTTTATCGGTTCAATTGTTATGTGTCTGTGAAAGTACATGTTTATATCCATCAATTATCTTCAAATAATACGACATTTTTATATTTTGTTATTATCCAAACTTACCACCAAATTATAAAGTACACAAACAAGAAAACTCAACAATTAGTATTTGTGATAACAGTTGCAGATATTTTGTTATGGAGAGAGCCAAAAATAGCAGCAACATTGGTCATAGGAGTGAGCCTCTTATGGTTCTTAATGGAAGTAGTGGAATACAATTTCATAACCTTAATTTGTCATGCTTCCATGACCTCCATGCTTATTTTCTTCATTTGGTCCACTGCTTCTGATTTTCTCAACTGGTATGTTTATATCTTTACTTGATTAATCTTTCTAAGATTTCCTTATCAATAATACAACAATATATTTAAAAAATAAACAAAAATGCAGGGAAAGGCCAATAATACCAGAAGTGGTAGTAGACGAATCATCTTTCAAACAATTAGCAAGAAGCTTTCATGTCAGATTTAACCAAATCCTAGCAAAGCTTCTTGACATTGCTTGTGGAAGAGATCCTCCTCTCTTTTTTCTCGTAAGATATTATATATATAGAATCATTTCTACTAATTATATATTTTTGGAAAATTATTACTATTTTGCTTAAATTGGTTACTATATTTTCAGACAACGATCTCACTTTATATCATATCCATCATCGGGACATATTTCAACTTTGTGAATCTTCTGTTCATAGGTAAGAATAAAGTCATCATACTCAACTATATATGTAGATTTAATTCCCTTTTATTAATTAACGGAATGATTGGACGTCGTGCCGTTCAGGGTTTGTAAGCATGCAAACCTTACCGGTTATGTATGAGATGTACGAAGACGACGTGGATAGAGTGGCGGGTAAGTTGATGAGGAGGATGAGGAAGCTGTACAAGAAGGTCGATTCGAATGTTCTTAGTAAAATCCCAAGAGGAACTGTCAAAAACAAGAAACTTACTTAATTCTGATCATTGTTTACTTATAGAGATAATATGATTGCTACTGTATTTATGCGACCTCAACCCAAATTAATATACATATATCTGTTAGTACTGGTTTTGTTTTTACTGAAAAAAAGGTAGAAGAAGTTAAGATCTGATGATCATCAAATGGAATAATGATCGGAATCATGCCTAGGGAAATAATTAACAAGAACTAGTTTATGGTTACTTTCTCCAATTAATGATTGGTCTAGTTTTAACCTTGATCATGAGTAATTGAGTATGAACTATAAATCACCATATGTAACTTGAAAAGCGGGTATTATATCATCATCATCACATTCCTAAAACTTGTTATTCTTATAATAATGTTAAAATTTTCGTTTTTTGTCCAAAATACCAAACTTTGTCTAAAATAGATACCAATCTTTCTACAAAGTTGTCAAAGAGATATTTTGTTACTTTGAAAATGACAATGTTAATAATGAGAGTTAGACTTTCGTTTTAGCCTACAAATTTTCATTTTGTAAAAATGTAAAATCATCAATTTGAAAAATTCCGGACTCTTTCTCTCTCGCTTGACATCGACTACTCTAACCCAATTTTCAATCTTCCCTTTTATTAAGGAACTTTAGTTTTTCCAAAAATCTGAAAACATGTACGGAACTGTACCCAAAAACCAATGCTCACACCTAGCTAGTTAAAACTGTACTTACGTCAAAATATGGGGTATAGAATTTTATAAGTTTTGTTAGAAAGTTAGATACTTATAAAATGAAAAGTCTGATATTTTTTTGGTAAAAATTGGAAGTTTGGTATTTTTTGGCAGTTTGATGTATATATAAAAATCTATATTACGAGTCATATATTCTTGTTTTGTCAAAAGTTTTGGAAGCTTTTAGATTACGAAATAACATATCCATTTGAATGAAATTTGATTAGTGGTAGAAGAAGAAGATGCCATATGAAAAAGAGGAAGAACATTGGGTCACGTCGAAAGTCCTTTAATTAGAATTTGATTTCGTAATGGTCAAATTTGTACAAACAACAAAAATGGAGTCCACGTGAAATAGAAGAGAGAGAGAGAGAGAGGGTTATAGTTTCTCATGCATAACCAGTTGAATTTTTTTTTCTCTTCTTTTGTAGATTGTTTGATATGTTAAAGCCTCAAGTTCAGTCCAAAACCCAGAAGCCCATCAAGAGCCCAAGTTGCAGTCAAAAGCAACTCCAACGGTAACAATGACGACAAACTCACACCATCGTCGTGTGAAGAGTACGGCACCTACAGCTCACCAAATCCAGCTCAACAATAGATTCGCATCTCTATCGGATCTAGAGCCATCTGACAGCTCATCATGAGTCTAGATTGTTCTTTGTGTCTGTATAAAAGCTCTAGCTTGTATTAGGGTTTTGGTTAAGTGAAATCAATATGAAAGATTGAGTTTTTCCCTTCTCCTCTGTTTTGAGTTAAACTACATGGTATCAGAGCCATGGCGGCTCAACCTTCTGCTGTCACTACAGCTACTCTTTCTATTCCACTGCTACAAGCTTGGTATTCTGGTAACAAGGAACCTGCGTCAACAACAGCACCAGAAGATTCAGTAGAAGAATTGTCAGTTCAAGCATCTCAACATGAGCCAGAGAGAACTGCAGTTACTTCAGAATCAGTGCTACCTCAAGTCTCAGAGTCTCCTACAAACTCACCACAACACTCTGCTGTAAACTCACCTCAACAGTCAAATAGCTCAGCTTCTGACAGTCAACACTCAGAAAATGTTCAAGAAGCACCAGTAGGTAACACTCATGGAATGGTGACTAGAGCAAAACAAGGCATTCACAAACCAAATCCAAGGTATGTCATGCATACTGTCAAAGGATTACCTGAGGAACCAAAAACAGTGAAAGAAGCATTAAACCATCCTGGTTGGACAGCAGCAATGGGAGAAGAAATTGACACATGTCATGTCACCAAAACATGGAGTTTGGTACCTAAGCCTGCAGAGATCAATCTTTTAGGCTGTCGATGGATTTTCAAAACCAAGATAAATGCTGATGGAACCTTAGACAAACTGCGAGCAAGATTGGTAGCCAAGGGGTATGAACAAGAAGAAGGAGTAGATTTCTTGGAGACCTATAGCCCTGTTGTAAGAACTGCTACAGTGAGAATGGTTCTACATACTGCAGTGAGTGAAAGATGGGATATAAAGCAGTTAGATGTGAAAAACGCCTTTTTGCATGGAGATCTTCAGGAAACTGTATATATGAGACAGCCTCCAGGGTTTGAAGATCCAGAGAAGCCTGATTATGTGTGTCTTCTTCATAAAGCTATTTATGGATTGAAGCAGGCTCCGAGAGCATGGTTCGATAAGTTCAGCTCTTATTTGGTTGAATTTGGGTTTATATGCAGTACTGGTGATCCTTCTCTGTTCATTTATCAAGAACAACAGAGTGTGATGCTACTGCTAATGTATGTGGATGACATGGTACTCACGGGAAATGATTCAAGCTTGATTTCCAAGTTGCTAAGCAAGCTGAATGAAAAGTTCATGATGAAAGATATGGGACCCCTGAAATATTTTCTGGGAATTCAAGCTCAGTTTACGCCTAAAGGTCTGTTTCTGAATCAAGAGAAATATGCCACTGACTTGTTGATAAATGCAGGAATGCTGGACTGTGCACCCATGCCAACACCATTGCCAGTTCAAATTGATCGCATGCCTCATCAGGATGAACTCTTTCAAGAACCAACTTACTTCAGAAGCTTGGCAGGGAAACTGCAGTATTTGACACTGACTAGGCCTGATATTCAATTTGCAGTGAACTTCATATGTCAGAAAATGCATAGTCCCTCAGTATCAGACTTCAACCTGCTCAAGAGAATTTAAAGGTATCTGAAAGGAACATTGACAATGGGAGTGTCATTATCATCAGAAACAGATTCAGTTCTCAGAGCATATTGTGACAGTGACCATGCTGGATGCAAAGAAACTAGGAGATCAACAGGAGGATTCTGCACCTTCTTAGGCTCTAACATTATATCCTGGTCTGCAAAGCGCCAAGAATCAGTTGCCAGATCCTCCACTGAAGCAGAGTACAGAACTCTATCAGACACTGCAGCAGAAATGTCATGGATCACTGCAGTGTTGAAACAGATAGGCTTACCTCAAGAAAAGACACCAGAGGTATACTGTGATAACCTAGCAGCAGTATTCTTGTCTGCAAACCCGGTGCTACACACAAGAAGTAAGCATTTTGCTACCCACTTTCATTTTGCCAGAGAAATGGTAGCTATGGGAACATTGATAGTCAAGCACATACCAGCTCATCTTCAAATTGCTGACATATTCACGAAGCCCCTTCCTCAAGCAAGCTTTCTATCTCTCAGATTCAAACTCGGTGTGGATTATCCACCCACCTCGAGTTTGCGGGGGGATGTTAAAGCCTCAAGTTCAGTCCAAAACCCAGAAGCCCATCAAGAGCCCAAGTTGCAGTCAAAAGCAACTCCAACGGTAACAATGACGACAAACTCACACCATCGTCGTGTGAAGAGTACGGCACCTACAGCTCACCAAATCCAGCTCAACAATAGATTCGCATCTTTATCGGATCTAGAGCCATCTGACAGCTCATCATGAGTCTAGATTGTTCTTTGTGTCTGTATAAAAGCTCTAGCTTGTATTAGGGTTTTGGTTAAGTGAAATCAATATAAAAGATTGAGTTTTTCCCTTCTCCTCTGTTTTGAGTTAAACTACATGATAAACTCCCTAAAATAACCAATGATAAACAGTACATAAATTCTTTTGACGAAAGTTATTGTCCAATGATTTTCTTGTATATTTCGGATTTAACAAGTGTCATGATTCTCATGACCAATTACTCAAAAATTAACAACTAAAAAGAAGAAATTATAAAAATAAAATACGACGCAAATCAAGCTGATCCACACATTATATATATTATGGTATTTGACTACTCTCACCCTAGTTTATGCATGGTCAAAAGCTCTTATCTTCAACTTAATTTCATCGAAAAAACCTCAAGTACTAGAACTATATATGTATTCGCACAAAAAGAGAACTATGTGTATGTATAATTGATCAAATATTATACTTTAAATTTCTTAAAAACCATAATCTTGACCTATAAAATTAAATAATCCTAACCTCGAACCTCAAGGTTTTATAGTTTTATAAGAAACATAATGTTCAACTATAAATTATTACAATTAAACTGGATGCGATCACCAACTAATATAGGGGATCGGAGTCCACAGTCAAATGTGTGTAGAAGGGGAGAGGAGAATAGTAGTACCAAAATAGGTGACTTTATGGTAAGTCTTGTATTGGAGTCTCTTTTATATATATTTTTAACAAAGAAATCTTACTTACTGCTCGAATAATTTATTAAAAGTCAATGGCCTTACGTACGTATGAATTTATCGGCTATAAGTAGGAAAGCTTTTCACGTTAAACAACTTAAACCTCATCCACATCAACTAGAGAAAGAGAGAACGAGAGATGGCGAGACACTTATTAGAAGATGTAATGAGCATGGCCACCACAACAACACATTTCGATGCTAGTTACCTGTTTCATGTTGTCTTCTTGGCTGTGATTGGTTGTTGTATCCTCTCGGCTCTGTTATTCTCGTGTGCCGATGGAGCCTCCGACAACAGAGCCACTTCCGGAAACTCTACCGGTGGCGGAGGTTGTGGAGGTGCGGGTTGCGGAGGTGGTTGTGGTTGAGAATTCATTTGTCTTCGTCGGGAAAATAAAAACAGAACAGTCGACCAACTACTTTCGTACTATCTCTATACAGCTCCTTTTTTTTTAGTAAGTGTAAGGATAATAGATGTATAGCTATCGTATATTAAAGCAAAGAAAATAATACATTTTTTTCATTTTGAACCGAAGATTGAATTTCTTTAAAAATTAGAAAGACATCTAATGAAAAAACCCAAACAAAAATTGTACCAATTCGATTCATATTAAATTTTTATCTTCTTTGGTCACTTTCATTCTGAACTAGTAAACATATCCAGAACCTTAACTTTAGGAGAGATTCATAATTCTAAGAAAGCGTTGACTAGTCTCAAGGTTCATGTCTTCATGAGATACAATAAGCAAGCCAAACTAAAATAGCAATTACCATCAAAGATTTTTCATGGATCCGGATCAATTGATTGCCAAAAAGAGACGATCCTATAGATTATTTGGTGAGACAAGAAAAAAAGGCGCGAACCGGGAAAAGTTTTTTTCAGACGTTGATGGCATCTGATTCTTTAGACTTTATGATCTTGGCTTGTAGTTTCTGCATAAAAGCTGGATTGGCTCGGAGTCTCTGTTTTACATATGAAGTTCTTATGTCCTCAGCGATCTTGTTGGCTTTCCCAGCTTCCTCTATCAACCCGTAAAGAGTTCTTAAGCAGTCTTTCCTGTTTTCTTCTCGGTGTTCAAACCTATGACAGGACAAAAGATGTCATGAATTAACATTCTTGTCTCGCGAAAAGCTTAAGATTTATGGTTCTATACCTCTCGCTGGTGATTGTAAGCTCGTCTTTCCCCGAATGGTATCTTTTCCCCACAAGTTCCCTTAGCCTTTTAGCCTGATGCTTTGAGAGCCCGAGCTCTTTCACTGTAACAGACATTTTCACTTTCCTGTTCTTTGGATGCCACGCATCACCTCCAGGAGCAAAAACTATCCTTGATTGCCACCTGAGGATTGGGCCTTTACCGGGGGGATCATCCAAGTCAGTATTCCTATCGGAAGCATCTGTTTCACCAAATTGGGGAGGACCCTCAGCTTCCATTTGATCCCCATACTGAATTACCATTTCATCTTCAAATTCCTTGAAAAGCTCATAAGCTGCTTCGGCCTCAATTTCACCTCTTTCACACATATCCCCGAGCTCATTAAACTTTGCTTCAACTTTTTTCTTCAAGTCATCTGAATGAACATACAGTTAAGAGGATGTTCATATATACACATGACATGAACAAACCAATATGTTCGCTAAACGACCCTACTGATTCGAGAAGCAACGAATTTGGCATAGTATGTTACCTTCAAAGAGTTAAAAAAGAACGGTTCTCCTACCATGATTCAGCAAAATCCAAATAGAGAGCTTAACTACAAAAGCTAAGTTCCACTAAGAGAGTGTATTTAGCTATAAGGCGCACATGAGTCTATTAATCAGCCACTCAAAGGCTCCTAGTAGGCATTCAAACATATCTATGCCTAAGGATGTGAGTCGACGAAACGGGAAGATGAATTTGAAAATAAAAGAGCATTACCAGGAAGAAGCTGGTCCCATTTGAGCATATCCTCAAGAATCTCCTCGCATTCCTTAGTATCGGTAAGGCACCCATGTTGGATGCCTTCTCTAATCATGTGATCCCACTTCTTATCGTCCATGTTGAAAAATTCATTCTTCCTCATCTTTTCAGCTACATACTCAGGAGAGTTATACAAATCCTCAAGTTCTTCGTCAGTAGAATGGGCTTCCTCGAAATCGGATTCAAAATCTTCATCCTTGACATCATCTTTGAAAGGTAAAGTTTCGAGTTTTTCAATCAATTCATCATCAGTCTCTGCGTGTTTGTCAGCAAGTCTTCTCTGTAGAAGTGCTTCAATAACTCCAGGTAAAGCATCTTCATTACCCTCATTGAAATACTTCTCTATACGGCTTTTAAGCTCTGAGACCAAAAATAACCAATATATGAATCAACATTTCAAGTTTGAGGAAGCCACACAAGCTTGAACAGAGAGTAGAGTGGTTTACCTTTGTTGCTTACATCTTCTACAACGAGATCCTTCGTATCGGAGGATTCAGTCGGCGAAGAATCAGGGGCAGTAGTCGAGTTTTCACCGGACGAATCGGATTCGGAGGAGAAAAATCTGAATTTGAGAGGAGCCGGAGCGGAGATTGGAGCGAGAAAGGGAACATTGGGGGAGATTTGATGGGTTATACGAGGAGAAAGAATGAATCTGCGAGCGCAGAGAGATGCATTTCTGAAGAGAGCTCCTCTCATGGCGGATCAGAGATTTAGGGTTTTAGGTCACCGTTCGTAATCCCAATTGTACAAAAGAGGGAATTGGCTTAAACGCTGTAAATTAATTTTTTTTTTTTTTTTTTTTGTCGTAAAGCTGTAAAAACTTTTTTTTTCTTTCAAGGATGGTATTTTTTATAGATGATAAGTACAGACTGATACAAAGGCAAACCCAAATTAACCTGAGCTAATAATTTACAAAGATAACTAAAACACAAACAAATGATCAAACTTAAAGAAAACACCAAGTGCGTTGTCTCAAACTCGACAAGTTGGCTCCTTTGCTGCTGTGACTGTGATTGTTACTTGACCCTTATTAGTTGTCTTCATCTTCAAAAAGTTTTCACTGCACTAACACCCTAATATACACTAAGATAAAAGAAACGGCCACAACTAGCAAGTTTCCTTTCAAAAGGATCAACCATCAAGAACTTAGCAGAACTAAAGCACATCTTTATTTTTCCTACCACAACAACGTAGAAACCAAGAAATTGTAACACAGAGTTAGTATCATAACTTGAGACTTTAAAGGAGGTTGTTGGTTAACCGGACAAAACTTGATACCAATTGCTTGTCCATATCCTTCACTCTACAACTTTTACTATATAATTATATATACTGGTTCCATTTCTTGGGTTATTGTGTGATCTTCGGATCAAGATAAATTCCAATATAGAACTTACAAAAATTATCCAAACATTTTTATTTATCAAATATAGAAAAAGAGAAAGACATTAGCAAACTACGATAAGAACAACGAAATAGCAAATCCTATGTATATCTAACGAGATGTAACACGACGTTACATGTAATAAGCAAAAAGACCAGAGCGGACTGTGTCGGCTATACTTAACACTTTGCGCGTTTATTACCAAAGATCCAGCGTTTAAAGCGGCGGAGACGCAGCCATATGTTGTTGCTGTTTGCCGCCGTCAAGAGCCATTTGCTTGGACATATCGGCTAGAGCTGCTGCGGCTGCTGCTGGTGTCATGCTTTGGTATGGAGACGCTAATGGAATGGCAGTGTTGGCAGCAGGAGGTTGTGTGTGGTAATACACTGTCTCATTTGGAGAGTTTGTGTATTCATAGGGTCCACCGTAGTTGGCGTTTGCGTTTGTGCTATGTTGAGGAGCTCCAGTACCATAATTGGCGTTTGCGTTTGTGCTATGTTGAGGAGCTCCAGTGTAACCCATGTACTGATGCTGTTGCTGAAGCTGAATAACCTGAGGGGGAGCGGCACGGTAAACGTTCTGGGCAGCTTCAGGTCTCGAGTTTGTGGCAGGTTTTGAGTTTGGGTAGAGTGGGGGAGTTCCTGCTGGGATATACTGCTGAGATTGCGGGACAGACATCACGTAAACAGGGTAGTTTTGTTGCTGATGAGAGTAAACCGGGATGTATTGTGATGGGTGAGGGATATACTGAACGCCTTGGTGTAAGAAAGGTTGTTGAGCCAGAGGTTGGTGTTGTTGTTGATCCATAGTTGTATATGTACCTGGCTGAGATAGGACGTGGGAGGTGGTTTGGGCTGAAGTGTTTTCAGTCTGAGGTAAGACTTGAGAGCTTTGGACCGATGTGGTTTCAGGCTGCGTCACTGGAGGAGCTCTAGGCAGAGCTGGAGGTTGGTCTTGGTAGTACATCGGCTTTGAAAATGAATTAGCAGAAGAAATGCTAGTATCACTGTAATGTATAAACAACAAGAAATATCAGCAGTTAGTATCATCAGACTCAAAAGAACAAAGGTAAAAACTCTTATAACGTTATGGTTCAATGTGAAGATCAGAGAGTATTCCAATATCTACACAAACAGCTACTACTACAAATTGAAAAATCTCTGATTGTATAGTGTAAAACAAAGATGCGGATGAAGATCATAGAAAATTCTTATGCGTTTGACAGTTTAAAATGATTTCTCCATTATAGATTCATATACCATACTTCAAACCAGTGATCTATCTCTTTTAGCTACTTACCCTACCATCAGAATGTAATACAAACCACATGTAAAGATCATAGAACAGCAACAGTGCAAAGACAACCACAAATTCAAGGCAAGCTAAAGAAATTGATGAAGAAACCAAGAAGCTGAGATCAGATATTACCTAGATCATTGGAGCTATCTAAATAACTAGAGAGAGGCCAGGGGAAGATGAAAGTACCTTGCAACGGAATCAGGGGATGTCAAGCAATACCCTCCAATAGTTCTAGGTGGGATCGCTACTGGTTGCATCGGCAAAGGTGGCTTCCTGTAGCCAGTTGATAGACCTGAATCGGATCGATCGTCGTCCGGTGAAACCTGGCCATTGCTTGTAGCAGCAGCACCATCACTAGGTGCGTTGTTATACGCCATCGCAGCAGCATCGTTCATGGCACCAGATGGAATCATCATTGGCCGATTTGCCATCAAGCTAACACCATCATCAAATTGCCTCTGAGTTTGCATGTTTGAGAAGGTCATCTGCGCCAATTGTTCCTCTATCCTCTGGTCTTCACTGACTCTAACGCGAATCGGTGGCAAATTGGATGTGGAAGGAGAAGAAGAAGAAGATCCTATCGAAGAACCAGCGGCTTCCATCATTGGCGAATCAGGCATCGAGCTCATATGCATCTCCTGATGCGAAATCACACCGTTAGCAACCAAATCCGCTCGCTTATTGTTCTCGCCACCAACATTAGTTTCTAGGTTTTGGATCTCGGTCTCTCCGCCGCTAGCTTCGTCGAGATTCACCAAGGAGTTATTCACGGCGGCGGAATCTGATAAACCACGAGGAAGCAAACCAGATTGATTCAGAGCATCGACGAACCATGTGTCGGATTTCGCGCCGTCAAGCAGAGATCCCATAGTAGCGGCGGTCTCGAGCTTATTGGCGAAAAGAAACAACCGGAGCCGTTGCGTAGCAGTCGCCGTCGCTGAAGAAGTCGCGCGATCGTATTCCTCAATCATATTCTCCAGATCTTCATCGGTAGTGATGGTGACGAGTGAATCGAGATCTTCGCTAGGGAGCTGATACTTGAGAGTGAAGGACCGGCCGTTGAGAAGCATACTAGAGAGACGCGATCGGAGCGATGACAGTGATGCACGTCGATCAACAACGACCATACGAGTCTCGCCGCCGGAGTACGTCAACGATTTGTCGTGTGGACGAGGCATGATGTGGCCACCAAAACTACACATAAGACGAAGCTTAGCGCCGGGAACAGCCGGAAGTGGCTCCGGATGACCTCCGGTATCAACAGCGACGGCGCGTGGAGATCCATCGATCGGTTGCTGAACGGCTACGCTCTTGACTGCCGCCGGAATAGCGGAAGAGACGGCGGCGGCGGGAGTAGGATTTGGGGGTAGTTGCGATAAAGAAGGGAGTGGGGTCTCCATTGGTTCGATAACGACGGGATAGGTTAGTTGGACGGATTTATATATTGATAATTCGAAACTAATCCTTTCTTAATCGTAAACATAACTACTCTTATTAATTACTAATCAGATATGTTATTGATTTTTATAAAATAAAGGAAAATAAAGATTTGTATTATAAAAAATAAAATTAAAAGATGTAACGTTAGATTCTCTGCAGTATGATGAGCTGGAGAAATTCACAGAGATGATTCATCGCCAGGTAATTTATAGTATTTATAAATTAGGTACCATCAGATTCATATTTTATTAAGGGTGATTTAGGTGAATAACCCAAAAAAAAAGAAAAATTAGTTTCTTAGAAAGAAGGTAGAGAGAGATAGGAAGAGAAAGAGAGTGAATAGGGGGGTTAGAGGTTAGATATTTAATTTTGTTTTTTTTTTAGGTTATCTAGTGCAATTTCTCTTTTATTAATGTAATGACAACAAAAAGTAGCTCTAAAGCTGTTTACGCGTATCTAAATTAAAGTATTTCTGAAATTTTAAGATTGGTTTTTCTGTTTACAATTATTAATTAAAGATCTAAGTTTTTGTCGGCAATTGGTAAATAAATAAAGTATTGTACATCTGAATAAAACAATACAATTTGGAAATTAGTATAAATGTATTTGTATCATAACATAACGTTGATGATTGTGTTTTAGAAAGCTGTGTACTAGATAATTTTATTTTATTTAATGTAGAATGTTTAGTACTACTATATAGTATGATTATTTTGTGTCCTTTGACATAGTTAAAACTTCTTTACGAGTTCCAAACATAATTGTTCATTTTTTTTTCTTACATCATAAAAATGAGAGAAAAAATACTCTGTTCAGATGAAGTGGATCCCGAAGAAGGCGGATGAATCTGGACCTTATGGGAAAATTAAACCAAACCCATGTGGAGAATTTTCGGTTGCAGTGTCCGGTTTACTTCAACCGGACGTTACATTGTTCGGTTCCCAAAGTTTCCCCTCAAAATTTGACGTGACTGTTGAAACTTGATAAAAAGGGTTAAACATTACCAGTTGCCACAATCATGAACATTGCATTATGACTCTTCTTCATAAGATATTTCTTATCTTTATTCATTTTTTATAAAAGTGGTGAGCTCAGATTATATATGGTAGAGTACTATAGACATATTAACACAGTACCTTTGATTGCTCCAAAAATAATACAAACTGGGACGAAGTATCACTTTGCTTAACTAATACGGATCCAATGTGGATGCAAGTTGAAGCCGGAACCCAAGAGAGGAAATTGGGGAATCGAAGTTAACCAATTTGAACCAAACCAAACTTTCCTAAACATAGTTAACAACAATGTCAACTTAATAACATACTAATTATATATATCCATTATAAACCAAAATAAAAAAATGTACATGTTAAGAGAAGGAGACCAAGAGAAGAAGGAACAACAATGTAAATTATCAGTAAGTGAAAACAATCATACAATTAGAAACTACACGGCTAATTAACTTTTTTTTAACATTGCGGAGGAAATTTTCAAAAGTCAGAATCAGTGCTTTCACGGTGGCGATCGTGCGGCGAGGAGGCGGAGGTGCCAGGCTCGACGTCGTTGTCCAACATCCCCCGAGAACCGGTTCGAGTCATTGTCGTGGCTCTACCAGTACTCCTCTCCGCCAACATTCTGAAATACGCATGTGGTGCCCATCCTGTTAAAATATAAATAAGCATATTATCAACAACAAAAGCAATGACATGATAGTAAATTTTTGTAACATTTTTTTTTTTTTGGTTTAATACCGTTTTCGTCGTAAGGGTATGGAAAAAAGTGGAGGTAAGAGAAAGAAGCGACTATGAGTCCGATGATAGCTCCGACGAAGACATCAGACCAATGGTGCCAATAGTCGTCTACGCGTGATATTCCGATGAGAATTGATATGAGTATTGGTAAGAATACGAGGCATAGCTTCGCCACGTGACCTCTTCTGTCAAATACTTTGATTTTACCCGATAAGTACCACGCTAGGAAAGTTAAACCAGCGAATGACCCTGCATGTATACCGTAATCAAGCGGTTAACTTAAACCGGAATCAATTCATATGTTAGTCTTCTTTAAACTTTATTAGAAGAACTTACACGAAGTGTGACCACTAGGGAAACTCTTGTAACCTTCTTTGATTATCTTTTTAACTCCATGACACACAACATCCTTAGTATCCGGATCAAATTTCTGCAGTTCTTTCAAATTCACACAAAATAAGAAACAATTCCATCCCACCAGAAAATTAATTAATCCTCGACTTAAGAGAGATGGATCCATAGAAATGTACATACCGGTTTGCCATTGGGAAAACATCGGTAAAAGAAGTTAGGTCGTGGCCTACCAACAGCATCTTTGATGGAATCAGTGGTGACTCCAGTCACAAGACATGAGAATCCGATACCTATACGCAATTTCCAAACATTCTTATCACGCTGATCAATTGTATGGATTTCGGTTTGGAATTCAAGTACTATAGGACTTGATGCATTAGAGGATGATCAGTAGTAGAAATTAACTCACCGAGAATGGCGTGATGAAGATCATAAACATCTCTTCGATAGTAATAGTACACTATGAAGATGCATATAGGAACCAATATACAAATAATCTACACACACACACCATACATATAAATTGTCAATCAGCGACAATCACATTGCTTCCTTGTGATGGAAGGCACAATGAAGGTATAGGTTTCTTGGTAAAGAAGTTTACTTACCGGGACAGCCCACATAGGGATGGTGTCTTCATAAAATGGGAACGTGAGATCGGTTAACATGTCTGGTCCAATGTAGCGATGAAAAGGTTCGATAACATTGAGTACAATGTCGATCAGACCGAGGACTACGAGGATGAGCCAGTCACAAAGATGTTCTCGAGCCACCTTCCATCCATGGCTCTTTACCGAGTGAGATCCAAGCATTATCTTAGCCATTTCTCACGCTCATTAAATATACCTGAAACGACAGTTTCATTGTGACAATCTATATTATATTTTTTTCTTCTTTTTTTCCAGAATCATACTTCAATTTTGTTATGCAAACGTTTTCCGACAAAATTATTCGTATCATAAATCAATGCAACAATTTATCCTAAAGAAGATCACTTTTGTTTAGGGATTAATCGAGGATAAAACAAATTCACAAAAACCTTAGATTCATCATGCAAATTAAATTGCAAACATATATGCATTAACAATTAGACAGAAAGATTGTGGAATAAAAATGATACCTGCTGGGTGAAACGCAAGATCAAGCGATCGCAGATCGACGATTAAACAAACCCTAACTATTCTAATTCTGTTACTGTTACAATTGCAATTTACAAACGAAACTTTCTTTTGAAACGGTAAATGGGATGAATTTGGGGTGGGGTGAGAAAATATTTGTTTATTGCAAAACTAAGTTTTTTTTTTCTTTTTTTCTTTTGAAAACAGTTATGATACTCTCTTTTTTTTTAATAAAAAAAGCAGGTATGATACTTTTGATATTTTTGGTTTTATCGGTTGAATATCGATTTAAAATTAAAACCATAAATAAGTTAACTATGACTAAATGAAGATTTATTTCAATGGACAAGCGAACAACATATAAGCAGTGTTCTAAAAAGCGGTCTAGGCGGTCGCCTAGGCCCCGAATAGACGCTAGGCTCTCATTCGACGCCTAGATAACCGCCTTGACCGCCTAAAATTACATAGATCTTATTTAATGTATTTTTTCAATTTTAATTAGAGTTTTATTTATATATATAGTTATAAATATTCATATATTGTTTAATATAAATATAAATAAATATTTTATCTAGTTTTTGTTTATAATTTCATAATTTTTAGTTTTATATTGATATTTTATATAACTTATATATATAATATCATATTTATAATGTATTATGTTATAAACGTCTAAACCGCCTAAAAAATCGCCTAGGCCCCGATTAGGCGTTCTAGGCGCTAGGCACTGGGTCACCGCCCGCTTAGCGCCTAGCGCTTTCTTGAACACTGCATATAAGTAACGTACTAGCTAGTAGCTAGTAATAAAATAATGTGATTAGTTTTTTTCTGGCCTCCACAGCTAACAGTTTCTAAAACTAACTACCCCTGTTAATCTATAGAAGATATGGCTTCCAAGCCCACTATTTGTGAAAAAAAAAAAAAAATGGTAAACGTAGAGGGGAGGATTCGAACCTCACCACACGATCATTACGTAAGTGCTTGCAACCAATTGATGAGTTAAATAAATCGGCCCAATAAATATCTATTGTATTTGTAAGTAAGGTTCTAAGCCCATGCTTCCTCCCAAACCCTGTTTTGCATGTACTGTATATGTATGATACGACAAATTAAAGGAGGTTACGAGAATCCTAATGCAAAGGAGGTTACAAATCCTAGTAAAAGTAACCACTTAACTGCAAGAAAAGATAATTATTTTTATTTTCGTGTACAGGGAAAAATACTTCCCTCCACAAATATACTTTTGATAGAAATTCAGCATGAGTATATTTGAAGTTAACTAATAAACTATGAAAGACACGAGTTATAATTTGATGGTTCTAGCTATAGAAATGACTAACTCGTGCTCACTAGTTTAGAGTAGGGGGTACAAGTAGAAACGCACCCACCGTCCTTATTGCTTTTAGATGGTTGTGATGCCAAGACTATTGAATCGTGGTCGTATCATTTTCGTAGATACATAGTCTTTAATTATTTGCTATCAGAGAAAACAAATCATTTTACCAACGTTGTGTTGGCCTAGTGGTAAATCTCCCAGGTAGAGGTACTGGGTTCGACGCCCGTTAGGAGGAATCTCTTCTCCAAAAGAGATGAATTTAACCTGGTGTGGGTCCCATCTCTGTGAGATGTAGGGCCTTCGGGCTTGAACTTCCAAATATTCAAAAAAAAAAAAAAAAAACAAACCATTTTCAAAGGTACACCAAATCTGAATTTCAAATTTCGATGGTCGTCTACTTACACTCTACACTACAATAAGACATAAATGGTTTTGTAATGAAGAATATGGGGCACACAAGTTTTAGCTTTAAGTGGTACTGATCACTCTCTCTCAATTTCAATCTCTTATTACCACATGGTGCCACTCTGCAATGAAAATTCCATTTCAATTATCAATTAATGATTATCTCATCAGTATATAGTACTCTTCCCCACTTATTTAATTCCATTGTCTATCTCTCTTTAAAGTCCTTCTTCCTCCAAATCAAGTTGTTATGATTCCTTTTTTGACCTCTTCTCTTTCTCCAATAGGAAAAAATGAAACTACTTCCAAAACATATCACCCACTTACAGTTATCCAACAAGTCCATTATTGCATAAGTCATATCCATGATTTGATATGAATAGACTTTCACATTTTAACCCCCAAAGAAGTAATAAGTGTAACTGATGAAGAAGACAAAAAAGAAGTGAATTACAAGAGGAAAAAGACAAACCCATGAATAACAAAACACTAAGTTTTGATTCCCTTCTTAATGTCATAGTCCCTACTTTGGTGATCTGTCGTTTTCCCTCTTCAATTTTTGACAAACTGTCTAAATTCGCCAACCCTTCCGGTTTTCTAAACAGCGTTATATCTTTACCAGTTTAAACTGGTTTTTTGTTGCTCACTACTAACAAGATTTGGGTTTAAATCTAAAGAAAATTAATGAAACAATTAAAGGTCCAAATTTTCCTAGTTAAAAAGAAAAGAAAAGTTATATATACAAGCTTTATGCCTTAAAGAGTTAAAACATGAGTGAGTATATTTATAGACATATAATAGTATTCATTTATGCAATTGTACTGATTTTCAAAATAAAATCATCCCAAATAAGTTTTTATTCAATCTTAAAGGTAATCAAGAAGTATTTATCAAAAAATATGAAGTAACAAATGTTTTGATCATCATAAAATTAAAACGAATCGTTAGAGATGATCACTGTTTCGGTCATTTATATTTTTGATAGAATACTAGTCACGATAACTATTTACAAAAGTTACTATTTTTGGTATTGTCGGTTGAAACACACGAAAGGGTCAATTTTTGTCCTATTGTTTATGTGAGAAGTTAAATTGGTGTTGCTACCCTACACACCTCTAACATTGAGGACGTACGGTTGGTTGGTGGGTTTAGAGCTTTTGCCAGCCATTGCCAAACAAAACTTTGAAGTCAAATAAATCTCCTCCACATCTGATCATGTCACATGATAACCAGTTAACCACATTGATTGGCTCGTGTTCCTAGCCAGATTTTGGCATCGTTATACGGAAGAATTCGGTGCTATATATCGTCTACGTACTGGATGCCGAATATTAGTCATATTCTGATATTAGAACTCAACAGAATAAATCATAAATTTTAGCCAATTATATTCTAATGTATAGCTTCAATTAGGTCTAGAAGATGCATATGGATGAATATTATATTCCAATTTTGAACTTATATTGATTTTTTTTCAAGTCATTCTCCTAGTGTTTTGAAATCTTCATTAGGGATAAAACTTATCATATGATTTCATTTTTCAAATGAAGAATTTTATGTTGGGTGTTGGATATATCTTTGTGTGTGGAGGGGAATGTAGCTAGATGTAGAAAGAGTCAACGTTTAGGTACATTCTGTGGAAAGGAGGTCTCTCAACATACTCCTATATATATATACACATTACTCTCCATTTTCTCTTTGTCACTTCATACACTCCCTATTGTCTATATATAATTACACATATATATTCAAACATATAGTACATATTATACATACATACTTTATGATGTTGCATATTTCACACATAGGTTTGAGAGTGAAGCTGGTTGTTGACAGAAGATAGAGAGCACTAAAGATGACATGCAAGTACATACATATATCATCACACCGCATGTGGATGATAACATATGTATAACAAATTCAAGAAAGAGAGAGAGATCAGAGGGAGAGGGAGAGAAAGAGACTGCATCTCTACTCTTTTGTGCTCTCTATACTTCTGTCACCACCTTTAATTCTTCTTCTCTCTCACCTACAGATACGCACATTCACATCTATGCATACATCGATAAATGTATAATTATACACAGTCACATCTATGCATAACACTAACATGGGTGCATATATAATTATATATCACATATACTTTAGGTGATTTAAGTTTAGTTAACATTACTTTCTTGTCAATATACTTCAACGCAGGTAAAGGTTTTTCTTTTTGGGTAACTTGATCTGTAAAATCATGATATTTATGTCTAGACCAATGTGGTAATGCAGTTGTTTTAAATAGTTTCGTCATTATTTCCAAGAGTACATTGGGTTGTCAAATTTTCTTTACTTTCTTTAATTCATTTGGCAGGTGTTTCAAGAAGCTTCAATGACATGAACAAACAACAATCGCGATGACGCTGTCAAGCATGATTATCTTAATCAGATCTTCTAAGAAAAGTTCAACAATAAGTCACGATCCACTGAGATACAACATTTGCGCAAAGATTCGGCCAAAAAAAAATTTATCTACAAAAAAAGTTCAACAATAATTCTGGGATATGTAAATTTTGCATTAGCTAGTCATGCACACACATAACAATGTCAAAATCGATCTTTGGATTCGACCAACATAACAAAAACACAATTTGTCGATGTGGTATACTATTATAGGGGCAAGGAGATTGGATGGATGAAAATAGAGTAAAAGTTCTAAAATTGGACACAAAACAAAAAGTCGAAGAAGAATAAAATATCAATGATTTTTCTTCTTCAAGGCAAGTCAGTACAACTTGCAATGCGTCTTTCTTTGTCTCTAAATATTATTATTATTTTTTTTATTTTTTTCGAATCTAATATTAAAATATATTCAAAAAAAAAAAAAGTGTTTAGACATACATCTTAGTGCAAACTTTTCTTAACTTTAAAAAATAGAGCAATCTATCCTTACCTTGTCGCATTTCGAACCAAGTTTAGATGCCACCCGCATACCTTGAGTCTCCTCTTGTGATCGTACTCATCCGGTTTTGAACGTTTTTATCAATGATCCCCCATGTCGTCTATCATTCCTCTATCTCCATATCCTTAGGCTCTTGTTAAATCGATGCTTAGGCTCTTCACGCAGGCCTTAAACAATTTCTAACAATTTTGTTCTTGTTTTGTTTCCAGGATTCTTAGTTAAACAAGCCTAAAATTAAGAACCGAATAACCAAACATAACATACCATGAAATTTCCGAACTCTGGTCCAGAAAATTCGTTTATAAGAAAAAGCTAAAACCGTTACTTTCAGTGATGAAGAAGAAATACATTATACATTTGAGAACAAATCCCAAGAAATACTTATTGTTTGTTTGCGTTTAGGTAGGCGTTTGCGTTTTCATATTATAATATTATAATCATTGTAACATGAAAACGCAAACGCAAATACACAATTGCAGCCAATGTTGTTCCATCACATTACAAAAACACTCCGTTAATACTCCTCATTATACACAATAAAAATCAGAGAAGAATCTACAGAGCATGAACTGCTGATTCGATTTCACCGTCCATTGAATCAGCCGTTTCTCTGAACGACTGGCTATGGAGATGCCTGGTGAAACTAGTGGTCGTGTCCAAAAAATATAGAATGGAGGACATCATACAACAGCACACAAACATCGGGATTGGCCCGAAGGTCCATAGGAAGAGCGGGAAGGAGAAGTAGAAAGCCCGTAATCCGAGAGACCAGAAGTAGCTAGCTCGGTTCAGGTTTCTAGAAACGTACTCGCAGTGCTCTCTTTTCCCTCTCGAGACAGGCACTGTGACTAGGAAACTTACGTGAGCGTAGTACCTGATTGACTGAATGTTGCAGAGAAAGGCCATGAGGAAGCAGATCAGGATTGCAAAGTTCTTGATTGATGCTAAGCGAGGGCTTTTGTTCCCGTATATCAGACTTGTCGGGGTGGATTTTGAAGCTGACGAGTTGCTTACAAAGACGCCAATGATTGAACATAGAGTGATTGCTGTTGTGGCTAAAAGGGTTGATGCCATTATGTTGTTCCGGATTGTCTGAACAGCCAAGGTACCGTTTTTCAAAGGTTCCTGGAAACAACAATAAATAAACTTATATCATCTACTGCAAAAGAAACAACAGTGCGACCGACACCATTTCTATTCGAATCTTAACGGATAGACACATGACTGTGTTCTTGTTTCTCAAGTCTATGACTCTGTTCCTATCCAATGAAATCCATTGACTAGCTCCAAGATTCTAGCTGAAATATGCGTAGAGATGAACTATGGGATCTTTGATGCATAGATTTACCAAGAAGAACATAACCTCCCTGAACAAGAAGGGTTCTTGAAAAATATCAAGCTATCTAAGGAGCAGAGCCAACCATCTATTTCAAAATCGATTCTACTTATGAAGATTCACATCTAACATCACTTGACAGCTCAAAGACTTTGCTTCTCCTAATCTCATCATTTTACTCGCATAAACCCTGCTCAATTTTGCTATTTGATGTTTGGCAGATTCAAATTTATGGTTTACTAGTTTTTAATTGACCTCGAAAACCTCAGAATAATGAAAAATGAATTCAAAGAGGAAAACTTCATAAACTCAGGACAAAAAGCATTCCCCTTTTTCCCTAATTTCATAAGAGAGCCGTAAGAATCTCAATACCCAATTCCTAAAATCACGAACAAAGCAGCTCTATTGCCATAAACCTGGCGTTTCAAACAAGAATTACCAAACAATTCCGACCGCATAAACCCTAATTTAGACCCCAGAATCAGAAATATCAGAAAATCCCAGAATCTCACAAAAATAGGAACAATAGAGATGAGAAGAGAGAAGAAACATACAGTCATCATAGAGAAGACCCATTGTCGTCGAGACTCAGCGTTGAGAGAGATAACAGTGAGCTTGGGACGATGGAGAATAGCGTAGACGAGCCAGACATGGTAAGCGACCATCACGACCAGACCCGCCGGCACAAGCACTAAATCCAAAGATTCCTCCTTCCACATTTCTACTTCGCCGCAGATATAGTTTCGGTTCGTACGGTTGTTCCGTGATCGGAAAGATCGATGGCGGCCAAAAGATTTTGGCAGAGGCAAGAGACGAAAAGCACCAAGCTTTGAGAGAGCGAAAGTATCATTCACACGTGTTAACTTAACAAACTCCAGAGAAGAAGACTATCGACATCTCACACGTGTTAACACTAACACTATCAGAGACTATCTATCACTCTCTTACCACGTTCCACATATAGAAGAAGCCCAATCCGTTTAAGTTTGTTTAGTCTTTGGTTTGGTCGGAGAAGTTTTTTTTCGACCCAAACAAATATTGAAGCCCAAAATCAATTTGATTTGGATTCTCAAGTCGGCCCATATATTTTTAAATGATTCCCGCTGATTGACGTTATATCCCGTAAAAATTCATCTAAATTTGATTAGTAAAACGAATTCACTAATATATTTAATTTCTGTGGCTTTAGTGAAGTCAAGTGGTCACTAAATTAAATTTCAGTGTGTAACTAATACATACAATTCGATTATACTACAATAAACATTTTATACATTATCTTTTCCGAATCTATTGACCAAGTGAATAGTGATAATATTATATTATCCCAAATCGGTTGTCTTATTATCTAAATCTGCTTCGGTTGACTCAAAGAACGTCCAATTGTATCGAGATTTGCATATATATGTTCTTCGAGATCTACACCTAACTGCGATTTGAATTTATTTATTTGCTGTTTTTTTTTAGCTTGTAATTTCTTTCTGCTACTTGTTTTCTATATAATTTCTGTCAAATTTTATAAAAATAGTATAAATACTACTGATACAAAAAAAGTTGAGGAGAAATTTATCACAAGTAATTAAGATAACAATAATCAATCATGATGGGTATATTTATTATTAGTCAGAACTTCAGAAGATTTTTTTTTTTTTTTTTTTCAGAAGAAATTATATTTGTACTGATTAGAGATCGGTTCCACAATCGATATGCTAGGTTTTGTCTTTATTGAGAAATATAATGAAGTTGTGATTGATTTTTTTGTTTGAAATTTTGAATTATACCTTCTTCTTTTTTTTGTTTATTTTTAATAAGCTATCAAACAATTTGGTCGATAAAAAATACTAAATAGTTTGACCAAAACAACCAATCAGTATCTGTTGTTATACACTAGGAATTATCATTTAAATAGTGAAGTTATATATAATCAATCCTACGACTAGGTTTCACTATTTTAACTTGAGAGTTGTGCAACAATAAACAAAATGCTAAAAGTTGTCGTTAATAAGACAAGAGATTTAACTATTTGTTTGAAATTTTTGAACATTTTGCTTTTTTTGTTTGACATGATTTTTGCCTATAAAATCTGAACATAATTTCTTGGTGTAAAAAATAAAACCCCCAAAACAATTGTCTTCAGTATGGATTCAGTGAAACTTCAACCTACACATAAACACCCTTTAACCCTTGAAGCTGGTCAATCCGAATGCAAGGCTTGCAACTTTCATACCAAAGCCGATCATTACTATCATTGCTTTACTTGTAAAGATGTAAGCTATCACAAAGAATGCATAACGTATTCCTCTGAAATCACCCATCCGTATCACCCGATACACCCTCTACAGATTTGTACCCGCAAATTTGCAGAGACTACGGAGAACTGCTTCTGGTGCAATAGATACATGGGGTACGTTTTCTATCGATGCTCCATCTGCAATTTGAACATCCATCTCTTCTGCGCTAGCCAGCCCCAACTTGTTCTAACATTGGATCCGGGTAAGAACCATCATCATCCTCTCACAATCTTTCCTAGAATGATGCATTTCACTTGCAATATCTGCGCACGTTTTGGCCATTGGTTTCCTATATACGCTTGTGTCCAGTGCGACTTAATGGTTCATCGTGACTGCTTGGGTCTACCACGTGTGATAAGGATCTCATGCCATGAACACCGTATCTCTAGGAAACTATATCTTCCTCCAGGGAGACGATTATGCGGAGTTTGTCACTTGGAGGTTGATCCCAGGTATGGAGCCTTTCTCTGCACTAAAAGTTGCGATTATGCGGTCCATACGCTATGTGCAACATTGGAGAATGTTTGGGACGGGAGCGAACTTGAAGATGTCCCTGAAGATGAGGATGAGCTTCAAGATGTGGAGCCATATGAGGTTATAGACGACAACCTCATCAAACATTTCAGCCATAAACATAATCTGAGATTCGTTCTCAATCTGGATGGTGATAAAACTAGTCGTTGCCAAGCGTGTAACCTTCTTATCCAGTTTGAGAACTTCTACACGTGTGATCACTGCGATTTCATCCTTCACCAAGAATGTGCCAACTTTCGAAAGAGGAGATGGCACCCGCTGCATCGTCACCCGCTTACTCTAAAAGCTGATGATAACATGACCTTGCACTCTTCCCATAGTGCCCGCAGTGGATTTTACTTATGTTCTATGTGTACTCGGTTCTCTAGCGGTTTTAGGTACGTCTGTGAAAAAGAGAATTGCCATTTGGAAGTAGATGTACGGTGTGTTGCAATACCTGAGAAGCTCAACCATAAATGTCATCCACATCCTCTGTTTGTTTGTCTGATGAACACAAGAAGCTTAACATGTGGGAGTTGCAAGAAAGAATCAAACATAGTGCTATATTGTCTACAATGCCCCAACTACTTCATGTGTTTCGAATGTGCTACTTTACCAGATAAAGTATTATACAAGCATGACAAACATCCTCTCATCCTCTGCTGCGGTGAAGAAGAAGACGCGAAAGAAGGTCATTACTGGTGTGAAACCTGCGAAACAAAATTAGATCCCAAGCAATGGTTTTACAATTGTAACGATTGTGGGGTCACTCTACACATTCCATGTTTGCTTGGAACCTATCCATATTTCAAGCCTGGTCCAATCATGATCAAAGCCGCTCGTCTCAACGAGGAAGTTGAAACGATTTGGCACCATCCTTCTCCTAACGTTCGTGCTGAGTGTTATATTGAGGAAATTCCTATTCGATTTGAGGAGGACTTCGACATTATTGCCAACAATTCGCTTACTCGACATTTGTGTTGTCATTGTGACCGTCGCTGTCAGGATTCTGTAGCTTTCAAGCAGGAACAAGACTTCTTTTGTTCCTTCGATTGTCTCTGCAATCGGAAACTTTACGATGATTCTGTTATCTTCCCTAAACTTAAGTAATTTTATTTTTCCGAGTCATTGTCGTTGTCGTACGTTGTATTCTAATCTCTGGGAGAAGAAATTGTTTAGTCTAGCTATCCAAATTCATGATTCGATGGTCATATAACTAAATAACCGGTAATTTCTGTGATACTATGGAACCGGTAATTTCAATTTCAACCAAATAACAGGTTCCGAATTATTTAATGGGCCTTAAAAATGGGCCTGATAATCATTTAATAACTCTTATAAAGCGTGTGACTGGAGATTTCGTGCGTAATTTTAACAAAAATAAAAATAAAAGAAATAAAAAAATCTTCGAGGGAACATTCAGAAACCCTAACTTCAACGGGAACTCAAAATTCAGAATCTCCAGATCGAGAGCTAAAAAAGCCGATTTCAATTCTCTTTACGATTCTGGGTTTTTGCTATTGGAATGTAGTGTGAAGAAGAAACCCTAGTTTTTCTCACTTGATTTCTCAGTCTTCTTCAGTAATGTCAAGTGAGCAGCGAGAAGGTTCGCAGGAGACGACGACGACGGTGGAAGGTAACGGAACAATTGGAGGTAATAATTCTCATTCGACGGTTACTGCGACATTGAGAGCTACCTCTACGATGGTTTCTTGCCAGAGACTTAGGCTAAACCCTAACAACGAGCATAGACCAGATAGTTATGAAGATCTGCAGCTTGATTTCCCAAACTCGGTATATTCTAGTCTGGAGAAGTACTTGCCTCCGAATATGCTGGTTTCGAATCGCGATGAGAAAATCAAATTCATGACTGACATTATGCTTAGGCATCTTCCTCATGGAGAGCGTTCCAGAGTAAGTACTAGATTTGGACCTTTCTCTCTGAATTGTTTGTGTTTACTTGTGTTGGTGAGATGGGAAATGCTTTAGAAGTTCTTTTAGTTTTACATTTCATTGATGAAAATTTGAGCTTTTGTTGCTATGAATTGGCTTCACTTTATTGAAGTGGTTATAGAAATTTCAATCTGGTTTGATGATGGTAGAAGATATTGCACGTATGGTTAGAATATGTCAATATGAGCTTAGGAGTTTTACAAAGTAGTTTTGTTTTTGGCTGATGCGACAGGCTCAAAGGCACAGGGACTATAGGCAGAAGATTATATCAAATTATCAGGTGTGAATCCTTTCTTGAACTTCACTGTGTTCTGTATTGCTCTGCTCCAGTCATTTGTTAGTAGTTTGAAGTGTTTTCCTACTGCAGCCACTTCACAGGGAGTTGTATACTCTAGTTCCCACAGTATGTTTCGTTCCCTCTTTCCTTAAGGCGATAAATGAAAGCACAGAGGAAAGCTTCAGAAACATAATATCTGAACCGTCTCCTGGTGTTTTCGTCTTTGACATGCTCCAGCCTACCTTTTGCGAGATGATGCTATCCGAGGTAATGTGTATCCTTTTTTGTTTTTCTCTTATCCTTCTCTTTACCTTCGTATTTTGTTCATGTGCTGTTTTTTGACCATGCAGATAGACAATTTTGAAAGGTGGGTGGGTGAGACCAAATTCCGGATAATGAGACCAAACACCATGAATAAATACGGCGCTGTGCTTGACGACTTTGGTCTGGATACCATGCTTGACAAACTCATGGAGGGTTTTATACGTCCCATTTCTAAAGGTAATATATAACTTAAATTCACTACATAGACTATTATTGGAAAGTCTGTTTAATATGTTACAGTGTTAACTAAAAAGCAACTTCGCATCTTTTTTTTGTAGTATTCTTCAGTGATGTGGGTGGAGCATCTCTGGACTCTCACCATGGTTTTGTTGTTGAATATGGTAAAGATAGGGATGTTGATTTAGGTGAGGCCCTTTGACATATCCTGCATAATTTTCACATGACCTGACTAGTTGTCCTAAATGCAGATATACTCCAATACTCACGTAATCCTGGCTGAAAATAATCAGATGTTATATAAATTTGCAGGCTTTCATGTGGATGATTCAGAAGTAACGCTGAATGTTTGTTTGGGTAATCAATTTGTGGGAGGGGAGCTATTTTTCAGAGGTACACGGTGTGAAAAACATGTGAACACAGCAACAAAGGCAGATGTATGCCACTCTTTTCTGTTGCTTTCTTGTCTTTTAACATTCTGTATATGGCTGTTGGCTAATATAAACAACTCTTCTTTTATGCGAAAGCAGGAGATATTTGATTATGATCATATACCTGGACAAGCTGTGCTTCACCGTGGGCGCCACCGCCATGGTGCCAGAGCCACAACATCCGGGCATCGGGTCAATATGCTACTATGGTGCAGAAGGTAAATAACAACTGAAACTTGCCTCTGGACTGCCATGCATCCTTTTTTTGCATTGCAGTTGACTTTCATTGTTATTCGGTTTCGTATTAAGCTTGTCTTTCGTGTTGTTCCTTGCAGTTCTGTGTTTAGAGAGCTCAAAACTCATCAGAAGGAATTCTCCAGCTGGTGTGGAGAGTGCTTTTGTGAAAAGAGAGATGAGAAAGTGCGGTCGATTGATGCTCTAAGAAAGGTAAGCCTGTGATTGATCAAGCTTATGTAGCTCTCTGTTTACTACAATGGTCGATGATTCTATGTTCTTTATTGCTATTGCAGAAATTGTTTAAAGCACGTCAAACCCAAGCTTGATGGAACACACTAGTAAGATGAGCAATTGATGAAACACTAGTAAGATAAGCAATAACATATATTGGATGACTTTAAAACTTGAGATCAAGCTTTGAAGAATTGCTCCTGTTTTAAGCTGACTTAAAACTGAGCCTGTGTAGAAATCATTTGAGGTATATGGGTCTCTGTTTATCTTTTCTCAGACTCTTTGATAAATTATGTACATGAAATCTAGTCTCAACTTCACTTGTACTACAAGGAGTCATATTGTTATCCGATTTTTGTTTTTTGTTTTTTCTTTCTTATGAGTACAAGGAAGAATTGGTGTTATCTAATTGGATGTGGTGATTCTGCTCTCTTAAATCTCCATATTCGCCCCAAATCGTTGCTCTAGTGAGTTGTACTCTTGACCGATGGCCAGAGCCGCAAATAATGGATTTTGCTCTTATAGAACCCGAATCGATTACTACGGTAGTCTCTTTTGAATAGAAATGAACATTAGGGCCATTGTGCACGTTGTTCTAAATAATGGAAGAGAGAAGAAAGTTTAGAATGTGTTTTGTTGCTGTCTTGTTATTTGATGGCAAGACAAATCGAAATTGGTTGTGAAACGGTACTACCAACCCAAATTATAGTTGACTTTAAGGCTGATCATTGAATCCTTATGGATCTGTTATTTATGTCTCTTACAATTCATTCTTCTCACCAAATTCATTTTATTTTTCGGGTTTCTTGGTATCTTTTTGACTATCTATGTAGATACGATGTTTATATGATCACACTAATTAGCAATGTAGATGAAAACACAATCCATTAATCTTCATGATATTATAAGATCAATATGGATTCTTCGCGGTCTGATTTAATCTTTTAAAAGATTTGATGTCTAGGTGTGTGCTAAGTCGTTGAAAACAAAACTAATTCATCTTCATTCTGCAGATTTTCTTAATGTTAAATCTGAGTTCAATAGGGATTCTCTTCTTTCTTTAGGATCTGACTGAATTTTTTTCCAGAGGTTTGATGTCTAGGTGTTTTTTTTTTTGCCAGTTTGTTATTGATATTTGGTGATCTGATGATTATGTTGTTAGTTTTGTGTTTCAGTTTTGATGCTTACTTTCTTTTGGATTCTGAAGTTGGAATATTTTGATTATATAATTAAAACTGAGAATTTTCATATAATGGGCTGAATAAATTGAGAATCTTGCATGTGTCCCTCTTTCGGGCCACTAGAAGAAAAAGAAAAGAGAGAGTACATAGTACAAATTACTTAAATGATTGCTAAAAATTATTTAAAACATAAAAGTTTCTTAATACATTAGAAAGGTCAAGTTATATGTTTAACAAATATTTTGGGAAGATGCCAAAGTTTTAAAATCCAAGCTAATTGATGGTACATTTGTTTGTAGCCGTTTTTATGGAATATAATGACATGAAACAAAAACAAGTTAACTGAATAAACGGTGGTTACTGCTCCTTGGATGGATATTAGTAAACTTATCAATCAAATTATTAATGGTTTTCCACATTTAAGACAAGATGCCTAATTATGAGGTACATCACATGCTATTCGATTCCATAAACTCATCCTTTATATTATAAAACACAAGTCACTAGACCAATCAAATTTTGCCACATAGATTTCTATTTATTTATAATTTATTTTAGAAAAAAAAACAATTCTAAAAGAAATTAGAGATCGTGTGAGAAAAAGAAAAAATTTAAATAAACTGATATATTAACGAAACAAAAACTGTAAACAAAAACTATATCCCTAAAATTGCTCACACTAACAACACGTTCAACTCAGATCATGGCATGTTTTAAACTGATTCATCTCCTATTTAAGTCCAATCAATTCAACTTCTTCTTTAATTGATTTTTTTCTATATTCCTCTCCATCGTTTTTTCTTGTGGTTGCCATAGAAACCAAAGGTTAAAATTTTATTCAGGTTAATGCTTAAACTTTATTCCTATTCATTCATTAATTCATCCATTTTCTCTATAACTCATATTAATTCTAATTTTATCAATCACAGTTGGAAGATGTCTCAGGATTTTACTAAAAGGATAGAGAGCAAAGGATTTTATGTCTTCAAAAGGCACAAGAATTAGAAGCAATCGTTGTAAGAGATCTTTGGTTGCTAATCTGGCCAGAAACTCCATTAAGAGATGATCTAGGCTAATAGCTATCGTGTACATTCTGACACTTACATATTAAAAAAACCAGTTATGATTTCTTACGTAATTTCATATCATTACCATTTGTGAGGTATAAGACTTTTCCTCCATTGTTCGTTTCTATTACAGTTACACTCTAACCTTATAGCTTAAAGAAAAATATTAGAACTAATAAGCAAAAATATTAATCAAGTATTCAACCCGTGCTCGCACGGGTCATAATTCTAGTTATTACATAATTAAGAAACGAATCTATAAACATAATAGAAATCAAATGAAGAATTCACTATCAAAAACTACTTTGTCTACTATAGTTCACAAATTTACTTTCATTTCTTTTTGTTATGTGTACTAAATGATACTCCCTATGTATCACAAAGAATTATTTTCTAAGTTTTTCACCACGATTAATAATAAATGATATACTTTTAAAAAGTTAATTTCAAGCTGCTTTTTATCCCATTTACTCCATCAATTGATCTTGAAAATAAAAATGCATTAAATATACTACAGAAAATCAATCTTTTTGATACAAGAATAAAACCCAAAAATCATTCTTTTTGAGACGGAGGGAGTATGTTTCTTCTGTTATCCATAGATATTAATTTCAAAATATTGATGCATCTAATTACAAGTCTAATTGTATTAAAAATATATATATATATATATTAAAAAGACACCAAAAGTGAAAATGTAAATCTAACCATAACCATAGTATGCTATTATTCTTAAAAACTAAAATCACCAACTTAAAATAAAAGTAAACATATATGTAGATGTCAACATTAAACGGGAATATTGATAAAATAGTGTTTGTATAACTATTGTCGCCGTTTCACAACGCAAATTCAAATTTGTAAATGTAGGTGTATGAATGTAGATGACATAAAGGACCCAAAATTTTCTCCTCTCATTAAACATGAGTGAAACTTATACCAATACATACATATCCTTAACACCAATAAAATAAAATAAAAATACATACATATATCCCCCACATATCTAAGTCACATAAACATTCAACCTCCGAATCGTATTATTACAGTCAAATAACCATCTTTTTATCAGCATTATTATTCATAATCATTAATTATAAAACAACTATAGTGGCCCACTTGAAGAAATTATGTAACATCTCTTCTTCCTTAATCATCCATTTTCTTTATTGTGTAATTGATAATTATTTTCCTGTATTTTAAATCTCAAGTCACCACCACACACTTTAGTATAAAAGCAATCTTGATGTGCTATCAAACTTCAAAAAGAGAAGAGCTCAAGAAGAAGAAGAAGAAGAAGAAGAAGAAGAAGAAGAAGAAGAAGAAGAAGAAGAAGAAGAAGAAGAAGAAGAAAAAGAGACAATGGGCAAAGGAGTAGTATCAGAGAAGGTGAAGCTTGTGGTGGCATTGATCACACTTCAGTTCTGTTTCGCAGGCTTCCACATTGTCTCAAGAGTTGCTCTTAACATTGGTGTCAGCAAAGTTGTGTACCCTGTTTATAGGAATCTCCTTGCCCTTCTCCTCATAGGTCCCTTCGCTTACTTCTTCGAAAAGTAAGTCCTCACATCTTTCAGAGTTCTAGGGCTTTTGTAATACGATCTCAAGTTTGAATATTGTATTCTTCGGTTGATAATATACTTAACAATGCTTTGTTTATCAACAGAAAGGAAAGACCTCCACTCACAATCTCTTTACTGGCTCAGTTCTTCTTCTTGGCACTCATAGGGTAAAGCTTAACCGGAGAACACAATAATAGCAACCGATTCCTCAATCCTTAAATCGATAATTATAGTACTGAATCTCTCTTTTTGTGTGTTTAACATCAGAATCACAGCGAACCAAGGATTTTACCTATTGGGACTTTACTATGCAACTCCAACGTTTGCTTCCGCAATGCAAAACTCTGTTCCTGCCATCACGTTCATCATGGCTTGTACCCTAAGGTACCCTAGCAACCTCTTCTTCATAGAAATATATCGTTTTAATCATTCTCTTGTGCGTGTCTAACATTGATTTTCCACAATGAATCAAGGTTAGAGCACATAGACCTGGTCAGGAAACATGGTGTGGCCAAAGTATTGGGAACTCTTGTGAGCATCGGTGGAGCCACCGTGATCACATTATACAGAGGATTTCCGATATTTGACCAGGGCCTTAACATGCAAAAGGAAGAGGTGATCGGATCTGACAAATCATCACACAACTGGAAACTTGGATGGTTATACCTTATGGGACATTGTCTATCATGGGCTGGTTGGATGGTTCTTCAAGCTCCTGTTCTAAAGCAATACCCGGCAAAGCTCACTTTAACATCCTTCACATGTTTCTTCGGTCTGATTCAGTTTCTGGTCATTGCTCTGTTTGTGGAAACTGATCTTAATAACTGGATCATCGTCTCCTGGGAAGAGCTCTTCACCATCCTATACGCCGTAAGCTCCCTCCCTCTCTCTATCTCTTCCTTTTCCTTGATCTGAATCAATGAAGTTAGCTAAATGAATGTTTCTTTGGCCGTGCTTACAGGGAATAATAGCATCCGGGTTGGTTGTTTATCTTCAAACATGGTGTATCTACAAAAGCGGTCCAGTCTTTGTCGCTGTTTTCCAGCCTCTCCAGACACTTCTTGTTGCTGCAATGGCGTTTCTTATTCTTGGTGATCAGTTATACTCCGGAAGGTAAACGAATTGTAAACAGGAATATCGGGTTTAATTTGTTCCTTTCAATTTCTCGATCTAATATAATCTTTTTGCTTTGCAGGATTGTTGGTGCAGTGTTCATAATGCTAGGGCTCTACTTAGTTCTTTGGGGCAAAAACGAAGAAAGAAAACTGGCTCTTGAAGAAAGTCAACAAGACCCAGAGTCATTGACCAAAAATCTACTTGAGGCACAACACAAGAAGAGTAGTTCTGAATCTGAAGTGTAAAAGTTTACACAGCTGCAAACATAACGCATTACTTCTCTGTACATACACACACAAGAACTTGGCCAACACACAGGCTCCTCAAGTGGGTCTCTCATACAATTGATATTCTAGTCGTTTACTTTTGAGTTGTAATCAAAATTGGGTTGCAATTTATTTATGAATAATAAATGAAAAGATGATAACATTATATCAAAGTTGACAATAGAGAAGCAAATGTTCTGATCCGGTCTGGTTGGAGACAGACCAATGACCTGGAGAACTCATGTTCATGCAACTGTGTACTGTCTTAATCTTTCATACAACGAATCTATAACATTTGTGACCCAGTCTTTGATTATCCAGATAGGCTGCCTATTTTGTGACCCATGATCAAATATGAGTCCTAGTAATCGAAGTTCTGATTCTACTCCTACAATTTTGACTTTTATAACCAAAACTAGTCAACATATGAAACAAAAAAAGAGAAATCTTGATATCACAAGTCACTAGAAAGAAATACAATCGCACTAAACCACAAATTAAACAACTTAGCTGCAATAGCACATGTTGAAAGAAAAGGAGTCTAAGTTCAAAACCATTGTGCAAACACAACATAAAAAAAAAAAAAACAAAAGCTTAGATAGAGCAATAGAAGTGTTCTGGGACCTGTTTTGAAAGAAACTACCACACTACCTCACAGTAACGATGTCATCAATCTTCAAAATCATCCTTACGCATTCAGTTGCTAGAGTGATTGCACTGGTACTCACAAGCAGGGGCTGAACAACATTCTCCTCCAAGATATTAGTGATCTGTCCTTTCCTCACATTGATCCCTGCATGGATTTCCCCTTGAGCATGCTTGTTCCTGAGTTCAGTCACAATGGCGATAGGGTTTAACCCTGCATTTTCGGCCAGTGTGTAAGGAATAACCTCGAGGGCTTCAGCAAAAGACTTCACACAGTAACCTTCCATCCCATGTAGAACCTTAGCCCAAGTACCAAGCTGCCTTGAGAGCTCAATCTCAGGTGCACCACCTCCTGCAATCAAGAACCTCTTGCTCACCAGACACCTAACAACACATAAGGCATCATGTAAACTCCTTTCAGCTTCATCTAGAACAAGCTGGTTGGAGCCACGAACAAGAACAGAAGTAGTTCTTCCCATGTCCTTGATTCCAGTGATCTTCAAAATCTTTCCATCTCCAAGGGAAGCTTCTTCAACAAGATCAGCATGGCCAAGCTTCTCAGCTCTAAAATGCTCAATATTGGCGATTGGCAAGCAATTCAATGTCTTGGTGATGAATTCAATCTCATCTCTCTCTACATCCTTGATAACCATGATTTTAGCTTTAGCCAAATAGTGAAGAGATAGATCAGTCACAGCATCCCTCAAAATACTCTTCTGGATCAACAACACATTGCAACCAGTTGCTTTGATCTTCTTAATCATCCCCAAGATGTAATTCCTCTCTTCTTTCAAGATCCTATCCATCTGAGTATAATCAGAGACAACAATACTCTGCTCAATATCAGTCTTAGGAGGTGAGATCTGGAACTGAATCACAGCGATCTTAGCATTCTCCACACGAGTCGGTCCACCAGCAGCACGACTAACCTTCTTGTCAAAAACCAAACCTTTCACCGGATGTGTATCATCCACAGTCCCACCAAGCTTCTTAACAATCTTAATATCACGCAAATCCACAATCTCTGGCTTTTCCGGATCTATAACAGAGAGAACCGCATCTACAGCTAAAGGAGCAAGTAATGTAGAGTACTGACTAACAACCTTACTGTTAAGCGACGTGCTCGCAGATTTAACAAGTGAATCTCGATCAGTGAGCTCCACTGGAACAGCCATGGCGGTCAAGATATCAATCGCCTTAGCACAAGCCTTGTGAAGCGAATCTGAAATGACAGTAGGGTGGATCCCGTTTGTGAGAAGCGACTGACACTCCTTGAGAAGCGCACCGGCGATTACTACGACGGTTGTAGTCCCATCTCCGGCGGCTGAATCTTGAGATTTGGAAAGCTCGACTAACATCTTCGCCGCTGGCTGCAAAACCTCCATCTTGTTGAGGATCGTAGCTCCATCGTTAGTGATGATTACCTCACCGTTCGCCGTGGAAATCATCTTGTCCATTCCTTTCGGTCCCAAACTCGTACGTACGGCGTCAGAGACGGCGCGAGCAGAGTTGATGTTCGCGAATCGGATATCTTCTCTCCGCTTGTTGTCTACGAACGATTCTGCTTTAGATCCACGGGGCTTCGAAGCCATCGGTGCTGCTACCGCCGCCATTTTTTGCTATAACCAATAGAGCTCGAGATCTCAGATTTGATTTCTACGGGAATATGATTTCGATCAGTGAAATTTGCAGAAAACCCTAGATGAAGAGTGTTCTGGAAATGAAAGAGAGAATAGAGAATTTGAAAAAAGCCCTAGGGTTTACGCTGTTGTTTGACGAATGGGCCTGTTTTTTGGGTTTTATGAGTGAAATTTATTTAGCCCACAAGGCCCAGTTATTGGTTCAGACTTTAGTGTCTTTTAAGGGGACGGTTAAACAAATATGAGAAAAAACTAAATTAGACCAAATGATCTGAAATTTCTCGAAATTTACATACCAGATCGACAAAATTAAATATTTTTACTGGTATTTTCACCGACTGATTATGCAATAGCTCAAGAGCTTTGACAAGAACCGGCTTGAACCGGTTTATGTCAACGCTCACGTTCTGCTGTACCATATGATAAGAATATGGTAGGATTGGGAGCAAGTGGTTCCAGCATTAAACTAACCTTCATCGCCAGATTTTGCATGGCGTAAGTAGTCTTGTGTTCAGATTTTGAAGTATCTGTACATACGATTCATATTTGCCTATTACATTTTTTTCTTTTTTTGCACTGAATTATATTGATATTGGATTCGGAAAAGTTACGATACACAGGACTGACATGAGAAAAGAAGAGATTAAACTTCATAGAAACACAATACTCGATCCATAACCTACAACAAGATGAGAAAAGGAGTTTTCGATAATAGATTGCAAAAACCAAACAAATCTTGTCTCAATACTAAACGAAGCTTTCGAAACTCATCACAAGGACTTTCCGCACAACAAACTATGAAGACGGACTTCAATATTTATAGCAAAACCAAGAAAGTGGAACTTGGCCTTATCCGTAAATGATGCTTCTTTTCAATAAGTTCATTTGTCAAGGGTCTTCCGGATGAACGTAAGATAATGGAGAACCAATTAGACCTTAGTCGGGGGAGAGACAAAACAAGGTTATTTACTGGTAATTATTTCGATCCGACTACAATAATTTACAGTACACGAATGCTTGAAATTTACTTATTTACACCGACTGCTTATGTAATAACTCAAGAGCTTTGACAAGAACCGGCTTGAACCGGTTTATATCAACGCTCACGTTCTGCTGTACCAAATAAACCGACTTGAACGTTCCCCACCCGCGTTTTGCAACCGCCAATGGATCTCTAATGATCTCGTGATCACGCCCGTACTGCTTCACCAGTGTGCTCTCCTCCACCGCGATCTTGTACTCCAAATACCTCAGATTCATTCCCTTCGACGGAACCTCGAAATCCGTCTTCGCAATCCACTCGAATCCACCGATCGGAAGTATCTGAATCACGACCGCGTTCTCCGGTAAGAACACCATGTTCGTCAGTCCCGCGCCGTGAACGCCAAGCATCACGTCACAGGAATTCACAATTTGTGCGAAACTCGCGATTTCGGTGTTTGCTTCCGCCACCACGACTTTGAATCCGATCTGGCTCGCCGCTCTAGCGATTTCACCCGCGTTCACAAACGCTCGCGATATGCTCCTCGACAAAATCAGAATCCGTGGCCTCCGCCACGTGGACACGGCGGCGTTTCTCAACAAGTATGCGTCTCTGAGATATTTCCTGAAATCGGACATGGAATACTCCGAATTCGAAAGATCGATCGTTAGCTCTTTCTCATAATCACGGTGGCGATTGAGACCGACGATGACGCTGCCGAAACAATGCGTTTCGTATTCTTCGTCGATGTAAATCACTTCATAATTCGAAAATTTCCTCACTAATTCCTTAAATTTGCTGATCCACCATGGATTCTTGTTCGTCACTAGGAATTGAACTTCACCGTCGAATCTACGCGCCGTCGTGTACAGAGGAATCACGATGTCCGTGAAATCATGGAAATTGTTCAACGAGAAGCCTCCGAGAGAGAAAAGAATCGCCGGAACGCTGTGTTTTCTAACGCAACGTGATAAACTAGCGTTTTGAACTACTTTCACTGTCCATTCTCTCACGCGTTTCATGGCCGTAACTTGGTCTTTTCTCGCATATGGTCTCATATGCCACGTGGAATTACCGGAAAACGCAGACGTGATCGCCGCAAGAACAGTTGCGGATTTACCAAGGATTCTTACGTCGCCGCTTAGATCGCAAAACTCTTTGCTTCCTAGCTTGTTACAGTGACAGATAGGTTTCTCCATTTCATTGCACTCTGAAAATTCACTCAAAATAAAAACAGTCTCTGAATCAAACTATATATATAGAAAATGATTAAAAACCATAACAACTTAAAGACAATTGTAGAGAAAATTCTGAAGTATATTGACCTGAAATAACTTCTTCTTTGGAGATTGTAGTGTTGGTAGTTAATTCTGTTATTCTCAGCATCCTGAGACCAGTGCCAACTGATAATTGTAACTCCACAGAAGAAAGAAAGAAAGAGATGCACGTTAAAATGATTGTTTCTGTGTTGTCTGGCTTTTCGGCGAAACGTGGTAAGGGACTTACCGATTGGTAAAGGGCAGAGATAAGGTTTAACGACAGTGTAAAGAGTGAAGAAAAAGAGAAGAGAGGCAATGAAAGCTACAAAGCCAAGTCTCTTCTGATCAGTTTTGCTAAAGCTACGAGCAAGTATTGAATCGTAAGGAAGATCCCTCTTTGTCATATCTTGACTCTTAAGTTACACAAGGATGTCTTTCTTGTTCAGCAAGAAACTCGAGAATCAGAGTTTGCTGGCTAATGTAGAGATATGAAGGTCAAGGTGGGAGAGCGAGAGGATTGTGTGCGGTATTTAAGAACTTATTTTACGAAATTGTCGTGTTTTTGTTTTCTCTTTTGTCACTATAAATGTCTGGATTTTAAGACAGGATCAAGAAGAGAACGTTTAGGTATTGAAGATCAAAAGATTTAAAATGAAAATAAGTGTAGTGTTAAAAGAAGAGAACTAAAGCATGTTCAAAGTGGTCGAATCTCACCTTGATTTACATTGCTACCATTGTTCGATCTTATATTGGTTTGCTTCATTTTGAGTGGTGTGATGAATCATTTAGCTGCATATCGAAATTATAGAAATAAAATTAAATGTACAATTTAATTTGCAGCCAAAAAAAGAGAAGGAAAAACAGCATGACAAAAATATCCGTAAAATGGTGGAAACGCTTTTCAAAACAGATTAAAGCTGACCCATAAACTGTAAAAAGTAACATAGAATTTAGTGTGAGCTACATAATTCTTCTTTAATCTGTTTGTGGTATTCTGTGCAACTTTTCTAATCGATGTCGGTTTACTCTGGTTAGTCGATTGGGCCTCATCAGACTAACTGACAGTTCAAAAATTTCGATAAAATATAGTACTAATTGTTTTATTATAAATATTACGATCCAACTATAAGAGCATCATTATAGGTAGTTTCTTAGAGATAGATCTTAGTAATATTTAAATAATTTATTTGTAAAAGTGATTGTTAAGAGATAGTATTTTTGAGTTAAGATTTTTGTGTGATTAATGGTAGGCTCTTAACATGTGGTTCTTAGAAAAAAAATATTAATATAAAAATAAAATTTATAATTATAGAAAATTTAATAATTGTTGCAAATTAAAAAATTAAAACATACATGAGATACAATTTATAACATAAATCACAAATATTTTAAACTTAATTTCTTCTATATTTTGTCCATATATGCTCGACCAAATCATGTTTCAATTGTTGATGCATACCTCGATCACGAACTCGAACTCTATTATCGAAGAAATTAGAAAGCGTATCTGTAGAATATGTGAAATCCGTCCAATCAAAACGTGACACGTGGCACCTCTTAACCCTCAAAATTAATCTTAGCTAAGAAACGTTCCTTAGCTAAGGAACGTTTCTTAGCTTATTAAGGTATTAACTATTTAATTTAAATCACTTTAATACCTAAGATTCAGCTAACATCCCCCCTATAATGATGCTCTAAGAGCATATGCAAGGGTGCATCTTTAAAGTTTGATCTTAAGGGAGAAAAAATATTAAAATATTGTAAGAGCTTTAATTAAGATCTTTTGTAAAGTAAGTGATTATTGGTAGAACATGTTTAGATCATAGGAATTAATAATTTAATAATCAAAAACTTTAAATGTTTTTTAAAAATTTTAAAAAATTATTTTTAAAATTGAAAACATAAAAACTAAACTTATATTAAAATTGATTTGAAAATAAAAAGAAACACAAAATACAATTCCTAATAATTATTAAACAAAAATCGCAACCAATCCGCGGGTGCCACGTCGCCACAAGAACAGCCCAAAAACAGTTCTAGCCCAAGATCACTTTCCATGTTCCAAAGCCTGTTCTCAGAAATTTTAATATTTTTATAACATAATAACAGTCCAATAGATGGCCCGATAATTATGGTCTAAGAATTTACACTTTTACAGTATACGAACGCGGTAAATATTTAATTTACACCGACTGCCTCTACAATAACTCAAGAGCTTTGACAAGAACCGGCTTGAACCGGTTTATATCAATACTAACGTTCTGTTGTACCAAATAAACCGACTTGAACATATCCCACCCGTGTTTGGCAACCGCCGATGGATCTCTCACGACCTCGTGGTCGCGTCCGTACTTCTTCACCAGCGTACTCTCCTCCGCCGCGATCTTATACTCCAAATACCTCAGATTCATTCCCTCCGAAGGTCTCTCGAAATCCGTCTTCGCAAGCCACTCGAATCCACCGATCGGAAGAATCTGAATCACGACCGCGTTGTCTGGCAAAAACACCATGTTCGTCAGCCCCGCGCCGTGAACGCCGAGTATCACGTCGCAGGAATTCACCGTTTGCGCGAAATTCGCGACTCCGGTGTTCGCTTCCGCCACCACGACTTCGAATCCGATCTGTCTCGCCGCTCTCGCGATTTCGCCGGCGTTTTCGAACGCTCGCGATCTGCTCCTCGTCAAAATCAGGATCCGTGGCCTCCGCCGCCGGATCTGGCTCGTAATCACCGCGGCGTTTCTCAATGAGTAGGTGTCTCTTAGAAAACTTCGAAAATCGGACATTGAATACTCCGAATTCGAAGGATCGATAGTCAACTCTTTGAAATACTCACGGTGGCGAATGAGACCGACGGTGACGCTGCTGAAACAGTGCGTTTCTTCTTCGTCGTCGATGTAAATCACTTCGTAATTAGATAGTTTCTTCACTAATTCCTTAAATTTTTTGATCCACCATGGATTCTTGTTCGTCACGAGAAACTGAACTTCTCCGTTGAATCGACGCGCCGTCGTGTACAGAGGAATCACGACATCGGTGAAATCGTGGAAATTGTTCATCGTGTAGCCTCCGAGAGAGAAAATCATCGCCGGAACGCTGTGATTCCTAACGCAACGCGAGAAATTAGCGTTTTCTAATTGGTCAGCGTTTTGTTCCAATTTCACGGTCCATTCTCTCACGCGATTCATCGCCACCAGGTCACCTTTTCGCGCGTAAGGTCTCATATGCCACGTGGAATTCCCCGAAAACGCAAACGTGATCGCAGCTAAAACAGTCGCGGATTTTCCATGAATTCTTACGTCGCCGCTAAATTCACAGAACTCTGTTCTTGCTAGTTTGGTGCATATAGGTTTCACAGTTTTCTCCAATTCATTTTCATCTGAAAATTCATCAAAAGACAAAAATATCAATAAATTGACTAAAACCATAACATTTTCAAGAAAAGTATCAGTAAATTGACTAAAACCATAACAATTCAAGAAAATTGTAGAGAATAATTTAAAGTAAATATGCGGACCTGAAATAACTTCTTCTTTGGAGATTGTAGTGTTGGTAGTACAATTAAACGAATCAAGAAAATTCTTTGGCAAGCTTGTGTCGTTGCAGACATTAAACTTGTGATCTTCAGAACTGATTAGGCTCTGAGTAGTCACTGAACTTGATGTAACATTATCTTGATTCGTTTGGATAATGAGTTTCTCTGAATCTGCGGATGTTTCATTGTTGCTGCTCTTTAATGCTGGCGGTTCTGTTATTCTCAGCATTCTGAGACCAGCGTCCACTGATAATTGCATCTCCACTGAAGAACGAAAGATAAACGTTATTATTAATGATTGTTTCTGTGTTTTCTATCGTTTTGGAAAACGTTGTGAGGGACATACCGATTGGTAGAGGGCTGAGGTAAGGTTTAGAGACAGTGCAAAGAGTGTAGACGAAGAGAAGAGAGGCAATGAAAGCTCCATATCCAAGTCTCTTCTGCCCAGTTCTGCTAAAACTACGAGCAAGTATCGTGTCGAAAAGAAGATCCTTTTCCGTCATTTCTTTGTCTCTTTAGTTACACAAACTTGATCTTTCTTGTGCTACAAGAAAACTCTTGAAACCAGTCTTCGTGCTAATGTAGAGAGATGAATGATTGTGAGAGGATTGTGTGAATACTAAAGAACTTGTTCTACGACATTGGTCGTATGGTTCTTGTCTCTTATAAATGACTGGATTTCAAGACAAGATCAAGAATAGAACGTTGAGGTGTTGAAGATAAAAAGAAATTAAATGAATATTATTAGTGTATTATTATTAAAAGAAGAGGATCTTATTTAGTTTTATAAATCAGGCGAGTGTCGGCATTGGAGAGGAAGGATTTGGAGGGCATGAAGTATTAGTCGAAGAACAAGTCTTAGTAAGCAGCTTAATGAATGCTCCCCACGATTTTTCTTTTTAGCTTCATTTTAAATATATTAATAGATATAATTATAACGAACAACCAAAATAAAACTTTAACAAAGAATTAATAAAATTGTCAAACATGATTTCATGAGCATTGTGTTTCTCTGTGGTTTAATCTCGTCTCTTTCTTGTGGTTTGTAACTTTTTCGAATTTTGGATATCAATATTATTCTAGTAAAAAAAAAGATTTTACTAGGAGTAGACAATCTAGACTTCGAGACAATTGTTCTAAGCTGATCAAAATGTCCCATAACCCCGAGAAACTATCCACTTTCTCAAACCTTCCAGACGAATTTATTTTGCTTAATTTACAATAATTTTTCGTCATTTTAAGCTAAATGTTTGGGTGCGTGATTACTTAGCTTGTTCAGCCATAGCTAATTAAACGACATGTTAGTTTTGCAAAATTTTCTCTTCCAAATTAGATTGTTAGTGAAGAATTTGTTTTTTAATATAAATGTGTGGTTGACAAAAGAAAACAAATAACAGAATTATTGAAACTACAACTTACACAAAAAAAGAGTACATATATATATATATATATAAAATTTTAGTTAGAAAAATATATTTATATAATATATTGAACATATGGAAATGAAAGAAACTTTGTAGTTGACTGTTATGACAGACACAACCAAAATCTGAATGATTGATTGTTAATTGTTTAGTTTTTGTTTCCTATAAGACCAATTAACGAAGGAGGCAGAATCAAATGTGGCCTGAAAGGTATGAATCAACTAACAGTTGGTGAAATTTTTCTAGATTTTTGTGAAACTTGGTTGTTCGATTGTCGACTTTGGACTTTTTCCAACAATCTCTCATTACATTTTTCTTTTTTTTTCTATGTATACTTGAATTCAATAATTGATGTATGGTCTTATATGTGAAATTTTAAGCATCCCCATCTAACTAGACTAACTCCGTTGAAAAAAACTATAGAGTAGTTAAAACATAAATAGTGATCGTTACCCTAATCTAATAACGATGGATGACAAACAACATATACATGTCAAAACTTTTAGATAATTACTAGTAGTAAAATTGGTTTGTGAATTTGTGATCAAAGTGTCATATACGGATGTGATTGGTCTAATCCTGAAATTGTATCATCACCAATCTACTGGATATAATCATTGGTGCATATTTTCAATGAATAGTAATGATTGCTTTTGTTGCCATAACTAAATCTACTTAAGAGAAGCTTATGTTTAATCATCCGAAACGTGCAGTGATTACCTCAACATCCAATTGAAATCTGTTAAGCAAAATATGGTTTTTCTATGAATAAATTAGGTGATAATAAGATGCATCACAATATTAATAGCAATATAAGAAGGTTGTTAAGTAGGAAAGAGACATTCTAACAAGTTACGTGTCTTGTAGCCTATTTGGTGGGTCGCATGACGATGTACGTGTGCACCTTCCAATATACGATTTTTTTTGTTTAATTGTAGTATTAAATTTAAAATTATGTCAAATACATATATAAATATATTTATTTAATTATTTGTAGAGTCATCGGTAGGTTTGCATAATTTTTTATGTCTTGTGATAAAATTGGTGTTAAGATTAAAAAATAAAAGATCATAAGCAAAGGATCCGCCACTTTAATTTTATTTATACATATGTTTTTTTTATGTGTGTCTAAATAACATTTGACAAAGGGATGCTGAAGGATCATTTACAATACAATGCATGGATCTATTCAAATTTGAGTAGGAAATTCAATTTGTACCACACAAAACATATCAATTAATATTCTTAAGGACCATGTAACTTATTTATTTGTATTAGTAGTAGGAATGCATATTCGGAAGTGTTCATGTATAAGTGCTGCATGTAGTAGAACATATAAAAAATAATGTTAAAAGCTCTGGCATCTTGCATTGACTTTCACATATTGGTATTTCTTTCTTTCTTTTAAAGTCCTATGTTTATATTTTCTTTTAATGTTAGACGATATATATTGCTAATGATATATAGAAAGACCAACATACATGCTTCTGATAAAAATTCTAATTAGGAAATTTCTTTTTTATACTAAATAAGAGATCTAATCCGAAATGTTGTAATTCAGACATATTTTAGAGTAACATGGAAGGAAGGAAGGAAGTAAAAGGGTTCATTTCATCTCACTGGTTAATTAACCTTTGGTTCATGCAAAGTTCCCTTATTGCAAGGCAGTGGCCTCCATCAATAACGTGAGGTACTTTACTTATAACTTTGAGAACTAGGATATGACCCGCGGTATACCGCGGGTTAATTTTTTATAACAATATTTTTTTATTCTAAGTTGTATTTGTTTTAGTAATATTGTTTGGCTTGTTTAGTGTTTAAGATTGTATAATTGTATTTTAATTGTTAATTCTAGGATTTCACCCGTGGTATACCGTCTCATATTAATATCGACCTAAACCCGTTCCACAATATAACCCCGTCCGTGAAATTAAATATCATTTTGTTATTTTTTTAATAGTACTTTTATTTAAAAGATAATTCGAGTCAATTTAAAGTTTGCTTTTAAATAGTTCCAATAATATATAAATTTAATTTTTGTAGAGTTCAAATATAATTAATATTATAAACTATTTGTAGAATATAAATATTTATACTATTAAGCTAGATGTATTCACTTCACTATTAAAAAGTACAAAATTAAGTAAATTATATTTAGAGGGATTAAAATTATATGCATTGTTAAACTTAACATAGTATTATATCTAAAAATAATACGGTAAAAATGTTTACAATATACATTAGTAACAATGTGTAATATATATGTGGCATTACTACATAGTTTATAAAGAAATAGTTTTGACAACAATGGGTCCTATTGTCAATAGTAAACAAAATGCAAAAAATAATGAGGTTTTGTAATTTGCGACGTTTGTGTTTAGGAAGAATACGTTTTTGTGTAATAAAAAAAAAAGACAATGTTTTGGTAAAGTTAAGGAAAGGTTTCGTCTTCTTGACCAGGACCAAAAAAATAAAATAACAGATCTCACAAAATTGGTCGATCCCTTTCCATAGTCTTTTTCCAATTCTTGTTCAATTTTCCGATTATACAACGATGATCGATTACTATCTCATAACACGAATCTCAATCTCAGAACACATAAAAATGAAGACATGGATTACAATCACGGTAAACCCGAAGGTAAGAGAAATCGATTCTTGAACATCAAATTCAGAATTTAATTGTCTATCATGGTTAATTTTGAATCAAATTTCTCTATGAACCTTAAAAAGATTTGTTTCTAATTCTGAGTCTATTTGCCAAAATTTAAGGTTCGAATGTATGATGTTGGTTTATTATCTGTTATGTACTTAATGAATCATCCTATAATGTTTTTGTGGATCCATTACTGGTAGAACATTATTGCGTTGATCATTTTTTTGATGATATGATTCTTTTTATTCTGATCATGATGTGTACCCGAATTCTGATTTCCAATTTGTTTAAAACATTGAAGATTATAGGGCAAGGAAGCATAATCTCCTTAGAAGATGAAAGGATTAAAAGTTTAACAAATCAAGAGTTGTAGATTTGCAATGTAATAAAGACTAAGTGATGTACACAAACACAAAGATAGGATATCAATTGTCTATCAAACATATATGATTATAATGTTCGTAATATAGGTGACTAACATGTCTTTTGTTTCATAGGTTAAACATAATCTTCAAATATGAAAGTCAAGTGGCTTGAGCAGGCAGGAGTAATCTGTAAACATAAGATACATTCTCAAAAAGGTCAGTGGAGATAGGATAGACTAAACTGGTTAAAATTACAATCAAGCATGTGATTTTGAAAATTACAACACGACAGCCAACTAACAAATATAAAGTAATCTTACACTCATAGACGTAATCTCAAAGACGTGTTTATCGTGTCTTGTATGTTTAGATCTTGGAAATGAGAGTGTATTTATAGTGTTTTGATAAGTTGCTAGAGTTTTAGGTTAGAGAATATATAAAATCTTGGTGAGCAAGTATAATATATCTTTGAAAATCTTAGAATCGGAAATATATAGAATATGCTACATAGATGCTATACAAAATAAGGATAAAATCTTTTAGTTACAACACATTCCCAATTCATTTCGTGGGATTTAATGTAGAAATAATATTGTTCATTTTATTTAGGAAATAAATGTGATTTGCAACAAAATCTTTACCATTTTAATAGGAAACAATGAGATTATCAAATCTTGGTTTGTTGCCACGATATTTGCGATTGATCTCGTCATATTAAATGTTGTTTGGATTAAATGTAGGGATTTTCAACTAAGGAAGGTTCTGATTCACAAAAATTCGGGTCAAAATAACAAATAAGGAAGGATCCGAATCAAAGATTTCCGGGTCAAAATTAATTAAAACCCGACCCGATTGGAAGGAGCAAATATGTACTTCAAAAATGTTAAGTAGATGTCTCTTTGTTTACCACTTTATTGATTTTTATAGATACATAAACAAAGAGATTATAATGGTTTATGGAAGGAAATGAAAGTTTAGCAAGGAGAATATGGAAATTTACATTTGCAAAGACGTCTGCTATTGAGTTCATCATAAATGCCACACTCGCAATGAAAAGGGTATTCCTTAATTTTGTTAAAGCCTCTTATGCAAGTCTTGTTTCCGTTCCACCCACAATTTTGTTTGAATACTTCATGATTCAATGAGAATGATCAAAGATACTGTCTTTGCTACATGCAAAATCTTCCTGTTTGTTTTTTCTTTTCTTTTCTTAGTGATACTTCCAGAAACAAAGTAGTAGAACTTGTTAGTTTCGCTATTGTAACGCGTGTGTTACTACTAATCTTTAACGAAAATTGCCCACACCAAAAATAGTTATTAATACTAAATTAGGAGAAAAGAAAATAGATATGTAAGATCAATTCAACGAGATCAAGAAAATTAGATTTTTAATCTTAGAAGAAAAAATGGATGGAGGAGCTTGTCTGCATTCTGATTACAGGAGATAAGGGATATGCAACATTTTCATATAGAGGGAAAATATATGTTTTTAATACAACAATTATATTGAATTTTAAGTAATCATTGAGAAAAAATAATTCTCAAAATATAATGGAGACATGATATATTGCTAGAAGGTTAAACCAACATCAATTTCACTAAACGTTATGCTTTGATAAATTAAAGAGTTTCGATACTTTCAAAAACAATTACTTGTCCCACACACTACTTGACAGGAAAGCAGATGATTTCACAAAACTGCCAAATAACTGAAACTGTCTCTCGTCTTTGATTCCTTAGCCCACTACTCAAACCAAATTGACCAACAGCTCTTTCGGTCTGAACCCACCACTTTACTTAAGAATCAGCAAAAGTCAAGCAAGGGAGGCGCCTCATTGCATTTGAAGTGGCTCGACGTTCTCTAGCTTCTCTTCTAAGTTCCATCCCCTGAAACACACAACCCCACGAGTTTTAGCCTTGCGCTTAAAATTCAACTCTCGAGTGATGAAAAGAAGTAAGACGAGATTTTCCTCACCTTTCAGCAGCTTCTTTTTTGAACGAATCCATCTGTGTCTCAAGCATGGCACAAGCAGACTGAATCTCCATATTCTTCACGCAGAGCTGTCTCCATTCTTGAGATAGAGCATTGAGCTCGTATGATGTGGTTTGCTGGTATGGCCACACAAGAAAGTTTCAGATTACCCGGTAAACCAAAGAGAAAAAAGTGGAAGGAAGATGTAAAATACTTCAAAAGTGTTATCACCTGATGATACTTCCTTTCCCGATTTACTTTTTCAATTTCCTCGTTCTGCTCCTGCGCTAGTCTTTGCATTCTGGAAAATAGAGTTCAAATAGAGTGTTGAGATCATTCTCGCAGTGTTTAAGTTCCAAAAACTAGATACTAGGTATAGTTTGATAAAGAATGACATGTCCCAAGAACACAAAGAGCTTCTTATGTTTCATGGGAACATAAAAGAAAGCACATGAAGAAAAAGGAAAAGCAAATCTCGTGTACTAAAGCCTTGCATATTATGCAAGTAAAATGGACAACAAAGATATCAAGAATGCTTCAGCAGATCATCTAGGATATATACAATCCATCAACTAAAGATCTTAAACCCTTTTAATCCCAAGTTACAATGTAGATGACATTCAATACAATCAACGCTGCTGTATATATAAATGTGAACAAACCTGGTCAAGAATACTTCTAGCCGATGGTTGTTCTGTCTCCAAAGCTCGGGGCCAAGTTTTGACATCAATTCCAAATTCTCAAGCCTGTGAATGAACAAATCCACGTTTTAAAACAGGAAACCAGTATGTATAGAAGAGAATCATGATTCAGAAACTTTGCTTACTCGATCATCTTTTGTTGCAATGACCGCTGATTCTTCTGAAGATACTGCTTCCAGGCAGCAGCATCATTACTCTTATTAGCAGGCGGCAATTCAAGCTTGTATCGGGATTCAAAATCTATCCGCACTGGAGGCTTCCCAGCTCGAACACGCTCATACTCTTTGCCAAGAACTGGGCAGTTCTGATATTCGTTTTAAACCAAACAAAAGAGACAAAACCAATCAATACCTTTACACCTAAATCATAAAACTAACTACTTTCAAGAAAAAGCTATCATATCAGCAAATCAAAGCTCATGAGGATTACGAACGCTTAGAATAAAATTAATTGAAACTTAGATAAATCACCCAAACTCTTTGGCTCCCCTTTTCTCTCAGAAGAAGAGAACAAGTACCCTAACATAACAAATCCAAAATCAACACTCGGACTATAAAGTTCAAGATCAAGCAAAACCCATAAGAAAAAAACGATTGGAAATCAAACGAAAATTCATCGAATTATTTCTCAACCCTAATCCAACAAAAGTTTCCAAACCCGAGCTAAAGAAACGAACGAACAAATCGATAAAAGGATTCAAAGTGAAATTCACCTCGAAATCGAACTTCGGAAGAGGAGGCAAGTCCTTGAGAAAGTCAGCTGGCTTCTTAGAGCTCCGACGCATCTCTTCCTCCACTAAGCGGTCGACCTCCGACTTAATCAAGGGATTGCCATAGTCGTCGTCTATATAAGGAAGCGCATCGATAACTTCTGCGTTTGCCGCACTAGCCCAGGGTCTCGCAGCCTCCGGCGCCGCCTCAAGCATCAACACATCTCCATTGTTCGTCGCCATAATCGTCTCTCGACTTCAGAAATCGAAAGTGCCCAGAGAGTGAGAAAGAGGAAAGAGACCCATGTAAAAAAAAAATTGTAGTTAAGACCGGTTCAATAGACCCGACCCGGTACTATTGGGCCTTAGGCTTTTAAGCCCAAAAAATTGAAAGATATGAGATTTCCTTTTTTTGGTTGCAATATTAGTGTTTTTTTATTCTATTTTTGGGTTAATGTCAGTATTAATATACTTTTAAAGAACCTGCAAACTTTTAATTTTCTTCTTGATAAAATCTTTTTTTTTGCCATGGTTTATAGATATTGAACAATTATTCTAGAGATGTTTGATTTTACAAGTTTTTGAAGTAAATCGAAACACAATAAAAAGTAATGAGCAAACAATTTGGCAATGGGGTTTAATAATGCTACTGAGGCATATTTGCGTATAAAAGAGTAAAAAAGAGTTTAACTTCAGGCAAATCTCGGATGAGTTGCAAGAACCGGTTCTTGCTTGGTTCAGCTGAAATCTCTGGCATGGTCTTCTCAATCTGTGGTAATAGCTTCGCCAATTGCATCCCTGTGGCCAGACCGGTCTGCGTTTCCATCTCCTCTACTAACGCAACGGCACAGCACTTGAGTGAGATCTCTGCTACATTTGTAAAATCATTGCTGCAACAAGAAAACAAGACCGAGAAATGTTTACAGGATATATATTGCAACATTCTTGATTTGAGCATTAAAGCAGAAACGAGGACAAGGCTTTAAAGAAGTGAAACTTGTTAGTCTTTTGCGGGTTTATGAGCAGAGACAATTTTACCTTGTGACTACTTCCCGTGTCTCGGTTATGAGTTGATGAAACTTGGTAACAGTTGCATCAGAAGAGGAAACATCAGTGGTTGCATCTTGGGACATCATTAGATAATCTACCCAGTGATGTGGACTTCCAGTGCTCATAAACACATCGAGAATCCGCATCACAGTTTCTTGAAGAACCCTTGTGGTAAACACATCCTTTAACTGCTTTCTGCAATTAAACACACATAATTAGATTTTGCTATACATTCATAAAAGTATAATGATCTTTATAGGCCATTTGAGGCACCATATAATCAATCTTCAAGAATGAGAAACCAGTGAGGAATCTTTGATAAGTAGGTTTCAGGTTTGTAATGTAAATTACCCCTTAAGAACTTCTTTCACTGCACCCTGCATATTAGAAATCAAACTCGGCATGCCACTGGTCGCAAGAAAATCAGCGCTTGCCAAAAACTTTTGTTCGTCATCTCTATCTATGAGATCTAGTTCTTCCTGTGAAAAAACCATATTAAAGAAATTGTGTTGGTAAAGATTGTGGTAATCCAGCCAAGAGTTATATCTAAGACCAATGAATACAAATTTCAATAATATTAGCAAATACTGAAATCTTACAACCATAAGGAAGCAGCTTATAAGTCTTGTGCGATTGGTAAACAAACAATGATTCGTAAGACAATAAAAGAGAGAAGTAAAATGGCTTACAAGTAAATGGGAGCTCCCAAGACCTCTAGCAGTGTCGATATATAAATGTCTGCCCAAAATATTGACTTGAACCCTAATGTACAAACTAAGCATAGTGACAGACCAAAGCGACAAAACCATTCTCGTGAAACCTGAACACAACAAAAAAAATTGTTTGATGAGAATATCCAATGTTGCCACAGATAATGTAGAGCAAGAGAGAACAAGTAAGGGAACAAGAACGCACTCAAAATTTTGAGCTCATTCCAGAGTTGAAGCTTCTCAGAAGGAATCAATATTCCTTTTCCTTTGCTTAGCTTATCCATAATACTAGAGACATCAATCTCTTCAACTAAACGACTACTCAAGTGATGCATTGCGTGAGGCAATGTAGTTGTATCAGCAATCATCTGAATGTTATCGAAATGGGCCTTCATTCTAACAGAGAGCATAGAGAACAAAACCAATAAGCACTAGTAATTGAGAAACAACCAAACTTGGTTAAAAGCAAAAAAAGACTCTGTCTTTTGGTGTGAGGTTACAAAAACTCAACTGGGTTTTGATGATCTCGTCATTTTCACGCTCTTTAGCAAGCTCTCGTTCCAAATCTGCGAGCTTACGAGTATGGGCATTGTATAGTTTGTAGAGTAAATATCCACTTCCCAAACAAGTCGTCGTCACCAAAATCTTCCTTCTATGTTTCCTCCAGAAACCCCTAAAATGTTTTACAGAAACACAATGAACTTCGAATCAATCATCAGAGGATTAAAAAAAAAACTAATTTCTTTCTCAGTTGCAAACGTTATCTAAAACCCTACGGAACTTGAAATCAATAGCAAGAGAAAGGAACACAAAAGGAGATTAGAATTTAGAACACACCTGACTAAATCCATGACCTTTGAAGGCAGCTACTACTGGATTCGAACCAACGAATCCATTGGCTGAGATTTTTTAAAAAGATGAAAAAACAAAAAGCTTCGTGTTGAAGATATCTCAAAGCCTATAGACAGAGATATAGGTGGAAGAGAAAGAGAGGAAAGGAGGCTAAGATTAGATGATTCCTCTGTCGTGTTGTTGTCTGGCTTGAAGGTAATAAATAAAAAAACTGAAGAAATTTTCCGGCGAGGGATAGCTTTTAGCTCCGATCTCTCCTTGGGTGAATAATGAGAATGTTATCACTTCAGGCGACACACAGATTCTCTAATTTTGGAACTGAATCTCACAAAGCTCAGAATCTCCTTTTTCTTTATTTAACCGAACTAAACCGAACCAAAGTCAATTTGCCTTATTAGGTCAAGCAACATATACAGTTCCGACCGGAAGATATTGAACTTAACTCGGTAGTTTCAATAGACCGGTTTTACGTACCGTTGGTTATCATTGGTTTAGAAAAAACTAATAATATTTGATAATAGTGTTGGCTAGTGGCTACTGAATCAAACCGAACCCTGATGTGTAGATTTTGTATCCATGAATTGGCTACAAAGCTCAAGAAATAATACTTTCAGTTATATATATGCTAATTTAGGTACGAAATTGAATCCAACATTTAATAAAATGGACCAACATTACCAGTCATTTTTGTATAATGAATGTCCCAACAAACAAACCGGTTCCAAAGACATTTCCGGTTTACAAGTAGGCCCACGTTGTAGAAAGCAATTCAATTCATCAAATGATCAAAGTTTGAACTGAACTAGAGACTTTCAAGACTTCTTCACTTTGGTTTTCAGGAGTAGATTTGATTCTCAAGCCAATGCTCCAAACGGAATTAGCTGTTTTATAACTATCTAAAGCCTCTTTCTTTCCAACATAATCTGGATCCATCCAATGATAAGTCTACTTGGATCTTCTCTCGTGTTATCTATTAGAAACTTTTTTTTGCTATAAACAAAAAAAAATATTGTCTTGGGAGAGATCTCTTCTCCAAAAGAGACAAATTTAATATGGTGTGTATCCTGCCTGCCTCTAGGAAACGTAGGTTATTCGGGCTTGAACTTCCAGATATTCAATATAGATATATCATAGATTGAAAAGAAAAAGAAACAGAACTTCAATTAATTTCCAATATTTGGGTGTTTTTAATTTAAAAACAAAGAGAATAAGAATTTAACTCGACAAATGTCTATGATTCACATGTCATCGGCATGGTTGAGAGAACAATGGAGACATTTTTGTTGCGAGAAAGTGTCTTCGAAACCAGCTCTTTGAACTTACCGTAAGAGCCTTCCAACTTCACGATCATTTTCTCTAATGTTTTTGTGGTTTTAATCATAAGTTTCATGAATGAAACCACGTGCTTTGGCTCTACGTCAAAACGGGATCTGTTCCAATAGGCCCCATCTTTTGATCTCCAACACAGATCCGGGTTCATGCCTTGTGAAGCCACGTATTCGTCAAGATTCACCTCCTGTACAACAGGAAATAATTACCTCCACGTATTCTTGGATGATTCAAACTCAATTATAGTTATCTCAAGAAAAAACGGAAGAGGTTTATAGTAAATATACCGGTATGGTGTTGCCATTTCTTATGTGTAACGTTAGCGTCTTTAAATCAGGTGAGTTTTGTAATATCCTTTCTATACCATGAATAACATTCTGAGAGATCGACGTCTTAACAGTGAAAGCTTTGACTTTGAACATCGGAAAAGTAACACCACGTAACTCGGCAAGAGATAAAACCTAAACAAAAAGCACATAAAAAAATTAGTAAACAGTTATATACTACCATGAGCATAACAAAGAATTAAACGTTACTAAACATATAAAAAATCAAAGACCAATGAAAACTAGCCCATCAGCAGACGTGGAGTGTGCAACCGACTCATTCAACATGCGTCTAGTATTATATGTATCATGTATGAGAGTTGGAAGGCATTAGAGAATGCAAAAACGAGGCCAAAACATACCTGAAGAAATATTTCCCCAAAAGCAAGCTTCTCTACATTCTGCAGCTTTGCTAGCATCTTTAGTACCATGTCTTGTAGAAAATCAGCTGCCCTGATGGGTCTTTCAAATGGGCCAATGAAAATATTCAGTTTAGCTTCGGCTAAAGACGAGACATCAACTAAAGTAGATGGGGACACCTGAGAGCTTGTCAATATGAGACCAGTGGCGGAACCAGAAATAAATTTCACAGGGGTCAATAGAAAAAAAAAATAGTAGAAGGGGTGCAAAAACATGATTTGAAGATAAGTTAATGGGGTCAACATTAACATTTTAAACAAAATTATCAACAAATACCAAATAAATAAGCCTAATAAACAAAATTTTCTAAAAGTTATGGGGGTCAAGTGACCCCCCTACTAACACCCTACCTCCGCCACTGTATGAGACAATGGATATGTGGTGCCACAATCTGCGTTGGTCCCAAAGCCAAACGGTTGCGTTCTACTACTAATGTTCTCAGACGCATCGATTTACTGAGATCAAGAACCTCAAGTGAATCGCAGGAACACAGTGTTAAGCTCTCGAGAATGGGACAACCAGAGAGAATCTTAGTCATCAGAGAGACGGCATTTACGCAAAGTCAGCTTCTTCAGAGATGTCCAAGACACGGAGCATGTTGGAATCCTCATATCAGCGCAGTCTAACTCCACAAAGAGTTGCTTGACAGAAGAATTGATGTAGAAGAAATCAGGAAACTTGTACTCATCATGCCATAAAGTCATAGACAGATTCTCCACGTTACGTGACATGAGGAACTCGATCCAACTGTCAAGGTGGGGAACATTTTCGGACAAGTTCGAATGGAGCTTAAAACTCATCATCTTGGAAGATGTATAGCGAGTTAGGGTTTTATTTATAAAAGGAGCCTCCACTCTATTACAATAAAATGATAGAGAAGGTGTACCACACCATACATGCCTCCATCGTTTTGACAAGAGGGAAGTTTTGATGGCGATTTTGGTCTGAATAAAGGAGAGGATATGTTGTAGGATATCATCAGGTAAAGAGCTTATTAAGTCTAGTACTGCTTCTTTGATTTTCGTGGGGCTGCGACGAAGACCTTTGCGGCGGCACCTACGGACTCTTAAAGCAGCGGCGGTGGAGCTCTCGCCTGCCATCAACATTTGCGATTGTAATTAGGGTTTACTATTATGGAACAACTTTTTATTTCTTTTTAAACCGTCAGTCTTCTTTATCATAAGCTCACATATCCTCTCGCAATTTATATAGTAATTCGGATCGGGCCTACAAGTAAACCTATCTATAATTTTCTATTTCTAGCTAATATCCAAACAATAGTACAAAAGACACATATTTCACACACACACATTTCTGGCGATATGTTGGAGTATCACATCAGGTAAAGAGCTTATTGAGTCTACTGCTTCTTTGATTTTCTGGCGATGGTATTGACGACCATAGTGTTGGCTAGGGACTCTTACACCGGGGGTTGCGCTGTCATAGGCCATCTTGATTTTCTTAGGCTTTATTATCAACGAATGGTAATGTTTTGAAAACCCATTACTATTTTTTGTTGACAAAATTTGATATTCCAACTCAAACCAACCACAGAACAGTTTTTATTTAGATCTAAACCTAATAAACCAGAAAATCCAAAATAAGGAAGAAAAGAAAATCTAAACCAGAAAACCAAATTGGAGGATACATAGATATTGAAATCAGGAACTAGAGTTTTTTTTCCCTCTTTGGTTACAAAACAAAACCGTAGTCTATATTTTTACATAATGGTTCAATACAGACAAGCCACCAAAAATGGATTGCTTGCCATTTTGTTAGAAATTGGACTGTGTCATTTTGCACAAGTGCGCTTACCTTGACCAATCCACTTCTAATGCACATTTTGCATTATTTACAAAACACATTAGAAGTGGATTGGACAGGAAAATCGCACTTGTGCAAAATGAGGTAGTCCAATTCCCAACAAAATGGCAAGCAAGCTACTTTTGATGTTAGTATTACTATCAAACTTGCATAAGTTTTCAACTAAATTGTCTTATTTCGGCAGTTATAATGATATTTTATTTCTCACACGACAAAAAAAACTTCGCAACTCCAACTTCAATCCACCTAAACAAAACTCCTTCGCTTGATCACTGTTTTACCCGAGATCAAGTGCTCTGTTTAAATCTTTTCATGAGCTCTACAAACTCTGCAAATGCTGCATATATGAAAAGATTAGGCAAAAATTAATGCATAGGGTTTTAGTAGCGTTTGCGTTTTGATAGTTACGAGACAAAAGGGAAAAGAAAGAGTAGTTTAATACCGTTATCGGAGTCATGAGGTCCAGGAGAAGCCTCAGGGTGATACTGAAGAGACATGACATTCATTGCAGGAAAAGAGAGACCAGCGCAACTTCCGTCGTTGAGATTGACATGAGTCACTTCGACACCGGAGGGAAGAGAAGCTGGGTCTACTGCATAGTTATGGTTCTGCCAAAATCCGTACAAGTAAAATCAATCCAAATCTTCAGCAAACATGAAACAGAGACGTTTTTTTTTGTTTACTGTACTAGGAAGTGAAAAGCTGATTTGATAGCCATGTAACCACACACAAGTTCTTAGAGTTACATGTATAACTAAGTTTGATTAACAGTTTCTATTTTCCCCATAGTACTTAGAAATTATATTACAATTGAAAGATTAGACTTTGCTAGTTTTGTGTGGTAGTAAACTGTAGATAGTAAACGGAGCATACCTGAGCACTGATCTCGACATGGCCGGTTCTGTTGTTACAAACTGGATGGTTTCCTCCATGATGACCAAACTTCATCTTATAGGTTTTACCTCCAAGAGCTTGTCCAAGTAACTGATGACCCATACAGATTCCATAGACAGGAACTTTTCCTAGAAGCTCTTTAACCGTCTCAACTGCATAAGGCACTGCAGAAGGATCTCCTGGACCGTTGCTGAATAGAATTCCGTCTGGATTCATTTTAAGCGCCTCTGCAGCTGGCCATGTCGATGGGACAACCGTGATTTCACAGCCGTACGATGCCAAGCGTCTTAGGATGTTTTGCTTGATCCCGAAATCATAAGCAATAACCTTTTGAAGTGGACGTATGAAAACAGAATTAGAAGGTTAGTGAGGAAATCGATGAGAATGTAAATTAGAGAAGAGAAAGTGAAACTCACTCTGTAGGATTCCTTGTGATGTGAGGAGGTTGTGTTAAACTCCCATTCAGGATTTGTTTTTTCAACCCATTCGTAGGGAGATTTACACGAAACATCGCTTATTAGATCAAGGCCTAAAATATTCGACCAAGCAGATAGACAGAGCTCAATCACATATTCCACGCTGATCATATTTTAAGGAGGGCAGTGAAAGAATTCGGACCTACGATATCCCAAGAGCGGGACATATGCAAAAGTTCCTCATCGGTTTTAGATCCATCAGTGCTAAGCACACCGTTAAGACTGCCGCTTTCTCTTAATCGACGGGTTATTGCCCGTGTGTCAAGATCATCTGGTAGGATTAAAATGAGTAAAGTTCTAAACCCAGTTATAATATCTAGAAATCTAAATAAGTGCCAATAACCAAACACACTTACAGATTCCCATAATGTTCCTCCCTGCTAGATAGTCACCCAGTGTTTTCGTACATCTCCAGTTTGAGGTACTGCAAAGATTGTGATTAGCAAAGTTTATCATATCGATGAACTGAAAAACGGAAAGAGATTCCAATAGACTAAATATTCTTGGAGGTATGAGGTATCAGACTTGATATGTTTACCTGATGCTAAGACTTCTTATCACCAAACCAGCCAAAAAACATTGCCTTGATTCTTCATCATCTGGGGAAAAGAAAAAGACAACATATCTAAAATTCAGAACACTATATACAGTATGGAAAAAAGGTTTCAAAACTTCAAACTGGAATTTGTACTCACCGGGATTGACACCGGTGTTACCGATCTGAGGATTTGTCATTAGCACAAATTGTCCAGCATAACTAGGATCAGTCAGAATCTCTTGATACCTTTAAGAAAGATGGAAAGCAATCAGACTCCATTAACGATCCAGCAAAGGCATCAAGCAATGTTAAGACAAAGTCACAAAACTGATGATAAAACAAATTATAACCAGAAAAAAACAAGAAGCTCACCCTGTCAAAGAGGTGTTAAATACCAATTCAGCAACACGGGTTCCAGAAGCACCAAAAGACTTAGCCAACCACACAGAGCCATCTTCTAACACTAGCCTAGCATTGTATGAGCTCCAAGGTTTCTCCAAAAGACCTACAAACAGGAATTTACACACATTTCCAGCTCATATAAACTAAAAGAAACAAAAACCAAAACAATGATTAAGGCACGAATCAAAAGCCTACACGTAATCTGAAAACAAATCATATAGACATAATATTTGAATCGAAAGCCAATTTCAATCCAAAGTTCTGAGAAAAGATTAACCAATGCAAATAAGGAAATGGGGGAATCGAGGCGAGCGTTACCAGATGCGGTGCCTGTAGAGGTGACTGAAGAAACGGAACACTGGACGACGGAGAACCTAACTCCTCCGCGACGGGTCAATGACGGCTGGATGAAGAAGCCCGTCGGCAAAACAAATCCCAGAGCTTTCGTAGCCGCCATTGTCGCCGTTTCTAAAAGCTTCCAATGAATCTCAGCCGTTATATTCTGTCAGTGAACAAGAAACAGAGTTTTGTTTTTATCCTCTTAACTTTCATAAATAACAAAATAACCCTTTACTTATTTACATATGTTTATATAAACCCCTATAGATATATATTTATACTAAAACCACCCCGCGCTAATTAAATTATGAGAGAAGCTCGGAAAAACCCTATTTTCTTCTTCTGCCACTTTCTTCTCTTTAATTTACACTTCTCTGCACTTTTTTTTGTTCCTGTTTTTGATCCTCAATCACGAAACCCTAGCTTGTTCTTCTGTTGATTTTTTCGAAAAAGGGGTTTGTTTGGTTTCTGGGAATCAGCAAAAATCACGAAATGGTTGGTTCATTATTCCGATCGGGATAAAATCGATCGAAAATGAGTCAGCCTTCTGTGATTCTTGCTACGGCTAGCTATGATCACACGATCCGATTCTGGGAAGCCGAAACTGGTCGCTGTTACCGTACCATTCAGTATCCTGATTCGGTGTGTTTCTCTTTATCTCTCTCCATTAATTTTGTGAATTCTGAGTAATAATGAGACTTAAACAGAAATTAATGTTTTTGATGTTTGTATTTGCAGCATGTAAATAGGCTTGAGATAACCCCAGATAAGCGTTATCTAGCTGCAGCTTGTAATCCTCATATACGGCTTTTTGATGTCAATTCCAACAGTCCTCAACCTGTAAAAATCCTTTCTTTTTATTCAATGTGGTGTTTGTTTTCTTCTGCCTGCTTGAGTGATCTTGATGGAGTCGTCGTGTGTATTAGGTGATGACTTATGATTCACACACCAACAATGTTATGGCAGTAGGATTCCAATGTGATGGGAAATGGATGTATTCAGGATCAGAGGATGGTACAGTTAAGATCTGGGACTTGAGGTAGATTATGTCATCTTCATGTTTGTTTCTTTTAGCTTAATGTTAATTAATACATTCATTCAAGTGTGGATCCTATAAAAAGGCAAGGACATTGAATACAAAGTTACGAAAATCCTCAGAAGTCAGAAGGTTACACTAACTGAAGCATACATCCTTAAGTTGATTTGTATACAAATTGCTGACTCTTAAACCAAATTGCAGGGCTCCGGGTTGCCAAAAGGAGTATGAAAGTGTTGCCGCAGTTAACACAGTTGTTTTACACCCAAATCAGGTACATGAAGTCATCTGTTAGTGTTGTGTTGTGGAAATCAACTTCATATTTTGTTTAAGAGAGTTGTGGTATTGCTACTGTTAAACTGATGTGCTTCTGCTAGTTGTCTCAGCTGTTATCACTATCTCCTTGTCTTTATTATGAACTTTGTTTTTTTTTGTACAGACTGAATTGATATCTGGAGACCAAAATGGAAATATACGTGTATGGGATCTCAGAGCAAATTCGTGTAGCTGTGAACTGGTAATTTCCTTTGACACATCTTCATTTCTCTATCCTAGTTACAATTTGAGAATCTATAGGTTATCACTCGGGTGTAACTATAGGTACCAGAGGTTGATACAGCTGTACGGTCTTTAACGGTTATGTGGGATGGTACAATGGTGGTTGCTGCTAACAACCGTGGAACATGTTATGTGTGGCGCTTGTTGCGTGGAAAACAGGTAGTGTTCCTGATTTAACCATGCCATGCTTCAGTCTCATTCCTGTAATTGTCCACGCCATTTACAAATTCTTTTTTTTTTCAGACGATGACCGAGTTTGAACCCCTTCATAAGCTGCAAGCTCATAATGGCCACATCCTTAAATGCCTTCTCTCTCCTGCAAACAAGTAATGTGTTTCTTATACTTCCTCCTAAACCGTTTTTCTTCAGCCTTTCCCAGCCTTTCCCTTTCAAAGCTCTTACATTTATGTTAGCAGATATCTAGCAACCGCATCGTCTGATAAAACCGTCAAAATATGGAATGTCGATGGTTTCAAACTAGAGAAAGTTTTAACAGGTATGGTCTCCATATTATTGTTAACAAGATTTGTTCTCCATTATCATCTCTTACACCCTCACCAATCTTATCTAACAGGACATCAAAGATGGGTCTGGGACTGCGTCTTCTCAGTGGATGGAGAATTTCTTGTAACAGGTACCACTCTCTCTTAAAGTAAACCAATGAAAAACTTAACAGAACAATCTTTAAACTGGTTTTTATTCTGTGATGTTGTACAGCATCATCAGACATGACGGCTAGATTATGGTCGATGCCAGCGGGTAAAGAAGTGAAGGTATACCAAGGTCATCACAAAGCCACTGTATGCTGTGCACTCCACGATTAAAACCTTTTAAGAATCAATGAAGCTAAATTATGAACAAACTACGATCGGGTTATTTGTGTTTTAGAAAACTCTTGTACATTTCAATCGAATTCGTTCAAATTGCTCTTTATGTCTCTCTCTGTGAATCTGTGATCAAACATTTCTCAACTCCACAACAAAACAACAAAAATGCTCCAACAAAAGTTTATCAGAAGAGGCCCATGTGGCCCGTATAAGCAAATTCAATGTCTTAAACCTATACCACACTCGGAAACTCCGGCCCAAATAAGTCAGTCTCTTCGCAGAAACCACACTAAACCCTAATTTCTTCATTTGTAGACCTAGAGTATAAATACCAAACATTTCAGTCGACCTCGAAATCTCTCGCTCTGTTACGCCATTTTCGTGAGTAGTAAGAAGAAACCCTAAGAGTCTCTCCCCCAAAACCTCAAACCATGGCCGAGGGACTCGTATTGAAGGGCACTATGCGCGCTCACACCGACATGGTCACCGCCATCGCTACACCGATCGACAATTCCGACATCATCGTCACAGCGTCGCGTGACAAATCCATCATCCTCTGGAAACTCACCAAGGACGAGAAGTCTTACGGTGTTGCTCAGCGTAGGCTCACAGGTCACTCTCACTTCGTCGAAGATGTTGTTCTCTCATCGGACGGTCAGTTTGCACTCTCCGGAAGCTGGGACGGTGAGCTCCGTCTATGGGATCTCGCTACTGGTGTCTCAACTCGCAGATTCGTCGGACACACGAAAGATGTGCTCTCTGTAGCATTCTCTGTTGATAACCGTCAGATCGTATCAGCGTCTCGTGACCGTACGATCAAGCTGTGGAACACACTCGGTGAATGCAAGTACACGATCTCTGAGCAAGGAGATGGTCACAAGGAATGGATTAGCTGTGTGAGGTTTAGCCCTAACACGCTTGTGCCTACCATTGTTTCTGCTTCGTGGGATCACACCGTGAAAGTCTGGAATCTCCAGAACTGTAAGCTGAGGAACTCTCTTGTTGGTCACTCTGGTTACCTCAACACTGTTGCTGTCTCGCCTGATGGTTCGCTATGTGCCAGTGGTGGGAAAGATGGTGTTATCTTGTTGTGGGATTTGGCTGAAGGAAAGAAGTTGTATTCGCTTGAGGCTGGCTCGATTATTCACTCGCTTTGCTTCAGTCCTAACAGATACTGGTTGTGTGCTGCTACTGAGAATAGCATTAAGATATGGGATCTTGAGAGCAAGTCTGTTGTTGAGGACTTGAAGGTTGATCTTAAAGCTGAGGCAGAGAAGACTGAAGGTGGTGTTGGAACTGGTAACCAAAAGAAGGTATGTCAATGCATATTACTTCTACTTGTTTTTTCAATAGTAATTGGTTCTCTGTTTATTCAAATCATCGTTTGTATTGATAGGTTTAGTGAATGCACCAAAAGTAGTGATGAATTTATCTTTGGTTATGACAAAAAAAAGTTAAATTTTGGTTAGAAATTGCATAAATATGTTCACATGAATCTTTTCCCTTGCCCATTAGCTTTGAAACTAGGAATCTATTCCCTTGCTCCAAAGGTTTTGACTTTGATGTTAACAAATAGGAAGAGATTGATAATGTATATAATGGGAATGTGTAATGAAAATGCAGGTGATCTACTGCACAAGCTTGAACTGGAGTGCAGATGGAAGCACATTGTTCAGTGGTTACACTGATGGAGTTGTCAGAGTCTGGGGTATTGGTCGTTACTAGAGACGCACCAAGAAGAAGATGAGGAGATCGAGGAAGAAGACTGATGAGTGTTACAAATTCTCCAGAAATATTTAGCTGTTTTTAATTTCTCCAATTTTTCCAGACTGGATTAGTTTTGTATTAGTCCCTCCCAGACCTCTATGTTGGCAATTTTTGTTTAATTTCCAGAAAAAGAACAGCAAAGTCAAAACGCTGATCCATTTATTATCATCACTATATCAAAAGGTCAACTACATTCGTGATGTTGGGATTGGTCTTATAAAGGTTCAATCTTCAAGGTTTATCCATCATTTCAAAATATTGTGATGAATTATCTTGGGCCACATTGTGATCAATTCAGTATCAAAAAGGTGACGAGTTTGGTTGCAATTGCCAATTATATTAGTGATCTTGAAATTGGTCTTATAATGAATGATCTTCACTGTAACTTTCTTCTTCATCAATATCATTTCATTGCTCAGCTAAATCACGCTAAAACGGCAAGGTGTTTGTTGATAAAAATCTAAGACAGCAAGGAGTTGTTTCTGAGGGAGTCTAAAGAAGAGCACCACCACTCTCACTAGTCATCTATAACGGATTTATGAAGCTTAGAGAAGATATTAATGGCGGTTTCTGCAGGGGCTCTAGCTTTTCCTGCTTTATCCGTTCGCGCCACTCTTAATCCTGAGAATAAAGATGAACAAGGGAACATCAGCACTAGCTCTACCCAGAAATTCACTTATAGTCGAGCTTCTCCCGCCGTCCGATGGCCACATTTGAATCTCCGTGAGACTAATGATTCCAGAGCTTCAACACCGTCACAACCTCTTTCTTCTCCGGTTTCTCCCACCGCCGATACACCGGATTCAGGTGAAGTCGTCGATTCAATTGGCTCCAGCGAGCAGCAAAAGACGAAAGATGAAACCGCCGTGGCGAGTCGGAGAAGGAGAGTGAAGAAGATGAATAAAGTGGCCTTGATTAAGGCCAAGGATTGGAGAGAGCGAGTCAAATTTCTGACGGATAAGATTCTAAGCTTGAAACCTAATCAGTTCGTTGCGGATATTCTCGATGCTCGTCCTGTTCAGATGACTCCTACTGATTACTGCTTCGTCGTGAAATCGGTTGGTCAAGAGAGTTGGCAACGAGCTCTTGAGGTTTTTGAGTGGCTCAATCTCCGTCATTGGCATTCACCTAATGCTCGGATGGTGGCTGCGATACTCGGTGTTTTGGGACGGTGGAATCAGGAATCGCTTGCGGTTGAGATTTTCACTAGGGCTGAGCCAACCGTCGGAGATAGGGTTCAGGTGTACAACGCAATGATGGGTGTTTATTCACGTAGTGGCAAGTTTTCAAAGGCACAAGAGCTGCTCGATGCAATGCGTCAGAGAGGGTGTGTTCCAGACCTTATTAGTTTCAATACTCTTATCAACGCTAGGCTTAAGTCTGGTGGGTTGACTCCGAATTTGGTTGTTGAATTATTAGATATGGTGAGGAATTCGGGTCTTAGGCCTGATGCTATCACTTACAACACTCTTCTTAGTGCCTGTTCGCGGGATTCGAATTTGGAGGGTGCAGTGAAGGTTTTTGAGGATATGGAAGCTCATCGGTGTCAGCCTGATTTGTGGACTTATAATGCTATGATTTCTGTTTATGGAAGATGTGGGCTTGCTGCTGAAGCCGAGAGGCTCTTCACGGAGCTGGAGCTTAAAGGTTTTTTCCCTGATGCAGTGACATACAACTCTTTGCTCTATGCTTTTGCCAGAGAGAGAAATACGGAGAAGGTGAAGGAGGTGTACCAACAGATGCAGAAAATGGGGTTTGGGAAAGATGAGATGACTTACAACACGATCATTCACATGTATGGCAAGCAGGGCCAACTTGATCTTGCGCTACAGCTTTATAAGGACATGAAAGGTTTGTCGGGTAGGAACCCTGATGCTATTACTTACACTGTTTTGATCGATTCTCTTGGAAAAGCAAACCGAAGTGTGGAAGCCGCAGCTCTTATGTCTGAGATGCTTGATGTTGGGATCAAACCAACTCTGCAGACCTACAGTGCTCTCATCTGCGGTTATGCCAAGGCTGGGAAGCGAGAGGAGGCTGAGGATACTTTCAGTTGCATGTTGCGCTCAGGCACTAAACCTGATAATTTAGCGTATTCTGTAATGTTGGATGTATTACTAAGAGGCAACGAGACAAGAAAGGCGTGGGTTTTGTATCGTGATATGATTTCTGATGGCCATAAACCGTCTCACAGTCTGTATGAGTTGATAATACTTGGACTTATGAAGGAAAACAGGTCAGATGACGTTCAGAAAACCATCAGAGACATGGAAGAATTGTGTGGCATGAACCCACTAGAGATTTCATCAGTGCTTGTTAAGGGCGAATGCTTTGATCTTGCTGCTAGACAGTTGAAAGTGGCTATCACCAATGGCTATGAATTGGAAAACGACACTCTATTGTCTATCCTGGGTTCCTATAGTTCATCAGGCAGGCATTCAGAAGCGTTTGAGTTACTTGAATTTTTGAAAGAACACGCCAGTGGATCTAAAAGACTTATAAATGAAGCACTAATTGTTCTACATTGCAAGGTTAACAATATAGGCGATGCTCTAGATGAATATCTCGCTGACCCATGTGTTCATGGCTGGTGTTTTGGCGGTTCCACCATGTATGAGACTCTATTACACTGCTGTGTAGCAAATGAATATTATGCTGAAGCTTCTCAAGTTTTCTCTGACCTGATACTATCTGGCTGCGAACCTTCAGAAAGTATTTTTAAAAGCATGGTTGTTGTGTATTGCAAGCTTGGCTTTCCAGAGACAGCTCATCAAGTAGTTAATCAAGCTGAGACAAAAGGCTTCCACTTTGCTTGTTCACCTATGTACACTGATATCATCGAGGCTTATGGAAAACTAAAGCTATGGCAGAAAGCGGAGAGTGTGGTTGGCAACCTAAGACAAAGTGGACGAACACCTGATCTGAAGACATGGAACAGCTTGATGTCGGCTTACGCTGAGTGTGGCTGTTACGAGCGGGCAAGGGCTATTTTTAACACTATGATGAGGGATGGTCCGTCTCCTACTGTTGAATCCATCAATATCCTGTTGCATGCTTTGTGTGTTGATGGGAGGCTTGAGGAGCTCTACGTTGTTGTTGAAGAATTGCAAGATATGGGCTTTAAGATTAGCAAAAGCTCCATTCTTTTGATGCTCGACGCATTTGCCCGGGCTGGAAATATCTTTGAGGTAAAGAAGATATACAGTAGCATGAAAGCTGCTGGTTACTTACCCACAATTCGCCTTTATAGGATGATGATTGAGCTTCTCTGCAAAGGGAAACGGGTTAGAGATGCTGAAATTATGGTCTCTGAAATGGAAGAGACCAATTTCAAGGTTGAGCTTGCTATATGGAATTCCATGCTGAAGATGTATACGGCTATCGAGGATTACAAGAAGACAGTTCAAGTATACCAGAGGATAAAAGAAACTGGTCTGGAGCCAGATGAGACCACTTACAATACACTGATTATAATGTATTGTAGAGACAGACGACCAGAAGAAGGGTACTTGCTTATGCAGCAAATGAGAAATCTTGGTTTGGACCCAAAACTGGACACATACAAGAGCTTGATCTCTGCTTTTGGTAAGCAAAAATGCCTTGAGCAAGCTGAACAACTGTTTGAAGAGCTTCTCTCAAAAGGTTTGAAACTAGACCGTTCATTTTACCACACGATGATGAAAATATCCCGAGATTCTGGGAGCGACTCTAAGGCAGAGAAGTTATTGCAAATGATGAAGAATGCGGGAATAGAACCAACACTTGCTACAATGCATTTGCTTATGGTTTCATATAGTTCTTCAGGAAATCCCCAAGAAGCTGAAAAAGTTCTTAGTAACCTGAAAGACACAGAAGTGGAACTAACAACTCTGCCTTATAGTTCAGTTATTGATGCTTACCTTCGGAGCAAAGATTATAACAGTGGAATAGAAAGGCTTTTGGAAATGAAGAAAGAGGGCCTAGAGCCAGACCACAGGATATGGACTTGCTTTGTTAGGGCGGCGAGTTTCTCCAAGGAAAAAAGCGAAGTCATGGTGCTGCTTAAAGCTCTTCAAGATATTGATTTTGATATTCCTATCAGGTATGGATGATCTGATGCATTCCTTATTGTTCTGTTAAAATCATGTTTGTGGTTTTTCTTATTATGATAATATAAAGTCTGATACAGGATCATATCATATAGTACTGATTCTTATGATTTTTTTTCTCTGGTTTTTAATGATACCTACCAGGCTTTTAGCTGGAAGACCTGAGTTGCTAGTTTCTGAGGTGGATGGATGTTTAGAGAAACTAAAATTCATAGAGGACAATGCTGCTCTCAATTTTGCTAATGCTCTTTTGAATCTTCTCTGGGCGTTTGAACTCAGAGCTACTGCATCATGGGTTTTCCAATTGGCAATCAAAAGGGGTATCTTCAGTCTCGATGTTTTTAGGTCAGTCTTGTATACGTTCATAAATGGTGTTAACACTCGCCCATGAACTAGTCAACACTTGTTTCTCATGCATATGTTTCCAAATGCACAGAGTGTTTAGCAATAACATTTGTGATTGACTTTGATTTTTCAGGGTGGCGGACAAGGACTGGGGTGCGGATTTCAGAAGATTGTCGGGAGGTGCAGCACTTGTTGCGCTGACTCTATGGCTTGACCACATGCAGGCACTTCATCTCTTTCTTCTCTCTTAATATCTCTGCATCTTCGCATCATATTCCACAAATGCCTGCATAACTGAATATCGTTTGACAATCATTCTCATATTCACCAATAACCCTCTGTTACTAATCTTCTCCCATTTCAGGATGCATCACTCGAAGGCTACCCAGAGTCTCCGAAATCAGTTGTCTTAATCACAGGGACCGCAGAGTACAACGGTATATCCCTTGATAAAACGCTAAAGGCGTGTCTTTGGGAAATGGGTTCTCCATTTCTCCCCTGCAAGACGAGAACGGGACTGCTAGTGGCCAAAGCTCACTCTCTCAGAATGTGGTTGAAGGACTCACCGTTCTGCTTCGACTTGGAGCTTAAAGACTCAGTGTCTTTACCAGAATCAAACTCGATGGACCTGATCGACGGGTGTTTCATAAGACGTGGACTTGTTCCTGCGTTTAATCACATCAAAGAGAGACTTGGTGGGTTTGTGTCACCAAAGAAGTTTTCGAGACTGGCGTTGCTACCAGACGAGATGAGAGAACGAGTGATAAAGACAGATATAGAAGGACATAGACAGAAGTTAGAGAAAATGAAGAATAAGAACAAGGGAAACGAAACGAATGGTGTTAACACTCGAAGGAAGTTCGTCAGAAGTAAGTGATGTCACGATATTGTACTCTCTTATTACATAAACTCATTAGTGATTATTGTATACAGTTTTGATTTTTCTTTTTGTGTATACTAATTAGTAATAAGTGTTCATGTAATATTTATCAATAGCGTTTAATAAAACAAAGTATTGCATCTTACAACTTTTTACCGTGAATGAAAAAATGTAATGTACTCACTACTCAGTTAGTATTTCTACCAATGCCTAGTTCAACTTATTTATTGCTGAATTCAAGATATTTGTTGTTGTTGTTAGAATCAGTGAAACTATTCTAAAGATGTTTGGAATACACATATCTATACATACAATTAATTTCAAAATTTTCAAGAGCAAAAGAAACAACTAATTTGGTGCATCTTGGTTCTTGATAGGAACTACTGCAGACACTTTCTTTCTCCTAGGCGTAAGTTTTTTTAAACCAGTGTTGTTGTTCGATGTTTCTGCAACACTTTTGCGTTTTCGTCTTTGTTTCTCCTTTGCATTGCCTAGGATCTCGTTATGACATTCCAATTCCAACAACCTCTCCTCTCCTCCATTGTTTGGTTCATTTTCACAAACAGTCTCATTCTCTTGTCTACATACATCTCCTGAGCATTTCTTTAATGCTTTTCTTTGTCTCTTTGGTTGTCTCTCTGCATCTGACTTCTTCTCTCTGCATCAACAAAAAACGTGAATTTAGATTCAAAAAAATTGTGTGTGTGTGTGTGTGTATGTAAGGAATAATCTATAACTTACTTGGCCTTGCGTTTCTTCTTCACAGTTACACTATCGGGTTCTGGCTCTAGAGATATCTCCGGCAGTGCCAAAATAGCGCCTGTGACAAGAGAAGGACGCTCTGATTCCCGGTCAACAAAATTACCTACACTACCTTCTTTTTGTAACCTTCTAGCTTCTTGTAAAAGAGCCACTTGATGAGGATATAATCTCTTCCATCTCCTCAAGCACTGACTGTCAGTACGACAAGACAGTTTAGAAGCAACCTTAGACCAGCTATATCCATGTTCTGCAATTGCTTCTCTCAACTTTCCATCCTCTTCTTCAGTCCACTTCCCACGATTTACTTTGGGATCTAAACAATTTAACCATCTCTCCCGACACTGAGTCTGGGTCCGTCCAGGAACAAACTGAGAAATCTTATGCCAGTTTTGAGATCCAAAGAGTGTCACAGCTACTTTCACACGCTTGTCTTCCTCTAAGCTCCATGTCCCTTTTCTGGTCGGGCGAAGCGACTTTTTCCATCTGAGAGTATAGAAAGGAAGGAAATAATATATTCAATCATGTATCTGAATGTAGACATAAACAAACATCATAAAATGACAGAAAATAACCTTGAAACGCATTCTAAAATCATTACAGAAATGTCACTAATGAGTGCATATTGAGGTTATGATATAATCCAACATCGACTAAACATGGACTTGATGCCTTGATGGGTGGTTTATAAACCCTATAGACTATTTTTCCCAAACAAACTAGCTCTTGAGACAATTGGTCGGACTAAACTAAATTAAATTCATATAATTTGGTAGATGGAGGGAAAGGGGACGAGGCTACCTCTTAAGATTTTCGTCTGAAAAAATTGTCAAAATACTGCAGAAATTGATATCTAACTCATAAAGAAATGGGTGAGCGTAGAAGATAAAACTGACCTATTCGAGCACTGAGGTCCAGTTCTTCCTTTTAATACATTTGCAACAGATTGCCAGTCTTTATCGCCAAATAACTCTACTGCAGCACGAAGTTGGTCATCTTCCTCTGCAGTCCATTCTTTTTTCAATATGCATGGATTCAAGCTTCTCTGATATCGAGCCAAACATTGAAATGGGGTCCTATTTGTCCCTAGTGACACCGCAATATCAACCCAGTCTGTAAGACTCTTTTTTTCGATAATTCGGAGTAGGTTTTTGTCCTCTGCTGCAGTCCAAGGACCGTGGTTAATCAATGGATCTTCCGAGCTCATCCACCTACAATGAGGCACAAGTTAAGAAAATCCACTAATATCTCAAAATAAGAGACAGAGTGATGGTATATGAAATGTGCACCCACAGATGATTAAAAGCTGATTTATCTTAGTACCAGAGTTCAAATAAAGGAGGAACTTACCGAGCTTCACATTCTGCAGCAGAACGGTCCTTGATATCCAACGAATCCCAGTTAATTTTCGGAAGAAACTGCCTAATCATTTCTGGTGTGATCTCAAGATTTCCGATCGATTCATTGATGGTGTCTATATCATATGTAGATCCTTCCAAGTCACTGTTAAGAAATTTCTGTCAGTCAACTCTTTCGGAAAAATTAAAACGAGAAGATCTTAAGCAGCAGGTTTGAGGGTACTAGGCACCAGAATATGATAGCACTTTAAAAGAGGATGAGTAAGTAGTACCTGGACTGTTCAATAGCTTCAAAAAGCAGTATTTTTTGAACTTCTTGTTTTAGACCTTTTGCAAGGTTTTTGTTCTCCTCAGTAGACCATTTTCTACGTTCCACTGAAATTGGATATTTCTCTAGTACCATCCTATAATTTGCAACACAAGGGTTTTCCGCTGGACCCAACATCAAAGGAGATATCTTTTTATCATTACCCTACAAAAAAAAGACATAGGATTTAAGATAAGAAGCATTTTCCATCAGGGTCAACAGAAAACAGCTGAAGCAATACTATTTTAATGACTACAAAACAACAGCAGAGGCAGGAAAACTAGATCAAAGTATTACCTCGGAGCTATCACAAGGCCCAGATTTTCGTGTTGAGATTAATTCGACACGAGGATCTTTCTTCTGAGAGAGTGCCAGTTTAGTAATTCTCTTGCAAGAAGCTTGAAAATCTTTAACTATTTTAACATTTTTCTTGTGTTTCTCGTTCTGCTCGATCGTTGCTTCAATTTCTACCAATTTTCTTCTAAGAAATTTCTGATACGCCCTGTTCCTCCTGATTGCATCAACAAAGGCTAGTGCAGCTTTAGGGAAACTTGAACTCGCAGCTGATACCTGGCATGTCTCCAGGTGGTCAGGAGGTTCAATGGAAGTCTTTTCATGTACATCCTCTGAATTTGGCACTGTGACAACTGATTTCCCGTGATCTGGAAAGCTTTCACAAGTATTAGATCTACTCAATATTTCGCTTGAAGGTTCATTATCCAAGTCATGTACCTGCTTTTTCTTCCCGGGAGAATCATTCATGAAATTTCCTTCCGAATCTGCAGAAAAAAAGTAAGAAATGACCACTAAAACGTAAGCATCTTTTCCACTTAAAACACTGGATAAAAACACAAGCAAGCAAACCAAATAAGAAGAATTTATGGGAATTAACGTCAGAGACCATACAAGCAAACCAATATCATCCTAGCATCATGACTCACTATATCAAATTCTCAAGACTCAAACATAAGAAGAGAGAGCTTCTAACTTATTCCATCAGGGACAATACATATATGCATAAATAGACTGTTAAAACCCAAATCAAAAGATGAAAAAGTCTGCACCTTTCACACTGATTGTAGCTTCTACTTAGAAGCTTATAACAACTAGCTTCCAATTGTGAAATTGAAGAGAACCAAATTAATCTTACCATCAGTAAAATTATCAGTTGAAGCAGAGTCTTGAGATAACCATAGAAGGAACAATCCAAAGGTAACACAGAAACAATATCTAACGAATCAGTAGCTTAACTCAAATAGAAAAGAAAACAAATAAAGATTTCAAAATTGAGCTCACCGAAATTCTTATAAGCAGAGAATCGCCTACGAATAGCTCGAAGGGTTTCAAAGGCATCATCTTCGTCATCGTCAGATAAACCAATGGAAGGAAGAGACACATCCATGGACAATGCCAATTGGCTCTTAATGCTCCGAATCATCTCGAAATCATCTTCACTCTCCGAATCCGAGAGCAAAGATAAACCAATGGGAGGACCACTGCTCAAATCCGATGCTAATTGGCTCTTAATGGTACGAAGCATCTCAAAGTCATCTTCGTTTTCTGAATCCGACGGCATCTCTCCGCCACCGCCTCCATCCGGTTCAATTAAACCGGTTTTTGCCGCGAAATTATCGGAATTAACGTCAGAGACCATACATGCGCGTCTTAAATCTTCGAGGTCTTCACCGATGTCATCTTCTTCGTCATCGTCATCATCGTCATCAGCTTCGTATAGGCTGTTCCGATTCATCGCGATACAGAAAGAGAAACGAAGTGAAATCGAAGAATGAGAGAAACGGCTCCAAGCGAAGGGTTTATGCCTCTAGAAGACGATGAATGTTTTCCTACAACTTTTAAGGTTTTATTTATGTCTGAACAATTTAACATGGCGGCATTAGAACAAACGGGTCGGGTCAGGTCAAGCCAGATCCAACAGTAATTAGGTCGGATCATTTAACAACCTTATTAAAAAAGTCGAATTTAAACATAGAAAACCAGATAAGACGAGGGTTTTTCTCTCTTCTCTCTCTTAAATCTTTTAGAGAGAGAAACTCTGTTTCTTCCGCCGTCCGGATATTTCCGGTAAAGCCGTCCGGTTAATTCCGGCAAAGCCGTCCGGTTGTTGCAACCGGTTTCAGTCCGACAACCACCGGCTTATTATGCGATGGTTGGGTCGGCTATCATTTCCGTCATCAACCGTTTCCTTTTTACGGTGATGGACGGCTTGAGTCCGGCATGTGTCGGCTCCTTCGGCGACGTCATGGCCGGTTTTCGTCTAGGGTTTCACTGTTTCGTCTCTGTGATTCGTCTAGCTCCGGTTTATCTTTTGATTTGGTTTTTGCTGTTTGTGAAGTTGCTTCTTCTCGAAGGTTCCGACAGCTTCCTTTGCCTTGGAGAATTCACTTCGATTCGAGTCTCTGTTGGTGCATCAAAAAATTGGGATTTTGGATCTGTTTTTCGAACCATCCTTTGACTTGATTTGTTGGAAAGCTGCAGGTTTTTGAAGCAATATCTCAGTCTTCGTTTTGTGACATAATGAATAAAGAAGAAGATGTTTCTTTTAGCAGTTAAGGATGCTTTTGTTGCCTTAGAATTAGTTTGGGCACGGTGGTTTTGAAGGTTCTGTGACGTTTTTCAGTGTACCGGAGAAGATGTTCCGGTGACTCCATTTTGCTGGCGTCATTACTCAGGCCACTTTGATGACTCACCTTTTCTTTGGCTGATTGTGCAACACGTGGATTCATCCTTATCTCTTTGTTATCACTTTTGATATTTTATTTTAGTTTGGCTTTTTAATCATGGTTAAGCTTCTAGTCTAGATTGTTTTAGTTTTATACTTTTATCTGTTTAGTTGTTTTATATTCAGAGTAGAAGATATCACCCTGCTCGGATGTTAAGATGGTGAGCAAGAAGCAATCATACTACAAGCATATGTTGGAAGCTATAAGACCAACTCTAAACCTTTGAGTTTTGATGTTTGGTCTTATTGAGATTAGTTATGATGTTGCTGTTAACAAGCTACCATTTCACAACTTTCTCTTAAGTGGCAGAATGTATTGTACTTTACTTGTATTTGGTTGATTGTAAAATTTATTGTTGTATCTTGTACTTGCCTCTCCAACATGGGTTCTCCATTGATGGATGATGCTGTTTGGATGTTATATATACAAAGACACCCTTTGGAAAAAAAAAAAAACATAGAAAACCAGATATAAACCGGTTAGCGTTGACAAAAGAACTGATTTTTTAAACCCGATCACCATTAACGGTTAAAAGAGTCAAATCTCACAAAGTAACACTTACGGGCTAGTTCAGTGGCTTGGTTAAAGGATTTCTTAGGTTCGGAATCAACCAAACCAAAACCAATACTAACCACAACCTGAAGCAAACTACACATAACATGGTCTTAAGGCATTAAGCCATATACATAATAAAGGCGGGGAATCAGCAGAGCTTGGTGTCGAAGTTGAGAGTGATGCCCATGCTGAACAGCTCCTGACACAGAAGCTTAGCTCCATACGGAACATAGACCCTAACCACATGGTCTGAGGATGCGCAGACTCTGCAATATGGCCCTCTGATCTTTCTTCCACTGCTTGGAGTCCTCTCGATCACATTCGCATAGCTCTTACATTTTCTGCAGATGTGCATCTGAGAAGAGTCACTTAGCGTGAAGAGACGCTCGTGCAGATTAGCGGATGCACCGTGAGCTATTAGACAGTCTCGCTCCATTTCTCCAAATTTTATTCCGCCAAACCTCTTCTTGTCTGCGACTGGCTGACGTGTGAGCGGGTGGACTGGTCCGGTGTTCCTGAACTTGACTTTGTCCTCTGACATGTGGACAAGTCGCTGGTAGAAAGTTGGGCCCATGAATATCAGAGAACGCATCATCTCACCCGATCTACCATTGTAGACCCTTTCGTTTCCCCATCTTGAAAAGCCGGCCCTAACCACAAATATTTACCATTGGCAATCAATCAGGACTCAAGAATCAACAATGATCTAAGAAAGGTTCAATGAATCATACATAATCAAAAGGCTCACAGCATCAATCCTCTAACTAATCATATACTAACACATGGCTTTTGAGCCCATTATGTGTATCCTCTAGACGTTTTGCAGGCACAATTTAATCAACCAGAGAACATCCAACTTCTTAGTTTCTTGGTCTTACAGAGATATTTTCCCGTCATATAACTCATGCTCACTTCTAGTACTAGGAAACAAAACAAAGATCCACTATGACATGTTTCAAGTAAGGTGCTCAAATCTAGCTTAGTGCCTTGTGCAGTATATTAGCTCGATTTGCTTGTATTATGCATGTCATGTCAACTTTTGAGCCAAAGTCCCCAAGTTCAAACATCTTCAACCAGGCAATATTATTAATAATTAGTTCCTACCCTTAATGATATCATCCATCTTTACTCCCTAGGAAGCAAATGTCAATCTGTTTTAGCATATAATTCAATATTCTGATTTACGAGCCAAAACCAAGTCACAATGTGAAGAAGTTACCTGTGAAGCTGCTCGGTGATTTCAGTGACACCCGGAGTGGAGAAAGGAGTGGCATGACGTGTCAATTTGGTGTATGCAGCAGAGCTACCCTCCTTCTTTTGTATAGGACTAGCGATTCCTTTGGAGAGAGCAGCCTCCAAGAGTTGACCTGGTGTTTGCCTAGAAGGGAAAGCGTGCGGGTTTATAACAATATCAGGAACTATGCCTTGGGTCGTGAAAGGAAAATTCTGCTGTTCCTCTAGATAGCCTAAAACACCCTTCTGGCCATGCATACTGGAAAACTTATCTCCAAGGCATGGAGAACGAACCTGCAGGATGTAAAAGCCAATCAATAGAACATTCGATTCATCATAGGAATGCATTCTCTGAAAAACAGCTCGATTTAGTATGATCTGGAACTTACCTGTCTCAGAGAAACCGCAGCAAAATTCTTCCCTTCATCATTAGATGATAATACCACTTTTTGCACAATTCCTCTCTCAGTGTGCTTGAGCTTTATACTGTGATCAGCCCCAGAATCGGTGCATCTGCCAATGACAATATCTCCAGTACTCATGTTAGCACCAATGAAAGGAAACCCGTCATCTTCAAGGCTGTCTACTTTGCCGATTTTGCTGTATGTCTTTCCAAACTGAACAAGCTCATCCATCTTCTTCCTCTTCTCCGAGTCTTTAGTATCAACCTCTGCTTTGTAGCTTCTAATCTGCTCTGAACGGAACATACCACGTTCCAATGAAGCCTTGTTCATCACAATGGAATCCTCTTGGTTGTACCCGAGATGAACATTCACAGCAACAATTGCGTTCTGGCCATTAAAAAGAACTTCTTTTTTAAGACACTCCGACGCCAATGTCTTGAACAGTGGCTTCTGGGGATAGAACAGCTGCTGGGACAGCGTATCGCAGCGGATGTTAGGGTTCGTTGATGAGAATCCAATTGCTTGTTGGCAATGCTTCTGGGACTGGTAGAGAACTCTTTTCCCATGATCGTGATTTGCAAATGGGACAATTGCACAGCTCACACCCAACAGGAATGACAGGTCCAATTCGCAATGCGTGTAATTCTTGGGTTCCTTCAGAAGCTGTTTGATTCCCCATGCTGTATTACAGTCTTCTTCTTCCTCGATCCCGATCAGCTCGAGAATCCCTTGGTCAAGAAGATGCTTAAAAGGATACTGTGTAGGTTTGTCTTGCTTCAACTTGTGGAGATTTTCCACAACCAAGAGAGGTCGGAGTAGTCTACCAGCGTCAGTGAAAATTCTCACCTCATTGTCATCTTTATCTCGCTTGATTTCCATCTGCAAAAAACGTTGTGATACATATATATAAATAATATTCGACATAGACACATTTTTGAAGCAGAAAATCCAAAGCAAATATCAAGCAGCACAAGAATATCAAAATATAGGAAGAGATTTGCTGAAACAGAAGATACCTCACGAGGTAATTCACTTTGGCGCCGCCTGCTTTTTAACTCCGCGACAAAGGATTCAGAATCTGCACATAATCCAACCCAGTCTCCATTGAGAAGAACTTTGTGTTTGCCACACAATGGTGTGCTGGTATCATCCATCAGCTCTTCCATTCCACAAGCAAAGAGCATTTCCACCACAGACTCCAAAACTTGAGTGCTAACAAGTCCAAGAAGAGACATGTTCTTCACTAGACCACAATTTTCACCATCTGGAGTTGACAGAAAGCATACTCTGCCCCAGTGAGAGGGATGCCTGTGGCCAACATTAAAAACAATGCAGCCATAGTTCAGTTTCCCAGCACAATTTAATTGTGTAACCGCTCACATTGAAAAGGAACCAAAATGGATAATTTCAACACCGGCATCAGGAAAAATTCAACAGATAGATTGACCAAGGGACAGAGAAACAAGAAAGACAGTATCAAAGTTTCTTAATAGCAGCAACATCTATACAAAATCAGTATTATACACAGACGAGACTCTGCAGAAACAGTGATCGCCATCATATAGTAAGTTGAATAGGTTAATACGAATATCTTTAAAACAGTCTGAAGACATGTAACATTGAGTAAATGCAGACCATACCAGTTAGTTAAATAAATTACGTGGGATATATTTCAATATACCAAGGGGGTGGAAATTTTCACTTACGGATATCTAGCATCTCCAACCTTGCCGGTATATAGGACTTGCTGTCGTGTTCTCCTCAGATCAATCAGAGTCTGCAATGGATTTGCACGACCCAAATTAGCAACAACACCTGAAACCCTTTCCATCTTCCTGAAAGGATGAGACCATGCTCCAGTGGAGAAGGCTCTATTAAGCCCATTTGTGATAACGGAAGCATCCAAATAATGCTCAATAGGCTTCAATTCTCCCTCGCCTGAGAGTTGTTTCTGCATGGCCCTTGTCATCTTTCTCCTAGCATGTGCCAGATGCACCCTTATTTCCCTTTCCAACAGTTCTCCAGCGAGCTCAATTCGCTTATTCCGGAAACTGTCCCTGTTTTCACATTTTCGTTTTCCCGCATACGCGCTCAGAAGGCACTTCACCATATAGCCCAGGAATCGGGCTTTCTTCTTCAAACCTTGGAGGCCTGGAAACAAATACAGACGGAGGCAATCATCCACACTTTCAGCAGGAGGGAATTTGGTGCTTTTGATCTGATGTTCAACATATGTTAGGGCATTGTTCCCACAGCGAAAAGCTTCACAAACTGCATCAGCTTCATGGATAGAAGCTATGAGACTGTTGGTAATGCTTGCATCAACACCATCAAAAGCAATTAGATCCATGACTTCTTTGTCTGACGAAACACCCAGCGCAAAGAACAAGAGCCAGACTGGAATCTCAGTCGACAAGAAGTACACTGTCAGTACTTTCTCCCTTCTCTTATAGTCTTCTGCTTTCTCATTCTCCGAGAGGCGCACAATGAACCTATTTCTTTTAGTTTCGGACCTGAAGGAGACAGTCCATGGTGAATTAGAAATCCACAGTCTCTTTGTGCACATCTGTTCTTGAGCTATAAACACCTGCAAAACACAATATAATCACGTTAGGAAGTTGTATAACAACTTGAAAAAGAAAACTAATTTCCACTAAGCTATACACTAAAATAGTTCAAAATAGAAATCCCATGACAGTGGATATGCAAATAGATCCCAAACTGGTTTAACTCACCTTCTCAGCCCCCTTTATCACAAAATAACCACCCTGATCAAAGGCACAATCCCCCTTTTTGCAGTTTTCTTTTCCTTTCTCGCTTGTTTTGCAAAGGACAGATTTCACCATGACAGGAATGCTACCAATTAGAATGTCCTGCTTTTTGACATCCAGTATCTCCTTCTCGACATATTCATCTTGTCCTGTCTTGAATTTGTCGCTTTTAACAACAGTTTTTTTGAACACCTAGTGAATTTATAAAGTGAAGAGGCAGTTAGACAATAAACTACATTTATAAGAATAAGATACAAGGACAAAAACAGAAACATCATCAAAAGTTTGACAGTACAAGAGTCATTGCAATTTGCACACAAGAATGAAACACTCAATTAAAGCACAGTGAGGGAAAGGGGAAGAACTAAATAAATAAAAAGCTTAAGATTGTTTTCTATTATATTTCAGACCATGTGTTATTTCACTCTCGACAACATAGACATATTGCATAATGTTGAACTAAAAAGTGATAGTTAACTGGTGTTTCTGAGTTTTCAAGCAAGGGAAATCATTCATCAAATCCAGACAAGCTTACTTAATTTCCACAAATACTTAGTTAGTTTTGTTACCTCAACTTGGACATTCACTTTGATCCTTGCTGAGTATGTCATGTTCTGAAGCCTGGCATGCCATGGGAGAAACTCAAGCTCCTTGTCATCCGAAAAGAATGTGGGTTTCTCAAAGGTGACTTCTCCGAATTTCACTGTTGCGTATCTCCAATCGCCATCCTTCTTCTTTACTACATCAAAAGACGGTTCCACAAGCATTTCACCAAAGGACTCAAACACATTCCGAAGCCCATGTTCGATGAAGAAGTTGTAGGAGTTGAGCTGATGACTTATAAGTCCAAACTCTTCAAAGAAGGATGTTGCAGCTTTTTTGCAGAAACTTTGGAGAAAACTTTCTCCTAGCTCAGAAAGATTGATCTGCCCAGCAGTCTCGATCTCGTCAATATCCATCTCATTAATGTCCATCTCTGGTATACCTCAAAACACACTGAAACAAAAACCCCAAACAAAAATACAGAGAAATGTTTAAGAAGCCCTGCAAATCATGAACCACGAAAATGCATCATGCATGTTGCGATCAATGATGAATACAAACACGAAGTCAACAACCTTTCCCCTAGAACCGAATCATTCTCCAAAACACAGGAAACTAAAGCATATTCTCCGGAATTTCCAATGCTTAAAAGCAGAATCAAAGCGTAATACCTAAAATGGGTACCTCGATTGCTTAAGCTGGCACGATGGAGTTAAACGGCGGTGTCGGAGGAAGGCAGAGTAAACGTCGCCGGAAAATCGCTGAAGATGCGGAGATATTCGCCGTAACAAACGAAGAGAGTCAAAACCCTTGGCACACTTTTTCAATTGTTAAGCGAAGCAGTCGACGAGGAGTGAAGAAATCGAGTGTCGCTTGTTGAAATGACGGGTCTATCCTTATGTTGTTCTCGCGTTAGTGTGCTTTATTTAGTACAAAATCAAGGGTAGTTACGTCAATTTTGAGAATAACTTTATGCTTGCAAATTGCAACTTTAGAAATCTATAAAGTCCAAAGACCGTTATGTTCTTCTATATGGATATCCCTATAAAATTGATACTTAGCTAGCCACCATTACTTGTTACCCGTCTTATATCCGTTAATTTCCGCGTATTTGATTTGAAAAAGTAAATTTGCGTTGTAGATAAAGCAAGTAACAAGTAATAAAATTTAAGCTTTTTTTCTAACCGTTATCCGTTAATTCCCGCGTATTTGTTTTGAAACTAAAATTATTTCAGTTTGACCTATAAAAAAACCGATTATCCCACATCTAGTTTTCAAAATAAAGCCTTTATATTGTGCAACACAAATTAAACTTATTTTAATTAATTAATGTAGGAAAATCTCATAATCGAAGCCTAAAGTATAAGTTGATTTTTGAAAGTTGTCCCACACCGACGAAAACTTTCGAGAGCTAAAAACTTCTCGAGAGTTGAAAGTTGCAAGGGTTCATAATGCAAATTTATTGCTGCTTAAACATGTTTTATTTGCGTTGAAAAGGCAAAGGACTGAAGAAGGAGAGAGTTCAAGATACAATACTAAATCGGCCCCCTTATTTCTTCAACGATCATTTTTAACCCTTAAAAGTTTAAATCCATCCATAAATACATTGAGATCATTTGTTGCTTCGTTTCAGAAGTTGCTTAAACCATTGAGCAGACATCTTGGGGTACCTCTTCAATGTTTTGTAATCAACATAGACGATCCCGAACCTATACAATAAACAAAAACAGATATTATAACCTTTTATTCTAAATATCATACATTGGCATAAATTTAACTACCTTACGTACGTACCTTGAAGTATATCCTGATAACCATTCGAAATTATCAAGCAAAGACCACGCAAAATATCCAACCACATTGGCTCCATCATCCCTAGCTTTCTTAAGGTTGGTTAAGTAATCTTTGTAATACTTGATTCTCGTCGTGTCGTGTAGTCCTTGAGCTAGAGTGACGTTTCCCGGGTCATCCATACCTATAAAATATGTTCAAACATTTATAAAAGGCTCTAACTTTTCTATCAATCTTAGAAATATAACAAAACAAATAGAACTTGATTGAAGATTTTGTTTCTTTAATACCGTTTTCAGAGAGAATCATAGTTGGGTTGCCGTAACGTTCCTTCATATACATCAAGGCCTTGTACATTCCCCATGGTACGTTGTATAACCAATACGAGTAAGCCTATAAAATAAATGGTTTAATTCATAATTTAGACACTTGTATATTGATAAGGGAAAAAAACTCATAATCAAGTGTATATGATTCTCACCCTTGGACCAATTGGCTTCCCCAACTTAGCAACTGCAAGTGAAATTTTTTTTTTTTTGTCAAAATCATATATTACTCCCTGTCATGATCAAAATCCAAAATCTACATATATTCGTAGTGAATGGTCCAATAACTTACAGCTAAAATCCACATTCCAATCTTGTTGATAACCCAAGTCCTTAGGTTTGGTGGTGGGATGTGGATTGGACATGTAATAAGTCGTGTATTGGTTTATTCCCACAAAATCTATGGAACCTTTCACCATTTTCACTTCTTCCTTCGTGAATTTTGGAAGCCTCTCTTTCACAATGTTCTGCATTGTCTTTGGATACTCTCCATATACTATTGGGTGAATAAACCTTCAAACATTACCCGAAAACAAAAGGTATTCCAATAAGCTATCACCAAGATTTGATGCTAAAATATGAGTTTTTATTTGTTAAATTAAAAGTTTGAACATTTACCATCCGATATGGAAGTCTCTTGCTCTTTGAGCTGCAAGATTATCTGCTTTACTTCTAGTAAGCGGCTCGTACCAAACAAAATCTAAAAGTATCCCAATCCTTCCCTTTTGTTTCGCCTGGAAGAAATTCACAAAGATTAGTAGTGATCTGGCAAAAGAGTCATATAGGTTTATTTCATCATATCTCATCAAGAAAACTAAGAAAACATATTGAAGTTATTTGTTTACTTGGTAATATTTGCGGTATCTCTGGACTGCTGCTGCGTGGGCTAAGATAAGATGATGAGAAACAATGTATGGCTCTGTCGCAGAGTTTCCTTCAGTGCAATTTCCAAATGCTTTAGAGCATCTACCCGGCGCAAAAATACCGTTATCATAACCTAAAGCAGCTACCACACGCGGCTCGTTGAACGTCATCCAATTTTTCACTCTATCTCCAAATAAATTGAAACAAAACTCTGCATAATCCGCAAAATCGTTCCTGTAAAATTTGCATAATAAAAGTTTTTAACTTTTGAGGAATTTGTAAAAGAGTATATATATAGCTTTGCATGTTGGTGCTTACACTACTTGTCTACCAAGCAAGCCTTTGTACTTCTTTTCCAAAGCCAATGGAAGATCGTAATGGTACAGATTTGCATAAGGTGTAATCCCTAAGCATTAAATTAGATTTGTTATACTTTATTTTATAATCAAATCAGTTTGATAAGAAACGTTATGATTTGATACCTTTTTGGACCAAGTAATCAATCAATCTATTGTAATAAGCAACTCCTTTCCAGTTGACTTTACCACTTCCCTCTACATTCATAAACTTAAAGTTATTATACTAATCTTAATCAAAATAATTAAAATCATATATGATTACTTATATATATATATATGTACGTAGTATAATACCAGGGAATATTCTGGACCATGAAATGGAAAATCTGTAAGCATCAAAGTTCAGTTTCTTCATCAAATCCACATCTTCCTGAAATGTGATTATCATGAACACATGTAACTAAATCAAAATGTAACACTTTCGAATATTTAGAAAAATTAATTAAGATTCAAGATTAGTAGTATAGTACCTTGTAACGGTGATACTGGTCCACTGTTATCTCAGCCGTGGCATTCTTGGCAATAGTCCCTATTTATTTTATTTTTATATCAATAACAATAGTTAATTATGTAATTATGTTTGTTTGTTTTTTTTGGACAAAGTAATTATATTTGTTTAAATTGTGAATTATACCAGGAATCTTGACAAAGGCATCCCAAATGCTTGGGCCACGACCGTCTTGATGAGTCTCGCCTTCGACCTGATAAGCTGACGTGGCGGTTCCAAACAAGAATCCTTTAGGAAAACTCTGTCTACTGAGACCACCGGTGTCGAATTTGATTTTTTCTACGGACGGAGAGGATTCGCCGGAGGTGAAAGAAGAGAGGAGAAGGAGAAGGAGGAGAGGCCATGGAGGTGAGATGATGTATCTCATGGTAAGTGAGTTTTTGACCCGTTTGGTTTGGGGAGAGTAATTATTGGGATATTTATAGGCTTTTTTAAGCCTTTTGTTTTCAAAATACATGAACCAACGATGTTAATTGTTATGAGAGTGGATAAGTTGAAAAGTTGGATTTGTTTTCATAAATAGGATAAGGTTGTAAGCATTTCGAGTACTTAATAATAAATTAAATAAAAGTGTAAAACTAGATAGTGAATTCACAAAATTCGGATTTATAAAATTATAAGTATACCATATAATTTTGTAAAAAAATATGTATAGAATTTTGGTGAAAAGAATGTGAGACAGGAATTGTCTTTTTTTTTCTAATAATAATAATGAGTTTAATTTGAACTTTGATCAACATTTTACAGTTGTAACGATTTCGTAGTATTATTGCTGCTTATGGATTGGGAGATGACACAAAAGGACATCATCTTATATAGAGGAGAAAAATCTGAATTTGCAACATTTTGATTTGTTACCAAATTATAAATTTCTCAGCGAATCTATATATAGAAGCTGGTCCATACTCTTATGATATAGGGATTTACTGCCAATATTACATGAAATTGTTCCATAAAACATATAACTAGTGCTGATTCATGCATTTATCTATATATATTTGCTTTTTTAAATGTTAAGTTAATAATTGTTTTATCCAACTTTAAACGTATAAACCTTCATGAGCTTGAGCAAAACTTTTCCATGACTAAAAGCCGAAATTCCAGGATGTATAATGTATTGGGAAAAATAATTACAAATTTAGACATGTTTTTTCGTCATCATCAACCATTTAAAAGTATAACTTTTGTTTTAAAGTGCGTATAATATATAACAAATCAAAATTCAGCAGTATGTTTGCAGACACTCTTTGTTTTTTGTGCTGTGGTGTGACTCAATTGGATTCATATTCCGAGGCCTTTTGTTTGGATTTTCTTGAATTATTTTGAAATTTATTATACGGATTACATAAATCAATCACAATGTTGCTTAACAAAATGTAGCAACATCGGAATATGTTTTAACTTTTCTCATAAGATAAGAACAACTATGTTATGTAACTTATGTGTAATACGTCGGAGAAGTAGAAAAGAAAAAAGACAATAATGACCGCAAGAGAATTATCGTGTCCGGCCCACATTTTGAAAAAAAAGCTATCACGCGAATCGTAAAGCGCCAAAGGAAAAAACGTGAACACACAGAAGCCGACAAGGGCAAACTGGTCAAATCATATTCCATTAAGTTCAGTCCTCGAGTCCCCGTGGACCATGCATGCCCCACTTTCTTAGACTTGTCTCCCCCATCTTCACGTGAAAACGTATTTCTCATAGATAGTTCTTCATTTAACTCTCGAAAGCACAAACGGCTAATGAGTAAGTGAATGACAACAAAAGAGAAACTAGGAAATAATTTAAGCCCACACATTTCAAAGAACGTGCATTAGGCTTAAAATATCCATTGAATATTGATATGATAAACGGTACGGAGGAAACTAAAGATTTTTTTTTTTGTCTATAAAGATCAGGCTGATAAAGATATGTGATGTGAATCGTGTTATGAGATTTTTCAGTGGAAGAGGAATGATTACATCCATTATTGAGTCGAGTCTACGAAGCATTTTAGCCTCTTGTTATTATTATCACAACAACGCGACAATTTATTGGCTTTTTGCCATTCACATGCAATAATTAGTTGCCCATAAAATAACATCCAACATTTTTTTTTTGATACAAGTGATATATTTGGAAGAACGTACTTACATATGAATTTTACATCCAATATTTTTATAATGTTAAAAAAAACTTCACAAATAGAATTTGAGCCCTCAAAAAACGAATAGGGATTAAGAATGTAGAAGATCATGTTTCCTAAATAACCATTAGCACGAAAAAAGAAAATTGAGGATGAAGATGATAGCACACATTGTTGAATGTAGAAGTTCTATGATAGAAGAACCAAAATTCTTGCTGCTGTTTTATGTAAGCATTTAAATGTCAAAGGAAGACAAGTTCTCAAGTTATACACATATTCATTCACCTCTCTTTAACAACCCGAATCATGGACACATTGAGCTCATTTCTGGTCCCGTTTCAAAAGTTGTTTAAACCATAAAGCAGACATCTTGGGGTATCTCTTCAAGTCCTTGTAATCAACGTACACTATTCCAAACCTAAGCAAAAAAGAAAAGAAAATCATTAGAAGTACCTTAGAACACACATACTTACATTTTCTCAGAAATAATCATATACCCAATTCATTAGTTAATTCCGCACCTTGAAGTATATCCTGATAACCATTCGAAATTATCTAGCAACGACCACGCGAAATATCCAGTTAGATTGGCTCCATCGTCTACTGCTTTTTTAAGCTGTGCTAAGTAGTCTCTATAATACTTGATTCTTGTTGTATCATTTTGTCCTTGAGTTAGAGTAATGTTGCCCGGATCATCCATACCTATAAAGATTATACACTTAACATCTCTACAGATCTTGGATTTAGACCAAAAAGATATATTGAGGATTTCATTGTTAATACCGTTTTCAGAGAGAATCATAGTTGGGTTGCTATAACGTTCCTTAATGTACATCAAAGCCTTGTACATTCCCCATGGTACGTTGTATAACCATTCTGAATGTGCCTAAGTAAAATCAGACTAATTCATAATCAAACAACCAAATAATAAAAGAGAGTAACAAAAATCAAAAGAAAACATATATATCTCACCCTTGGACCTATTGGTGTCCCATTCTTTGCAACTGCAAATATTAAGATTTCTCAGTATTCATATGATGCACATTTATATTGCCACAGTCCAATCCCATAAGCACGAACCAGCCTTATTACTTTTGGTCCAAGTCTAGAGACTAGAGTACTCTTTGTTCTCACACTAGCACATTTGCTTTTATTACAATCATTCATAAGTCATAACGGATAAATGTATATATGAACAAGAAAGAACTTACAGTTAAACGTGACGTTCCAATCTTGTTGATAACCCAAATCTTTAGGTGTGGTGGATATTTTAGGATCTGACATGAAATAAGTCGTGTATTGGTTTATCCCCACGAAATCTATGGAACCTTTCACCATTTTCACTTCTTCCTCGGTGAAGTTTGGAAGTCTCTCCTTCACGATGTTTTGCATCGTATTTGGGTACTCTCCATACACTATTGGGTGAATAAACCTTCAAACGTTACACCAAAAAATATTCTTATTAGCTCACCAAAATTTAATGGGTAAATATGAGTCTAAGAGTTTGAACCTTTACCATCCAACATGGAAGTCTCTTGCTCTTTGAGCAGCGTCATTGTCTGCTTTACTACTTGTAAGTGGCTCGAACCAAACAAAATCCAGTAGAATCCCAATCCTTCCCTTTTGTTTCTCCTGAGAAGAAATTATCAGTTCGATCTTTAGTAATCATTTACTCCGTACATGTTTAGTATCATAAAAACAACTTGAAGGAGCCTATAAGGTTATTTACATACCTGATAGTTTTGGCGGTATCTCTGGACTGCTGCTGCATGTGCCAAGATAAGGTGATGTGCAACAATGTATGGTTCAGTCGCGGAGTTTCCATCAGTGCAGTTTCCAAATGCTTTAGAGCATCTACCCGGCGCAAAAAATGCCATTATCATAACCTAGAGCAGCTACTACACGCGGCTCGTTAAACGTCATCCAATTCTTCACTCTATCTCCAAATGTCTTGAAACAAAACTCTGCGTAATCCGCAAAATCGTCCCTGTAAATTGACTCATTATATTTGTTATACCATAAGATTGGAGATTTTTTCGGCTTTTGCAGTAAGAGACGAAAGATTAGAAGATAACTAATAACAAGTTGGTGCTTACACTACTTGTTTACTAAGCAGGCCTTGATACTTTTGTTCCAAGGCTAGAGGAAGATCATAGTGGTACAGATTCGCATACGGTGTAATCCCTAAGAATTAAATTATATATTCATAAGACAATTACTAATCAAATAAAGTGTCTATGAATGTATTATGAATTTATACCTTTTTGGATCAAGTAATCGATCAATCTGTTGTAATAAGCAACTCCATTCCAGTTGATTTTACCGGTTCCCTCTGTTTTCATAAGCTTGAAGTTATAAACTAATCTTAATCTAAAATATAAGCAATGTGATTAATTTTATACATTATCCAGTAATACCAGGGAATATTCTAGACCATGAAATGGAAAATCTGTAGGCATCAAAGTTCAGGTTCTGCATCAAATCTACATCTTCCTGAAATGTGATTAACATGAACACCAAAGTATATTAGCATTATGATATAACCAAAAAAAAGAAGATATACATCATGATTTAATAAAAAAGATTAGTAACCTTGTAACGATGATATTGGTCCACTGTTATCTCAGCAGTGGCATTGTTGGCAATTTTACCTGTTTTTTTTTTACCAATGGCAAAGAAGAAATCGAAATGATTAAAACTAATCAGTTTAGTGAATTTGTAAAATTAGATTGATAATGAGATTAACCAGGAATCTTGACGAAGGCATCCCAAATGCTTGGGCCACGACCGTCTTGGTGGGTCTCTCCTTCGACCTGATAAGCTGACGTGGCGGTTCCGAACAAGAATCCTTTTGGAAAACTCTGTCTGTTAAGATCGCCGGTGTCCAATGGGACGGCGTCCCCAGACGGCGATGAGTCGCCGGAGCGGGAAGCAGAGAGGAGGAGGAGAAACAGAAACATGGGAGGCCACTATGGGACAGAATGTGGGGTGTGAATTATGAGCGAGAATCAATGTGGGTCTTTCTTGCTTGAGGCTTAGAATAATAATGCAGATTAGTTAACACTTTTTTTGTTAATAAGGTTAATTAACTATTGATCACATAAATTAATTAAAAAATCTCCTCTGTTTCATCTATCTTCATATAAAAGTGTTAGGTACATTTGAGGATACCAACTTTTGTAAGAAAAAAACAAATATTTATAGAGCTCAAAAATCGTTGAGAGAAAGCACAATCTCAAGTCCCATTCTCTAATAGTAATTTTCTGATAAATGAAAAAAAATCTGACCCAAGATCTCAGTTTCAGAAAAAAACAGAGCATTCATTTTTGACAAAAGATAGATATGCAGGAAAAAAACAGACACACACACATCAACACAGCCACGGCCAAACGGAGATCCACAAAAAGCCTTCAAAAGTAGTAGAAGCTTTCCAAAGAGACAAGATGGGACTTGTCCAGAGATCTTTATAATTTAACTCAAGTCTTATTGCGGAGTTAAGCTCCAGACGCGGATACAAGCATCTTCACCAGAACTCACTACATGGGAATCATCAGCAAAACCCAGACCATAAACTCCACCTAAGTGAGCTCCTTTTATTGTCATGCGTGATGCAGCAGGTTTGTCCACTTCATACACAATCACACAGGTGTCTAAGGATCCTGTAGCAACCATAGTGCTGTTTGGAGACCAAGCTAAGCAGTTTATGCGGGCGCTATGGTACAACATGTTCTTGAGTTTCATCTGTTTTAAAAAAGGGACGATATAATATCAGTGTTTGTGTTCCAGATTCATGGACAGATTCTAAATAATCTTAATTACCTCTCTGGAGACTCTGTCCCACACAACTGCTTCTCTGTTCAAATCACCTGATGCAAACATAGAGAGATCTGGAGAGTAACGTATAACACTGATAGCGCCTCTGTGTTTCTCGAGAACTGCTTCCTCGGTGAGGGAGTCACCATTAATAGAATACAGATGGAGTTTACCGTCTTGGCCACCGATGATGGCTTCGGTTCCATCAGGTGTTACTGCCAAAGCAGTGACAGTGAATCCAAGGTTGATGGTTGACACTACTTTCCCATCACGGAGAAACACAACTCCAGACTCAAATGTCACCAGAAGGAGATCGGGTGAGAGTGGTGCAAGGCTTAGATCCTTTGGTTGGTTTCCAATGTCGATAGACTCTTCATTTGTGCATTGATCGTCTTTATAGGAAATCCTGGATATCTGAATAAGAATCACAGAGTGATTGAACGTGGATTAGTTTCTTCAATAATAATTATGCATATAACAATTATAAGAAGCAAATAGATAAGCTGCAAAATAAAAATATTAGTCACTGCTAGTCCCACAAGGTAAGAAGACCATTTGGCCTTCAGTGATGGCTTTTAAAGATTCTCTAAACCACAAGATTATTAGTATATTGTTCCAAAGTGTTAATGATCTTAAGAGACCATTGTGTCTTAGCATTGCCAATATTCGAGAGAAAAAAAAACTTAAGTGAGAACCAATTTACCTTATTGTCATATCCAGAGGTCACGATCTCTTCTTCATGAGCAGCAAAGCACTTTATTTGGGAGTTTTGTGTCCGCTGCAATTTACCGCAAAAACCACGGCCTAGCATCCATTTACATATCAGTCCATCATAACTACCGGATAATATGTAGTCAGCGTTTCCCTTAAGCACAGCTAAGGAAGAGACGTTCTTCATGTGCCCCGAAAACTGAAAGGGGGATTTATCAAGATCGCTTGCTGAGAATATGCTGATTGTACCACCTAGAGAAACAGTGACAATATGATCGTTCTGCCACAGACACCCAACAAGCATATCGTCCACTCCACCTGATGATCCAGGACAATTCAATGTAGTCTTCAATGTTCCGCTACCGTTGTCCGATATATCCCATACTTTGGCTGACTTGTCTGCGGAAACAGTGAGCACCTGGTTGATGATTCAACATATACAACACGTGAGTACAGACGTAGTATCACATCAACCATGATGTAATCAATAACTAGAAGATAGAGACTCATTAAGTCTTCATATATACACCCAAAATTCTAAGCCACGATTATAGCTCATTTATGTACATACTGGAGCAGGTTAGACCAATTACTTTCATATGTTATTCTAGATCCCGTTTAAGCCTAATGTAGTTTGAGACTAATACGAGGGAATCAGACAAGAATTGAGAATACGGTACAACAAACAGACATAACTTAGTACCTGTTGACCATCAGGACTCCAGCTAACTGCATAGATGCTACCTTTATGCCCATCATCAGAAGAGAGTTCTCCCAGTATCTCACAAGTCTTTCCATCATATATGATTCCCTTTTTATCTGAACTCACAGTAATGAACTTACTTCCATCTGGTGCAAACCTCACACAGTTGACAAAGTTGGAATGCTCTCTGTTGACCAATAAACAACAAACTCGTAAACAATTCGAAAACACACAACCAAGGAATTGAACAACAAAAAAGTGTTTTCTTTATTTAAAGAAATGGAGCAAATGTTTTGAATTATCTGACCTGCTTGAGAGCTTGAACTTAAAAGGAGGACCTTCATAGAAATTCACCAGAAAATCCTCCCCACAAGTTACAATACGGAACGGTCTAGTTGGCTTGATAGCACAGCTAAGAACCCGCCTAGAATGTCCATCAAACTCTCCCACATTTGATCCTGAATCCCACCTAATAAAGCAACACAAGCAATGAGTCAATAATCCAGCAAAACTGAGAAGAAGAAACAAAATGCTCAATTTCAATGTAATTGATATCGATCCGCTTCAACAAAATCAATGCAACACCAGCAGAAAAACAAAATCTTTAGACCAATCAATCAAAGTCAACGAAAACAACTTCATCCAAATTTGAATCCACGAGATCGGAATAGCTTAGTTCAATAGAATTCAACACAATTCAATTTCGTCCACTTTACCAAAATCTCAGATTACCATGAGCACAAACCATAATCCATTGCTAGAGAAGACTAAACTTAATCTCACTTCATTGAACTAAGCACGAAAAAAAATCAAATCTTTATCTAAGAACCAAACCAAACCAAAACTCACATGAAAGCACGAACAAGAGATTTCCCTTTGCCATCACCAGAAGCAACGATCCTCATCCCATCAGCCGACCACTGAAGATCATCGATCCGACCAGCCAAAACCTTAAACTCTTTCTTCAACACATGATCGTTGTAAGCTCCCCAGATTCTAACAGTCCCCGACACATCACCCGACGCGATCCACTCTCCGTTCGGAGAATATCGCGCCACAGTAGCTGGGTAAGCGTGCTCACCATAGATAGAGACCTTTAAAGGATTGTTGAGGTCGAGAGTCACGACGGATCGACCATTAGTGTAGAGGATGGTGTCGGACTTGGAGTCACCGGAGATCAGGATTCCACGACCTCTCTCCGTCGATGGAACGCAAGCATAGGTTTCGGAAAGCTCCATCAAAATCGAGAGGACTTTGCAGAGATCGTTTTGAGTGGTTTTTGGGTTTACGAGAAGAAGAGAGACGAGGAAAATGGAAGGACGGTTTTGAGTCTTTTTGAGTTTTGTTTGACATTTAGCTTTTTAATATTTAATTCTCTTAATTAATAAAGATAATGTAGTAATAATCATTGTTGCAACATTCACTTCTCTGGCACAAACGGATTAATAAACAAAAAAAAAAATGTAAAGTGTAGTTTAATAATTTGTGCTAATCTTTTTGTTTATTAGACACAAAATAACCATATTATCTGTAGAGTAATATGAATGAAAAATATTAAAATTACATTGATTTTTGTTGGCAATACCTTGAATTATGAACAATTTTTAAAAATTATTCAGAAATTGTTCTTACACTGTTATTTGATATGAGTGGAACAAAATTATTTGTCTATCATCTTCATTTCCATTCATCTCCTATCAATTCCTCTCATGTTTTAACCATTTAGATTAGATTAATGGATGTTATATTTTGCAAAAGAGGTAAATGTGCGGCCCATGGGCCACTAAGTTTGGTCCAGCTATATATATGCAATAATGCCAAGTCAATGAATCCGCTAGCAGTTGATTACTTGATTGGCGCATTAGTGAACGTCTATCTAACACCACAATGTCAAATTTTATGAAATATCTTTTTGATAATATTTCTCAAAGGAAAATCTTACGAATGGAAGCATTCGATTATTGAATGAAATAATATAGAACTATATGAGAAAAGAAAGTGTCAGTCGTGGGGCTTTTACATCTCTTGGTCGCATTATCAGTTCATATAAAATATATAATATATGGATGAATCATGAATGTATTATTGTTATAGGAGCTTCCGTGGTTAGAGAGAAGATAAGGAAACATAAGAACAAAGCTGTCACAAGTCTCTCTGTCTCTCTCAAACCAGCCACACCACCTCGTCCCCATTACTCACATGCATTTCTCTGACTATTATTCTTCTTCTCCAACAAATTGATATTGTTTTGATTGATTGCGCTCATATAATTTGATATGACCGAAAATATTGTTGAAAATTCGAAATTGTGATTTTCAAAATTTAATTGACAAAAACAATACGATTTTTTTATGTAATAATGTTAAAGAACATGGCTACTACAACAATGACAACAAAAAACTAATTTACAAAGACAGAACCAAGCCCTCTCTCTTTCTCTCTATCTGAATTTCACTTCTCTTAGCCAATCACGTAATGCCACGTGCTCCACATCACAATCAAACCCAACCACGGTATGCCACGTCATCACGACCTTATTAGGACTAATGTGATGACGCTGTAAAGTAATAAGTGGACCAAGTTCAACGGATACTGAAGTGAAGTTGGCGAACCGTTGGAGAATTCCGAAGAGTCGACGGCTAAGGGCATGCCGTCGCTGCCTAGAGCACATGAACGTGGCACGCCGTCGTGGTTGAGCATGACGGCTCGGAGGACGGAAGTTACAGTTGGGAAGTAAGCCGTACGGTTCTTAGCGAGAAGCCAAGTAAGACCCATGAGGACACAGTCTTTGTTATGCATCTTTGCTGTTCTGTTTCGATCTTCTTTTGATGGGTTCTTGTCCCTGAAGTTTTCTTCGGGTTTAGCTGCAAAATGAAGCAGAAGTGTTTGTTTCGATTAGGCTTTGTTGCTGTTAACTAAAGTAATGATTGAGGATTTTAGAAAGTAGAAAGGTGGAAACTAGTGGCTAAGCTTTTGGTTATGGTGGGTTGGTGATTAAGATGCAGAAGAATGAAATCATATGATGGAAGACAAAATGACGCGTGAAGATGACGAACTATTTAAGCGCGTAGATGTGTGTCAGACTGTCAGATAGAAAAGAACAAAAAGCTAAAGAACAAAACTTTTCCCAAATTACCATTCGCCATATGATGGATAGATCAGAAAGAATCCTAGACTACATAATTCCAAATCTTCCTCAATCTTCACTCACTCATTTAGTAAAACCCTAATGTTTAAACACCAAAGATCTGTAGAAATATAGATGTTGAGGCAATTGAAAAGAACTTCTTTTCCTTTATTAAGAATCACTTAAACAATCTACAAGATATGTTTAATCAGATTTACACGACGTTGACACAACTCGTCACTGACCAATTCTTAATCTACCAAACTCACAACACAGCAACAGCTATGCATACACTCTGTTCACTCACCAAGAACCCTAACAGCTTCTAGCCTAGTACTTGAGATTCACAGAGATATTCTAAACGCCCACCTAAACCTAAAGTCTAGACTGCGAATATAAAGGAAGCGTCATAGACAACTTTCCTAATCTTCAGATCACACCAAATCTTCTTTCCTTGATTTGATCGCATCTTCAATACACCGAATAACTTGAGCATCACGTTCTGGAAACTTCCAATCACCAATCACTGCTCGCCACGTCATCTTCATTTAATGTCTCGCAGTTTCCCGCATACAGCTCTTTCCTGTGCTCCACAGGATCTTCCTGTAGCTCGACATCCATATGTCTTCAATCTCCCCCTTTTTACCTGAATGTGACACCTCAAGCTCCAGAGCTACCTGTCAGGGTTAGTTTTGCCAAGATATACACCAAGAAGCACCAATGTATATTTCAAACTCAAAAGAAATCTGAAATAACATTCATTAGCAAAACAGAAACTGAAAGAACCATGTGCAAGGTTCAACACCCAACATAAGCAAATACAGAATATTAGTGCAAAATCTATCAAAGACACACTACACATTTGCTCCCCCTTATAGTAGGCCTAGTTTAAACTAATCAGCCACTAGTCTCCTCATCACTAGAATCCCCAGCAGGATTTCCATCACAATTACCATATTCTCACCCCTGCTTGAGTGCACATTCATGTAAAAACCAAAGCAATCAAGTTAAGCAGGAAATAAGATGAAGGAGAACAGACACTTACCGTCCAGGCGACGCTTCATCTGGGTAGCTACAGCCAAGAGATCTGCAAGATCATCACGAAGCAAGGTCCTTGATGTCTGAACTGGAGGTGCAGCATTCTGAGCTTCAACAGTCTCGACCTTGAATACTCCAGGAGAACGAGATAATGTATCAGTTGGCAGAGTCAGAACATCTATCTGGGAGGACAGCACCATAACTATCAACAGAAGACGATCAGGCCACAGGGTAGTCCGATTTGTGCCAGGAATCCAGTACAACAAAATAAGACCATCAGCACGAGTTTCCAACTAAGCAAGATTGGCATAAAACTCCTTCACAACCAAGCAGACCTGTAATTGCATCAAAAACTCGAAATTCCAATAAGATACAGAAACCGGTTTTAACCGGTGAGATAACAAATTCACCCTTGCTTTGAAATTCGTTTTAACATGCACTCGGTACTGTACAGATTGAACACTGTTAAGCACATGAATATCACAGGCAACCACTAAACAACCAGAGGCAGGAAGTGACCATGTCAGAGATCCAGAATTGTTTTCCACGAAACATCATATTAAAAATTCAATTCATTTGAGTCACTCAGTAAATGCACCAACACATACCTTTGAACACTGAGTTCCTGAAGTAACATGGTGTACACAGGAGCAAGCACATCGAACTGTAAAAAACTATTTCAACCCACCAGCTCAATGAGGTAGCTATTTCTCTGATGAGGAGCTTTCACACACACTGCTTCACTCAGACTAGTCTACACATCTGCATACTCAACCAGAAAACATTCTCAAGACAGCTTTCTCCCCTTTTAATTTTCTCCTTTTTTTCATTCAAAAAATGTAGGCGAATAGTGGTATCACGGGAAATTTTCCTAACCTCGCTTCCATCTTTGTGTGATCATCCCTTTCGAAGTAAAATAATGAGGTCATAGGAAATTTTCCTACCTCTTTACTCAAAAGAGAATCATTTCATCTTTTCATTTCTTTGTTTTCTTTTTTTCTTTTCTCTTGTTTTCAATGACCAAGATTGATATGCAAAGCAGACAAGAAAGCCATCTCTGTTGAACATCGTCGAAGCCAAGTATGCAGAGCAGCTCTTTTTCTGAGGGAAGTTGCCAATAGGAGGTTTTTCTTGTTGTAGTCAGTACCACAGTAACCAAGGGATTTTAAAAAACTGCTGTACTCCTGTGCAGTGATCCTGTTCCAACAATCCCTTAGTGACAAAAACAGATCAGTTTTCACAAATACCAAGTGACTTTTGCAAATTTGTGAAAGTGCTCAAATCAAGTGGTTTAGTAAAAATATCAGCCAATTGTTTCTCAGTATCAATATAGAGGATCTCAACAAGTTTCCCTTCAACTAGCTCTCTGATGAAATGGTGCCTAATATCAATGTGCTTAGTGCGAGTGTGATGAACAGGGTTCTTAGTAATATCAATTGCACCTGTATCATCACAGTGTATCAACAGAATTTCAGAAGTCATACATAATCCGCAAGCATTTGTTTCATCCATGGTAGTTGAGTACAGCAGCTCCCCATAGCAATGTACTGAGCCTGAGTGGACGACAGGGAGACGCAGTTCTGCTTCTTGCTATGCCAAGCTATCAGGTTATTTCCCAGAAAGAAACATCCTCCAGAGGTGCTTCGTCTGCCATCAAGACATCCTGACCAGTCTGCATCACAGAAACCTGCAAGATTATGATTAGTATGCTTGGTATAGGACAACCCGTATTCAACTGTACCTTTGACGTATTTGATAATACGTTTAACAGCATTTAGATGAGAAACACGTGGACAGGCTTGGTAACGGGCACACAAACCAACACTGTAACATAGGTCTGGTCTGCTAGCTGTCAGATACAGCAGACTCCCGATCATGGCTCTGTAGAGTTTCTGATCAACATCCTGACCATCTTCATCAATCTTGTTCTTGAATATCCACATTGTGCCCATAACATTTATCTGTGCAGGTCGAGGTACCAGATCCCACACTTCATTTCTGGAAAACTGATTTAGTTCCTCTGTACAAGTACCATACCAGAATTCATCTTCAAGAGCTGCAGCAATATTCTTGGGTTCAACTAAACACACAAAACACGAGTGCTGCAGCATTTCTTTGAAGTTAAGCTGAACACCTCTGGTCGTTCTTTCATTCAGATCTCCTATCACATCAGCAGCTGAATGATACTTATGAACAACTAGTTTCTTTGTCGTAGAAGGTACAACAGGTGACTGTGCCTCAGATGATACTTCTCTGTCAGTGACTTTTTCTTCAAGAGCTGTTTCAGGTGCGTCTGCTGCAGGTGCTTCTGCAAACTCGTCTGCTGTAGGTGTTTCTGCAGACTCGTCTGATGTAGGTGCTTCTGCAGACTCGTCTGCTGCAGATTCTTCTATGTACTCGTCTAGCACAGGAGGTAACAAAAATCTATTTTTATCATCAAAGACCACATTGACAGCATCACCAATTACCTTGGTTCTCTTGTTATACACTCTGTATGCTGAGCTGTTTGTAGAGTAACCCAAGAAAATTCCCTCATCACTTCTAGAGTCGAATTTTCCGAAGTGCTCATTTTCATTAAGAATATAACACACACATCCAAATACACGAAAATGGCTCAGATTCGGATTTTTTCCCTTCCATATCTCGTATGAAGTGGTCTTTGTGCCAGGTTTCACATAAACCCTGTTGACAATGTAGCATGTTGTGCTAACTGCTTCTGCCCAGAAACCTTGAGAGATGTTATTGCCATGTATCATAGCACGAGCCATTTTCTGCAGGTTCTGTTTTTCTGTTCACAATTCCATTCTGCTGAGGTGTTCTGGGTGCTAAATACTGATGTCTGATTCCTTGCGTTTGACAGAACTGTTCAAAGATCTCATTCTGGAATTCTCTTCCATGATCACTTCTTATCTGAATGATCCTTCCCTTTTCATTCTGAAGCTGTAGGGCAAGAATCTTAAAGCTTTCCACTGCTTCAGACTTCTCTCTTAGGAACTGAACCCATGTGTACTTGAAAATCATCTACCAACACAAAGATGTACTTCTTCCCATTGATACTTTCCATTTGTACTGGACCCATGAGATCTATATGAATCAGCTCAAATACCTTTTTAGTTTCAATTTCAGGTACCTTCTTATAATTGAACTTGATCTGCTTTTCCTTTGTTACATACACTGCATACAGACTCCAGTTTGTCAGCCAGTTTGGTACACCTCGAACCACTCCAGCGTTCACAATCTTAATCAGGGTCTGAACGTTCATGTGTCCAAGTCTCTTGTGCCACAGCTCCAGATCATTAACAGACACAGACAAACTAGATATCTGATGCCTTCCAAATGTAGCAGTTATTGCCTGAGCGCACCCCACAGTACAGTGTTTCCATTTTCATCAACAGCTTGACAATCAGTCCTTGTGAAGATTACTTTCAGACCATCATCGCACAGCTGACTTATGCTAATCAAATTTTCTTTCAACCCTTCAACGTAGTACACTTTATCAGTGATGGTTGATCATCACATTCGATGTTTCCTTTGCCTCTTATACGTCCTTTACCACCATCACCAAATGTAACTTTTCCACTGGCCTCTTCTGTGAAGGTTGACAGAACACTTGAATCACCTGTCATGTGTCTTGAGCAGCCACTGTCAAAGTACCAAGGGTTATTTGCAGTTCCATCTATAGATGTGTAAGCTACCTTTGTAGTGAACCCTCTTTTTTCTTTTTTCAGACTCATCCAGTTGTACAATCGTCGTTACAGGTCAGACTGATTTCTTCAGATTCAGAGACTGCTGTTTGTACTGTTCTCATCATGCTCTGAATCTTTGTTGTACAGGTCTATCTTGCGAACCCAGACTTTACCAAATTTGGATGGTTCAATAAAGCATTTCGTGCTTGCCACAGTTGCTTGATCTTGTCTTGAAACTTATAACAAGACCTTCTGATATGACCTGGTTTTCCACAATAGAAACATTCAAACACTTTTCGACCTCTGTTTGACCTGGTCCACTTCTTTCTGGATGCAGTCTTCCTGTATTGTACAGCCGTATTATTGTTTGACCTGGTCCACTTCTTTCTGGGTGCAGTCTTTCTTGGTGCAGTCTTCCTGTATTGTACAGCCGTATTTGTGGAGCATTCTGATTCACCTTCCTAGGCTGCTGTTTCTCTTCCACTTGAGCTTCTTCATCATGATAGGTTGTACTCCTCACGAACTGAACTGTCTTTGGCATATCCAGAGATGCTTTGGGAGCATATGACTGATAGCCCAATCCTCTATGACTTGAACCAACTATTCCCATGGACAGAATCTGATCCAGATTTTTACCACCATTATTCAGCATTCTGATCTTCTTGTGGTTCTCACTCAGTTCTCTTTCCAGCATTAAAGCTTTTTCTTTCTCCTTTTCATAGCTCTCAAGTAAGCATTTCATTTTCTTCTCAAAAACTCCTTTTCTGACACAGGTAGCTTCTCGCCAATTTTTTCTTCCTCCACTTCTTCTTCCAGCATGTTCACTTGTGCCACCAGCATCAAGTTTTCCTTAGTGAGCTGCAGCTTGTCATTGCTCAGAGAGATCCAGCTGTCATACAGAGTCTTGTAGTCGTCACTGGTGATCTGATTTCCATCATCATTATCTGAATCAGAATCCTCACTGGAGTTATTCTGATCTTTTGCACTGAATGCCACAAAATTCAGCATAGGTTCAGCTTCACCATCACTATCTGATTCAGACTCACTGAAGCTCAACAAAGATTTCTCTTTACCTTTCTGTGAACTTGGACATTCTGATTTTACATGACCAAATCCATTGCACTCATAGCACTTCAGCTCCTTGCGTCTTGCCACAGGACATTCAGGTCGAGTATGTCCTATACCTCCACACTCGTGACATTTCAGATCACGTTTCCTTCCTGATGATTCGCTCCTTACAGGCCTGCTGCCTGACTTTTCAGCATCACTTCTGTTCCAGCGACTGATCTCTCTTGTGTCCCTGTTGTCTCTGTCCTTACCCTTTCAACCTGTTTCAAAGCTTTTCCGAAATTTCTGGCCATGAGAGACAATTGTCTCTGATTTCTTGCAGCGGATCTGGACCCTTTTCTTCATCAGCTTTGACCGCTATTCCTTTGTTCTGGTTTCGTTGATCTTCAGCAACTTCCATCTCTTCAGACTTTAGAATCCCAACCAGATCTTCATATTTCAGGGTATCTGTGTTTCCTGAAACTCTCATGACAGCTTTGTGTGCAGCGTATTTCGGTGGTAGGCAACGAAGCATCTTCTTCACCAGCTTTTTCTCCTTGTACGTTTTCCCTAATGATTTTGCTTCGTTTGCAATCCCACTCAGCTTAGAACTGAACTGAACAATTGTTTCTGAAGGATCCATCTTCAGATTTTCAAAGTCTGTAGCCAACTGGTCCAGCCTGGTGCGTTTTACACCAGTGTTGCCCTCATGGGTTTTCTGCAGAATATCCCACATCTGTTTAGCATTCTCACTTCCTTGAACCAGATTGAATTCATCATCATCAAGGCATGAATAGATAGCATTCATAGCCCTTGCATTGAACTTGGATAAATTCTTTTCTGCATCAGTCCAGTTAGCTTTTGGTTTCTTCACTTTCAGACCGTCTTCTGTTGTGCTGAACGGAGGTTCCCAGCCATCTTCAACTGCAGTCCAGGCGTCCTCTCCCTGTCCTCTGATTAACTGCATCATCCGAGTTTTCCAGTGACCGTAGCCTCTGTGATCCAGCATCACCGGTCTGTTGAGTTCTGCCTTCGACATCTCTAATCTGCAGGATCTTAACCTGTATTGAGTTAGTACTCAGGTCGGTCACCCTCTCTGATACCAAGTGTAGAAATATAGATGTTGAGGCAATTGAAAAGAACTTCTTTTCCTTTATTAAGAATCACTTAAACAATCTACAAGATATGTTTAATCAGATTTACACGACGTTGACACAACTCGTCACTGACCAATTCTTAATCTACCCAAACTCACAACACAGCAACAGCTATGCATACACTCTGTTCACTCACCAAGAACCCTAACAGCTTCTAGCCTAGTACTTGAGATTCACAGAGATATTCTAAACGCCCACCTAAACCTAAAGTCTAGACTGCGAATATAAAGGAAGCGTCATAGACAACTTTCCTAATCTTCAGATCACACCAAATCTTCTTTCCTTGATTTGATCGCATCTTCAATACACCGAATAACTTGAGCATCACGTTCTGGAAACTTCCAATCACCAATCACTGCTCGCCACGTCATCTTCATTTAATGTCTCGCAGTTTCCCGCATACAGCTTTCCTGTGCTCCACAGGATCTTCCTGTAGCTCGACATCCATATGTCTTCAAGATCATTAAAGGGTCAAGAAAAGTTCTTACCTTTGGACTAAACCTAACCTAACTATAACTAGTCCATCTATTCCTCATTACTCATCCAAAAAATTGTCTTAATTAGTCAATCAAACCAAAAAACACCAACAACACATTAAGGTATCAATAGATTCTCTAAAGTTACTAGATTTGCACATACATTTTACTATTTTAGCCAGCCTAATTCCATTGTCACTTCTAACAGTGAATCCTATGAGAACCCATCACCAAATTCTACCGGAAAGGTAAATATTGCAGCAAAGTAGTGACTTTACCTTATAGAGACTGTTCAAGCACTTGTTGCAACCAAGTAGAGGTGAGTATCTATCAGCATTGTTGTGGCTTCCACTTAAACAATCAGTCTCTAATCTATCAACCCTCTCGTCTCCAACGAGTCTCCCTTCTTCATTCACTCTAAAAGCCTCGGAGCAGCTCAACGGATGCAATCTTATTCCACAGTAGCAGTAAACGACGTCGCACGTCTCGTTCGGTCTCGTGAGCTCAATCCCTCTCTGTCTCAGCGATTTCCCCAATCCGTCAACGCAAGTCTCAGAGTCATCGGGAAGCAAAGGCATATCTTCTTCAGGCGTCGTTATCGCGGCGGAGGAGGAGGATGCGTTTCTTGCGGCGGCGGAAATGGAACGGCTCAGAGCTGTGGTTGAGTAAGCAGAGTAGAGCCACGCGCCAAGTACGGGGCAACATCGTCCTTTGTGGAGCTTTTTACCGCTGCAAGCTGATTTGATGCCGTGGAAGAGGTCTTCTGGTAAATCGAGTGGACAGCCGGAGAAATCGGATTGCTCCGGGAAAGCGGGTATGGTTGCGGGTGGGGATGATTTGACCCGGAATGGCTGGACTGTGACCGGTTCTTGGTTCGGTGAAACGGGTGATAGAATGGTGAAGAAGAAGACGATGAGGGAAATGGAAGAAGGCGCGTGTTGGAACATCGCCGGAACAATGGAGACAGAGTAATAGAGAAAGAGAGAGGGACAAAGAGTGAGAGACTGGAAGAGATGTGTAATAAAATATATCACAAATGGGATCTTGATATATGTTATATACTGTATCAATTTAATACTAGTCAGTTTTTTTATTGGTTTTAATTTAAAGTTCACTTGGCAAAAATTTTGATCAAACATTCTTTAAATTCCAAAACATTTCTTATGATTCGTTAATGTTATTTAATGTATAGGAATAATAGAAAAAACAACTTTTTAGTCGTAATCCATGCTAGCAAACTAGTTTATGAATTATAAGAAACATTGAAATATTAGTAACCTTAATTAGTGGAATCTTGATATTTTTTTGAATCACGGGACGATTATTCTTCGCATTGAAACTTGAAGACCACAGAGTTAAGTGATCGACAGGTTCACTTGTTTTTTTTACAATTCCAATTCATAAGAGTTTGGAAGGATTCGTTTAGTTTAACTTATCATTCTTGAGTCCTTAAAACGCTCACATACTTATTAGATTTGATATGTAATCTGTACATAATCAATAAATAGCAGAGTCTATTTTATGAATTAACTAAACCTTTTCGTTAGTTTAAAAAGAAATGCAATATTTTTTCGCAAATTAAATATCATGGAAAACAAAACAAGTCGTAAGTTTAGTTTTATTATGTTTATATTTAGCTGTTTTGTCATTTTTCATTAAACTTTTGAGTTGTAAAAAACTTTTGTTGATAAAGAAAAATAAAGACTTGTATAAAAACTTTACTCTTACTTCCATGAAAAAAGAAAAAAGGAATTTTACCCTTAGGCCTTAGTTATCTCAAAAGAAAAAGAACTCTAACTTCTGTCAAGTGTTTTTTAGCCCTTTAATTTCTAGGAGTATTGTTAATTTGGTTTTGTTGTTTCTTATATTGTTGAAGCAAAATAGTTGGACGACGACCACAACAACAAAAACACTAGATTATCTCGGGATTAATAGTACATGTTCATGAAATTTCCTTTTATATCAAAACACTATTGGTTGATAGTAAAAAGGAAAAGATAAAGAATTATGTGGAGCTCCATGTTGAAAAGGTAATGTCAGGGCATGCGAATGGTTTGTAGTAGTGAAAGCTGCTTAAATAACATTCCAAACCCATTTTCGGGAATGCCATTACAAAAGTATCTCTATAACGTAATGCAAGATGGATTTAACTTACATCACAATGACAAGAGACTATTTTACAATAGATTTTTTTTTTTTTTTTTTTCAATATCTTTTAAATAGAGATACAAATGGTAAATTAATAATATACTCAGTGTGTTCAAATTTCATATCAAAAATAAACTTATTCAGTCACTTTGGATACTATAGAGTAAAAGAAGAAACTGAAATTTACAACATTATTGTATATTTGTGGACTACTTTAAAGTTGATCTATTTTACGTTATTTGATATTAACAGCTAGTAACAGTATTTTCACCAGCTCTAAAGCGATTAGCAAACCAAAGAGAACAAAAGAAAAAGCAAAGTTGGACGACCAAAAGAAGAAATTCAGCAGTAAATCAAAATGATTCTATATCATTTGAGGATGAAGTGATCATCATAAAAAAACATATGGTCAAGAATCAAGATGATGCATTTAACACACAAACTTCTACTTGGAATTTTTATCGCCTGATAAGGTCAAATATTTGTCAGACATAAATCCAGGGGTTAACGTGTAGTAAAGTCAAAGGTCTGGGGGTATTTCCACAATTTTTCTTAAATTATTCTCTAACATTTTTTTTAATACAACTCGAATTGATGACAAATTGAAGAGCCAATGAAGGTTAAGTTGTTTTGTTCATAGCTCATGTCTCTCAGTATCATCAAGATCATACCACTTCTTCTTCTTCTCTGTGAGAGATGTATAAGAATTGTAGAATCAGCCGGTCTACTGTTAACACAAGTTTCAATCACCAAACTCTGAATCAAGTGTGGAGAGCCGCAACCTTTGAGACAAAGCATCAACCGTATCATTGTTCGATTCCCCGTGCTGCAAAAGTCAAGAATGTGAAGAACAAGTGTAGACAAACTTGTATTATATAATCTTATCTAATGCTACTGATTTTTACCTCAGACTTGTTTCTTTGTTTCACGCCAATGCATTTAGATGCACTGATGCTGGCACTTTTCAGCAAGCTGCGAGCACTGTAACCCGTCTGGCTCACTCCATTCCTGTAGTCTGAACCCTCGTGTTGTGACGTCGGAGGGCTTTCGAGGGTCGTGGCTAAAGACGCTGTGGATCTGTTCTCGATATCGTGATTTTGTGATCCATTCTCTTTCTTAGGAGCAGGACTCTCTCCCTGAAACAGAAGAGGTTCCAACACAATACAAAGAATGAGATGATGCAAAGTTTAAAAGAATTGGGGAAATCATGTGACTATCGAATCAGTTTTACTGACAAACCAACAAACAAAATTGTATACCTAGGCAAAGAAGCGTGTTGGCGTTGAAGAGGTGAGCCTCTCTCACCCTTACCGTAATTTTCCTCAAGATGAGCAAATTGTCTCTTAAAGCGATCAACACCACTGCATTTTCATTTAGATTACAAATCTTTATTTTACTTCTCATAATTCGTAGTAAATTTTGAATACGGATTCTAAATGTTTTTATATACCTTGGGTACATGAAGCTAGTCTGTTCTCCACCTCGAAGATATTCTTGCAGCATCTGAGGATGATACTCTAATATCTGCATTATTTCACATTTAAGTTTTGTAAGGATTACGGTTAACCGATGGATACATGCGAAAAAGGAAGAAGATACATTTTGCCATTGTTCAGAGCTTACCAATCTGAACAAGCTTAGTGAAGCAAAAAACAGTACGAGATTAGTGTACCTCTCTGTAGATCAATTCTCTCACATCTTCTTTTGTTATCTTCCTTCTTTCAAACTCAACTCGAGTTTTGGTATCGGTTGCGTAGATGGTTCCCGATCAACGTTCGCCAGACCATAGAAGTAAGGATCTGCCAGTGCCTGTATACACGCACACACAACACGCTGACGCGCATATATAATGTTTCCTTTTCTGAGAGCGACTGAAACTGCTCTGAAACTCTGAAGTGAAAACGCTAGAAAAAACAAGTATAGAGGAGCTTTACCTCTTCAGCTGTGGGACGGTCTTTGGGATCAAATGCAAGAAGACGGTGCAGTAAGCGAAGGGCCAGCGGGTCTACATGAGGAAATTTGTGAGTGAATGGAACTGGTGGTTTTCTCCTCATATTGCCGAGATATCTCCTCGCCTTTTCATTACGAATCTGCAATAAAACAAAACACTGATCATCATTACAGAAAATAGAAAACTGATATACTCAATCCTGGTCTAGTATGTTATAACACTAGTATTCTCATATTTCTGTGGGCCACATACCTACGTGAGCTTCCTACCAATTAATATGAAACCCAGCTAGCCTAAACTACTTGCCACAAAACCGTGGCCGGAAAGTACTAATAAGCAAATAGTGATGGTTTATAAAACTTTCATAAGACATCAAAGAAAACTCTAGCAGCCAAATTGTAGCAAACAGAAATAGATGAACTCTACCAACTAACCCTTGAAATAGCTTCGGGAGGAGGAGTACCAAGCAAATCAGTCATAATATCCAATTGGTGCACCACATTCTTCCCAGGAAACAATGGCTTCCCAGTAAGCATTTCTGCAAATATGCATCCTATGCTCCATATATCAATGGCAGGAGTATACTGCAGCAAAGAAAGAAGAAAAAATCCGTTCAAACCTCAGATTGTGATGTCATAACATGTGAAACAGACAATATTTGCAAAATAAAATAGAGAATTGAATTTTACTTTGGAGAAGAAAGAGCCACAAAGTTCTGGTGCACGGTACCATCTTGTAGCAACATAGTCCTGCAAAGAAGCGAAAACCATTTGATCACAACACTTAATGCATTAGACAATATAAAAAGAAAACGTATGATTTCAGTCTGTAGCATACAGTCCAGAATATAGCCGAAGGTGCATCATTAAAGGACACTCGAGCAAGCCCAAAGTCGCAAATCTTCAACTTGCAATCAGAGTTAGCTAGAATATTTTTAGGCTTCAAATCACGATGAAACACATTAGCTGCAACAAAGCAAAAAGGATCCTTCAGGTTGTTAAAAAGCAGTAACGGAAAAAAAGGGAACAACGGAAACACGAATTTCTCGAGCCTAGGCACTCACCTGTGTGTATAAACTTCAGACCACGAAGAAGCTGGTAGAGGAAAAACTGGTAGTGCTCAGGTGTAAGATCATCGTTCGCCTTGATAACTTGGTGAAGATCTGATTCCATCAGCTCGAAAACAACATATATGTCTCTGAACTCACGGCGTGAAGGAGGAAGCATTACATGTTTTATCTCCACTATATCAGGATGGCGGAGCAACCTGAGAAGCTTGATCTCTCTTAGAATCCGCGTTGCATCAGAGACGTGCTCAAACACATCATTAATTTTCTTAATGGCAACCTTTTCGCCTGAATGTGTGTCAATTGCAGATGCCACAACCCCGTAACTTCCTTTCCCTATAACTTCTTGGATTTGGTATCGGCTAGCTTCACCGTATTCTGTAAAGAACTCAGTCTCCAGTGCAACCTGTGATTGTACAAACATGACAGCATAAAATACTTAATCAGAATTTAGATTGGAAAAAAGAAAAACTGAGAAGAATAAAGAATTATGCCTAGTTCTCAAATTCTACAGATCATAGGTAGCTTACAAGACATAAATAAGGTAAGGAAACATAATCAAGAAGAAACCAAAATGAACAACATAGCATTTATACTACTACTCCAAATTCTTCAGATCACATATATAAGGTGCCACAGATTCAGATCATTCCAGAGGGTATCAAAAGCCAATTCAAAGCCAAGGCGAAAAAAGCAAAATCATGAAGCAACCAAATCCACAATGTAGGTTCTTCTTTTGTTCACAACAATAAAAATATTGACATCTAAGACTATTGATTGATCATACATTGGAGAATTCCATAAGCCAATTCATAACAAGATCCAAATGATCAGAGATGGCTTGCATTTTCCACCATTTCCCAAGCAAATGGAAATTGGATAAAGAATCCCAAAAAGTGTTGACCTTTTCAATCTAATAACTTAAACCCAGTAATTAAACAATGATTTGCTACAGTTCCTTCCAATGTAGTTGGAGAAATTAAACAGGAAACTCATAATCACGAAAAGCAACAAAACCTACGAGGTCCAAAATCAATTCTAAATCTGGAGAAATCAAACAGATAAATGAATCGACAGATCCATAGGAGCAAGCAATACCCAAAAGGTTTACATTTTTAAAAAAAACGAACCTTTTTATGAGGATCCATAAGAATGTAATTCCTTCCAGAAGGAACCCTAATGCAGTTCAAACCAGACAAATCAAAATCTCTAACAAGGCCGAAACTTTTCGCTTCTTCTTCTGCTCTTTTCTCTTTTCCTTCTGCTTCTTCCTCTTCCTCTTCTTCTTCTTCTTCTTCCTGATTTCTGTAGATAGTTGTGAGCTGAGACCGTAAATTACTCACAGATAAGCGATCACTTGTTGAAGCAGAGTGACGAGAGCTGTTGTTGCTGTTGTTGTTGGTCAGAGAAGGATTCCGAGAATGAGGATGATTATTAACGTTGGCGCTGTGACTAGCACCCATCAAACACCTCCACCACCACTTTTAAACTAATTTTAATTTCACAATAATAATTATAATCATCGATTGATTGACAATAATAATTATTATTAGTAAATAATAATGTTTTTTCACGTCGTCGACGCACGAATCTCTCAGGTATGGCGTGCTTCTCTCTTTCTAATTCTTCGACTCTCCATTATTTGTTTTTTTTTGGGCTGTTTGGTTCTCTTGTCCGAAGGATGCGGAAGATAGAAGAAGAAGAAGGTGAAAGTGTTTTGGCACGTGCGACTCACGTGAAGCGTGTGCTTCTCTTTTTCTTAAAGGGCATGTTTGACTATTTACATTTGCTTTTTTAATTATTCACATGATGGCTTTATTTCCCTCTCGTCGTTTTCATTATTTAGCTTTATTAATTTACACCGTCGATTGAATTTATTGATTGTAACTTGAGTCCGTGACATAACCATCCATATTAGGAAAAATTAGGCTAACAAAAATAACAAATCGTGTAACTATTTTTGATAAGGACTACTGTGTAATATTAAAATTCAAAAAGCGTGTTTGAGAAAAAGAAAATAAAAATGGTGGTGGTGGGTGGGGCCAATGGCCTAATAATTAAAGAAGGTTATGTTTGAGATAATTGTAAGATGCCAGCAAATGTCTGCTATGTAACTCTTCTAATGCACGTCTCCGTTCGTGTGTGACTCGAGAGGACCAACCAAATAACCAAAAACATTAACAATTCATTTCAAATTCGAGACAAAAATAAAATAAAAAAGGTCTTTGATTATGCATGCACACAGATAGGCCCATCTCATGTTGAGGTCCAATACATAAGTAAACCTTGTCTAGCAGGCTGATAATCCGGCCCGTTAAAACATTTGGAAATGTGGTCACTGACAACTGAGAAAAAATTATCATAATCTTTTGTTAGTTTAATTTCTTCTTGTATAACCAACCAACCAACGTTTTCAGTGGTACCGTTACTTTTTATTGCTTTATTGGTTATCCAAGTACTCTAAGAAAACAAAGTACGTAAATTTGTGAACACTAATTATATTATCCACATAGTTATATACTTATATTGTAGTCATATGTTTACTTGGTGATCGTCTTTTATCAGCCGCACTTTGTTTGACCATTGCTTGAAAGTATTCGAGCACACGCATGCACACAACACAACACAAGCATGTATATAAGTATTAAAGATGAGCATACATAAATTGTTGTATGAAAACGACACGACTCAGATGATATTTGGAGTTTGCATAAGCATAAACGTACAGTACTCTGTTTATAAATTCGTAATGTATTGTCATGAGTAATATATGAACAATTTTCTTGTTGGAATCCTTTTTGGGTACCGTGATGTATGAAGGGGGTGACTCTACGAAGGAGATAGGTGTGACACTTGTTCCCCCATAGATTTATCAATTCTTTTATAGTCCCACTGATTTTACTAGACATTTTGCTAATTCAAATTAATGGTGAAATACTGAAATCTCTCCCTCTACCCCTTTGAATCCACAATCAAACTCACCTTATTATTGGTTAATATAGTCTGTCTCCGGTTAAAATTATATCTAGTGGTTGTATTATTCAACATCAATTTGTCTTTTATTAATATAAATAATTTAGTACACGTAAAAGACATAAACCAAAATAGTTATACAAGAAAATTGCTCAATAGATTTGACAGTAGACACAAATATTTTTATAGGAAGAATTGCAAAAAGGGTAGAATTTTTATTGTATTATATTGGCAGTGATATTTTTCCTTACATGTTTTGAAAATCTTGATTATTTCCCAATCCTGCTTATTATATTCAACTTGTAGTTTCCCTTACTTTTAGTTTTCATCTAAATTAGAAAAAAATATTTTTGATGCCAATATCACTAAATATCGATAACTTGCTAATTAATTTGATAGTGTGTTCCCTTTTGTGTCAAATTCAACCAAAACATTTTTTAAAAAAGTAAATACTAGAATTCACATAAAATTACTCCCTGCTTGAGCTTTGAATTGTGCGGTCTTCTTTGATAGGTTTTTAGAGTCGCTCTAGCGTGTCTCTATGCCTTAGGATCCATTCCTATCATACTTCTTTTTTCCTAATTAAACTCAAAGACATAACTCACACATATAATACGCAATAATATTTAATTAAACAATACTTATTTGTCCCAATATATAGGATGCTTTAAACTTTTTCTTTTGTTCTATTTTATTAGATTGTTTATTGTTTAATGCATAATTTATATAAATTTAAAGTTATAACTATCTAAATTGTACAGTATTTTTCAGTTTTGTTTAATTTTTATTAATGAGAAAACACATTATTTCTTAATATTTGTGTTTTTAGCCCAACCATCTAATTATTAGTATTTTCATATTTACTAGTTTCTTAAAATTATCGTTTAATACTTATCATTTTAATTAGACCGTTTAAATAGATTACCATTTTTTGCGTAGCATGAAAAAATAAAATTTTGTATTTAACACAAAATAATTACACTTTTTACATATTGAATTTCTTAAAATTATTGTGCAACATTTATTATTTATTTTCACTATTTAAATAAACTTCACTTGTTTGAGATCATGAAAACACAATCATAATGTTGCATATAACCCTCACTAATATTATACTTTTCTATATTTGAATTTATTAAATTATTTTTCACCATTTATTACTTTACTTATATTGTTTAAATAGATTACAAGTTTGTTTGCGATACACGACAAAGCAATAAAAATATCTTTAAAATATATTAATTACATTTTTCTATATTTTGATTTTTAAAATATATATTGCTCATTATTTATTAATTACTGACACCATTAAAATAAATAACGCTTGTTTGCAATACATGACAACACTCTAATTTTGCTTTTAATACTTACTATTTACACTTTTCCATATTTGATTTTTTAAAATTCAACATTTATTATTTTAATTATACCGTTTAAATATATAACGCTTGTTTGCGATACACGACAAAACAATAAAAAAAATCACATTTAATACTTACTAATTACATTTTTTTCCATATTTTGAAAATTTTTAAACTTATTTGCATCATTTATTATTTCAGTTACACTTTTCAATAAATTACGCTTGTTTGCGATACACGACAAAAAAAATAATTGAATATTTTCATTAGTATTTGGCAATTTCACTTTTTCATATTTTAAATTTTCTGAAAAATTTCTTTTACATTTATTTTTTTTAATTAGACTGTTTAAATATATTACACTTATTTGCGAAACACGACAATATAATACAAAATTTGTTAATTACATTTGTTTTGGCTCGTACATCTATGTAACTAGTCTAATTAAAATAAGTTTTTTTGGTTGAAAATTTAAATAAGAGTTTTACATTATTTATTACTTTTGTTTTACGTCGTTCATTTATTTTTATCAAATATTTTTGTTAAAATATAATCAAAATTAAAATGAAATTCAAAAGTAATTATCATTCATTACTATTTATAAATATTTCAATGTCTTGTGTTTTTTTAATGAAAAAAATATTTGATGTATCATTTTATTACTTTAGTTTAAAGGGCCACAAATATACATGTTTTAAAAAAATTCATAGAAAATATAAATTTTGAAACTAAATTTAATGTAAATGTATCAATTTCAAATACTAAACAAACGACATTGAACTTAGTAAATTGCATTTGTTTTGACACACTCCTTAAACCTCATTACATATCTCTACTTATCATACACTCTTTAATGGATTTTGTTACAGATGTTACTTAATGCAACAGTGTTTTGCTATTACTTCATTTTACACTGAATGCGAGGAGATCTTTAAGAAAAAAATAAAAAAAATTGGCGGTCTATTTTTAAAATTTGGTGATTTGTTATTACATTTGGAGCGAAAATCTAGAAAATTGTAAGAGGCAAAAAAAATGAAAAGAAAAAAAACCAAAGTAAAGAAACACAAACTTAAATAAAAAAACAAAAATGAGATGACACGTCATCGATCCTCGTCAAAACCGTCGATAAAAAACAATCAACGGTTAGATTTAATAGTAATCTTTCTTCTCATCCTTTCGTCTCTACTCCTCCGCCTCTCTCTCTCCAACCTAACTTTATTTATTTCTCTCACAAAATTATTATTTTCACAAAAACCAAAAATCAAAAGAGCTCACAGAGCTAAACCAAAAAAAAAAGAAAACCCTAAATCTAAATCTCACCTTCCTCCTCTGTTTTTTTTTTTTCATTTTTTTTTTACTGTTCTCTTTGCTTGTGCAAAATCTGCATCCATGGATCCATCTCTTGGTGATCCTCATCATCCTCCTCAGTTCACCCCTTTCCCTCCTTTTCCCACCTCCAACCACTTCGTCTCCGGCGCCGTCCCTCCTCTAAATCATCATCCCTTCAACAACAACCATGTCTTCCAACCGCAGCCGCAAACGCAAACGCAAATTCCCCAACCGTCGATGATTCAGGTCCCTCCACATCCCATCAACCACCCTCCTTACTCCGAGGTAAGAGTTTCATCTTAAAGTCTCTCCCTTTAACTGAAATTCAGTTAGTTTTTTTTTTGTTACTAATTTTTTTTTCCATCTGTGTGTAGATGATTTGCGCTGCGATTGCGGCGTTAAACGAACCGGATGGTTCGAGCAAGATGGCAATTTCGAGATACATCGAGAGATGTCATCCCGCTCTAACTTCTGCTCATGCTGCTTTGTTGACTCATCATCTCAAGACTTTGAAGAACAGTGGTGTTCTTACTATGGTTAAGAAATCTTACAAAATTGCTGGTTCTTCTACTCCTCCTGCTAGTGTTGCTGTTGCTGCTGCTGCTGCCGCTCAAGGTCTCGATGTTCCCAGATCTGTGATCCTCCCTTCGTCTAACAGCACCGTCAACGATCCCATGGCTGGCTCTGCTTCTCAGCCTCTGAAACGAGGTCGTGGTCGTCCTCCTAAACCTAAACCCGAAGGTCAACCACAACAACAACAACCCATCAATGCTCAGCCTATTCAAGTCCAGTCTAATGGACAGCCAATCTGGCAACAGCAACAAGTCCAATTACCTGTTCCGGTTCCGGTTACAGAGTCGGCTAAGAGAGGACCTGGTCGTCCAAGGAAGAACGGAGCTGCTGCTGCTACTGCACCAATTGTTCAAGCTTCGGTTATGGCTGGAATCATGAAACGTAGAGGTAGACCACCGGGTCGTAGAGCTGCTGGTAGACAGAGGAAGCCCAAATCTGTTTCTGCTACTGCTTCTGTGTATCCGTATGTTGCTAATGGTGCTAGACGTAGAGGAAGGCCTAGGAGAGTTGTTGACCCTAGCAGCATCGTTACCGTTGCTCCAGTAGGTGGTGAAAATGTGGCAGCGGTTGCGCCGGGAATGAAGCGTGGACGAGGACGACCACCGAAGATTGGTGGTGTTATCAGTAGGCTTATGAAGCCTAAGAGAGGACGAGGACGTCCTGTAGGTAGACCCAGAAAGGTAATATTCACATCCCAATTCTGTATTTTGTGATCTCAATTTTCGCAATATCTGAGGTTAGTGTACTGTACATGATTGTTCACTGCTCCGCCGTCAATTTAGGTTGATAAAGCTTGATACTTGTGTTGCAATCATTGTGGAATTAAAATCAATGTCACTTTCCGCTTTTGTGCATTGTCTGTTTTCGAGTATCCAAAATCTGACTAGTATCTAGTGTTTTTATTATATTTTCGTGTCCCTTACTTTTGGCTTATCCTTATCTGGTTTCTCAGTTTAATTTTTAATTCCGTTTGGATAATTAAGACCAAGTGGTCGGTGATGTATCGCTTTAGCTAGGAATAATTTTATCAATTAGTGTGTGAACTAATCTGGCTTAATGGTTTCTAAGTCATCACAGTGTCTTGTTCTCTGAATCTTCTTTTTTAGTAGTAACGTGTTCAATTAATCTAAGTTTAAGGCTTTCTTGTTTTAACTATTAGTGTCTGACTTGAATTTGTTGTACTTTTTATCTAACAATTTTATTCTTTGGTTCATGAACCTAGTTTGCAACATCAGTCACGACTGGGGCACAAGATTCTGGAGAACTCAAGAAAAAGTTTGATATTTTTGTAAGTCTAGTTGACAATTAACAGTCGTTTATTGCTTCAAGTTCTCGATTCTACTTGCTTAAGTTTTGTTTTTGTATCTAAATGATTTCAGCAAGAGAAAGTAAAAGAAATCGTGAAGGTGTTGAAAGATGGAGTTACAAGCGAGAATCAAGCGGTGGTGCAAGCCATAAAAGATCTGGAAGCACTAACAGTGACGGAGACAGTTGTTGAGCCACAAGCCATGGAAGAAGTGCAGCCAGAGGAGACTGCAGAACCACTCACTGAAGCTCAACAAGCTGAAGCTGCTGAAACACAAGGAGGACAGGAAGAGGGACAAGAAAGAGAAGGAGGAGAAGCACAGACCCAGACAGAAGCAGAGGCAATGCAAGAAGCTCTGTTCTGAAGAATAATAATGATCTAGAAAACAACCTAGACATAATAGCCTTGGTGTTTGGCGTTAGGAGGAGTGTTTTTTTAGTTAATTTAGGTGTTGGATCGTATCTTAAATTAAAAAAAATATATCTATATGGAATTTTAATTTTTTTTGTAGGTTATGTTGTCTGCAAAAGAAGAAACAGTAGACTCGTTAATGGTGTTGTTGTCGGTATGTCTTTAACCAAACATTAAGACGTGGCTGTAAATTAGCGATGTTTCTAGTGTTCCATCTTTAATAATCTCTTATTGCGTCCGTGCCTTTGGTAACCAAAGTTTGGTTTTTCAATCTGTCTTCTGCTCTCTGCTTCCGCTTTGCTTATTGTGGAGATGTTTTCGTGTCTAATATCCAACGGTTTTAGCTGGTCGAGTCTTGCTTAATTTCTTACAAATAGTATCTTCATTTCCGTGTACCGTTGGCTCAAATCAATTTAATTTGACTCGAAAACTTGTTAGCGGTTAACAATAGGCGATCTGTTTGACTTTGACAATGGAAGCAATGTAGTGTGATTTTTTTCATATGCTGAATTTGAGAGTCTTTTCGGCATCATCAAACATCCATTACTTGCTTAAATGGTTAGATTTTATAACTGAAACTTTAAATCTGTATATTTATGATCATATGATTTTTTTCCTTCGATTTACAAGGTAATCTTCTATCCCCGCCAAACAATAAAACACAGGACTTAACTACATTTAACTTGGCCACACTCAATAATTACTATTACTTAAAAAAACTCTTTTAAGTATACATTAACACTGTATATATTGCCGTTATCTCTGATTCTTTGTGCTTGCTTTATTGTTCAACGACCTTGATATGTTCTGGTTTGCAAAATCGAGTTTCTTGGATATTCTTACAGAGTTGTCAACTTATGATTTGGTACTATCATCATCGTTGTTATGATCTGTATTAGTATCACAATTGTGCCATAAACCGATATTCAAAGCCCATACGACTGAGGCCTAAAAAGAGTGAGTCAACGGCCCATTTGACCAGCAACTAAAATGAGTAATAATTGTCCTCTCTCTCTCTCTTCCCTCTAAAACATTTTGATATTCTTCTCTTCGAGCAGATCAATTTTTCGGTTAGGGTTCCTGGGCGAGCCATTCGCTGGATCTCTGAAGTTGAGAAGCAGCTATGGAGAATGGGAAAAGAGACAGACAAGAGATGGAAGTCAATACCACACCGAGAAAGCCTCGTGTACTACTGGCTGCAAGTGGAAGCGTAGCTGCTATCAAATTCGGCAATCTCTGCCATTGTTTCACCGAATGGGCAGAAGTGAGAGCCGTAGTTTCGAAATCATCTCTTCATTTCCTCGATAAACTCTCTCTCCCACAAGAAGTTACTCTGTATACTGATGAAGATGAATGGTCAAGCTGGAACAAGATCGGTGATCCTGTCCTTCACATCGAGCTTAGACGTTGGGCTGATGTTTTAGTCATTGCTCCTTTGTCTGCTAACACTCTAGGCAAGGTAATTAACTAAACTTCTATAACCCTCTACTTTGCTTCAACTGTGTGAATTGTGAAAACATTCATACGCTCTTTTTTTTACCTTTATAGATTGCTGGTGGGCTTTGTGATAATCTTCTGACTTGTATTATACGAGCTTGGGACTATAGCAAACCACTGTTTGTTGCACCAGCGATGAATACTTTGATGTGGAACAATCCTTTCACTGAAAGGCATCTTTTGTCGCTTGATGAACTGGGAATCACACTTATTCCTCCTATCAAGAAGAGATTGGCCTGTGGAGACTATGGTAATGGCGCTATGGCTGAGCCCTCTCTTATCTATTCCACTGTCAGACTCTTCTGGGAGTCTCAGGCTCATCAGCAAAGTGGTGGAACTAGTTAAACCATGATGTCCACAAAATGCTGTTTTCACTATCTTAGATAATAGATTTCATCAGTCTGTCTGCTCTTCTTGTATATCTTAAAATAGCTGTCTGGATTTATGTCTGGAGGACCATTTGCACTAGCTCCTCTCTGTTTCTGTAGAAATGTTTATGTTTCCTTTCCTCGCTCTCAAATGTTATCTTCAATTCTGCTGATTATTCACCTGTCTGAGCTCACTGAACTTATGAATTTGCCGGCGAAAAACTCGCAGAGAAGAAACAAACAAGCCCACTTCTTTACTCTCATACAGCGTTGGTAAAACCAATTCTCAGATCACCAGTCAGCTTTTACTTTTACAAGTGACCATAATATCAAAATGCAAGATGCTTGAGCCCCAAAACATGAAGTTTATTGCTTTTGAAAAAGCCTATCCCGAGGTTGCAGGGTTTGAAATTAACTCTCCTTCCACAGCTAGAGGCATAGAAGAATCATGCAGTTTATCAAGTATTCGCCATGTCACAGCATCAGGAGCCTGACCGTTCTTCCTCATCTCCTCCAAAATCTGGTACGCTTCTCTCTTCAACCCACTTCTGCTACACTCATCAATCACAGTATTATAGCACACAACATTAGGGATTGCTCCAGAATCTGCCAGGTCATATAGGAAATGGCAAGCATCACTTAGATAACCAGACCGACAAAGCCCTTTTAGAAATGCTGCATACACAAACACATCATGTCTGCCTGATGGCCATATCACATCATCCCAGAACTTCTTCGCCATATCCACCTGACTAGTCACGCACAATCCGTCAATGATTATAGCATATGTAGTACTATCCGCAGTCACACTTGCCTTTTCCAGCTGATCAAACACACTCATAGCTTCATCTCCCTTATTGAGCTTGAACAACCCGCGTATAACAGCGTTGTATGTAACAACACCTGGCTTAATCTTGTTCTCTGGCATAACCCGATTCAACACATCGAGAGCTTCTTTTGCTCTTCCTTGACTAAGCAAGCCACACATAACAGTAGTTAAAGTCACAGCATCTGGTGCACAGAATTTCCCTGTCATCATATCACCAAGAACTTTCATAGCATCATCCACCCTACCCATCTTGCAAAATCCATTAACAACTGTGTTAAGTGTATACTCATCAGGACTACAGTCTCCCTGAAGCATACTGACCAGTACGTTCAGGATCTCAGTCGGGTTATCCATCACACAGAGAGCTCGTAGATAAATATTATAGATTCGAGTTCTATCTGTTCCTTCCTTTCTCAACATCAGCTCTAGAACATTCCTGGCTTTACCCGTGTCCAGTTCCCTGCATAGACTCTCCACTAGAAGCTTATAAGTATACTCAGACGGAAAGAAACCAAATTCAGATCCCTCTTCTAGCAACTGATAAGCCCTCATACACCCACCATCCTTGCACAAGCCATGAATTATAGCATTGTATGACGTTCTTCTCGGTTTTAACCCTTTACTCTTCATTATATAAACAATCCTTGCAGCTCCATGGTTTCTCCTGTATCGACACAAGGAATCTATCATATGCCCGTAAGCAAATTCAACGTTCACGGACCCGCATTGTGGCATGTTCTCTGCAATCTCGAAAATGTCATTGAAATACCCTTCCCTGCACATAGAATCAACAAGATTCGCAAAAGCTGCTGTTTTCATTGATGTATCAGCCTCATTCTTCATGTATTCCCAGAGTTCCTTCATCAGCTTCCGTCCTGTTTCAACATCTCTCATTTTCAAAAACCCACCAATAAGAACACTCATCGTTAGAGAATTAGGCCTTATCCCACACGCACGCATTTCGTCAAACACTTTATGAGCAACTTCAAGTTCTCGAATCTCACAGTAACCACCGATTAAAGTTGTAAAAGTCACAACATTTGGGAGATGTCCTCTGTTCCTCATATCAAATAAAAGCTTATGCGCATCGATTACTCTATAAATCAAACACAACTGATTGATCAAACGGTTGTAATTCGTCAACGATGGCACGAACTCCTTCTTGAAACCGATCAAACGGTGTATAACTCCCAACGTACTCACCGGAGATCTCGAATCTAACAATCTCGCAATGATAACGTTGCAGGTTCGCTCGTCTGGGATAAAACCTGAAGCGACGAAGAGTAGAAACCGACGATGAGCTTCGTCAAATCGTCCGGCGTCACAAAGAGAGTGGATCACACTGCTCAAGTTAAGCGAATCGGGACGATATCCACGGAGGCAGAGTCCGTCGAGAACCCGAAGAGCTTCGTCTGGATTTCTCCGTATGGCGCAGAGACTGTGTATTCGTCTTCTCCAGTAAGCTCTATCGGTTACACTGCGTCGACGATCTTCTGCTTCTACTGCATCATATTCTCCTTCATCATCAGATTTCAATACGGAGGCAGATGAGAAAGAGACGGGTTTAGAGAAGAAGAAGCCATTTTCTCTGGCTCGTAGTCGTAGGCGAGTGATGAAGAACATAACTTTGGTAGCAATCTCTGTTTCTCAGTTTCAAACTGGTTTTTATATGACACATGTTTTCCATTCATTTATAGTTTGTTTGGGCCTAATCCGATTTCATTGGGCCCAAAAGTCTGATTTATATAAGCCCAGCATTCTTTTTGAAAGATTGTATAATGATTTATTTTTAATCAATTTTCTTATTTATTTTGTAATTTGAGTTAAGTTTTTTCACTCACTGTGATTATTTCCCCCACAAAATCAATACATAATTTTTCATTTAATCTTGTGACTTTACCTAATAGATAGTAGAATATATAAGTGTGAAAAGAAAAATATCAAGCTTGAAAATATCTCTGTTAAAAAGAAACGTAATGATTCAGAGTGCGTGCGAATTCACGTATGATAACAAGCTTGCAGTTCGGAAAAATGTAGTTGACGTTTGAAGAAAGCCAGAATTTCGATCATAGGCATGATTAATGTGATTTCTTTAACAAAAAAAGAAAGAAAGAAAGATTGATTAATATAATACACAATCTTTTGTAATTACAAAAACCTGTGAGATTTCATAAAAATTGATGAATTTTTATAAAAACTCATATTTATTAAGTTTGAAAGATATATCACAAAAGAAAAATTAATATCATCACTTTGTTCATGTGTGTCACTAATATAATAATATCTACCAGCTTGAATCCATAGCTACATCTCAAACAAGTAAGGGACATATATAGTTTGATCACACAAACATGAGAACAAATAGAAAGCAAATTAGATCATTTCGGTACATCTCTTCCAAACTCAGGGATTAATAATTTTGCAAATTTCCAAAAAAGGGAGAAAAAAACAAAAGGATTAATTAGGGCTTGGGAAAAGACAGAAAAGGGGGATTTAAGATCCCAAAGAGAAGAAAGAAGGAAAAGGGATTTATGGAAAAGTAAGTTTGAGAGAGACAAAAGGAGATGAGGTTAAGAGTGTAAAGGAGACAAAGCTATGGGGCAGTTGAGAACAAGAATAATAGTGAAAGCCACAACACACACATACATACATATTTATTTAGGGATCCCATTTATCGAACTCATATTTCGTATAAAAAAAACATATCAATCTAATAAAGGATTTAGAAGAAAAAAGAGGGAAAAAAAGAATGAAAGAAAAGGAGTGATGGGGAGAGATGGGAGAATGTCACGTCGTTATAAGGTCCTTCGCAACTCCCCATATCATTCATATCATATCCCCCCAGAATTCCACGCCCCTCCTATCCTCTCTCTCCTCTATACTAGTCAACCTCATCTTCCTACCTCCTATTCTTTTATTATACTACTATCTAGTAGTAAAAACCATTAATTTACTAAACTAAAATTGTTTGTATCATTCCTTAGCTTAGTGAAATTACATATAGCTGATCACTGCATTTATTGAATTCGCTACACAAAAGTGATTTATCAATGACCATCATCGTAGTTTGTTACTTGGTCACGGTAGATATATAGTTTTATCGTGTGCTTTAGGTAGAGGGATCTAATTTTGTGAAGTATAGATTTGGTTGGGACGAAAGTTAGTAATTTCTTGGAATCTATTTTTAATGTGTATAGTAGTTAAATACTTTCATCATCCGCAGGCTAACCACGTTTTGAATAGCATTTTAATGGTACACATAACACATTGTACATGAAAGCTTTATATCATGCAAGTAAAGATACATCTGGCTTATTAATGCCTATATGAATGTACAAGTTACATTAATCGTATTGTGCAAACAAACAAATCGTAGCTTCCTTCAAATGTATGTGATATGATAAAATTCCTTCATGGGGAAAGTATATAGGTCGGTCGTTTACTAATCAAGGACTATAAAATGTTATATTTCTTTGACATAAAAACATATCTGTGATTTTGCAGCCCGGTAGAGAATTTTTTAAATAATCGAAATAAAATCAAATATATATTTCTATTCATATGTAAAATGTTAATTTTTTGTATTTTTTTTTTAAAAAAGATATGTGTTAGACTGTCTATATATCTCTCTATATATACGCACACACATATGTGTGCTTACAAAAACCACCCCATTTGCATGCTCCCATTCTCACATTCACATTACAAAGATATCTCAGCTTTACCACTCTTCTCCAAACCCATAAGCCAAAATAGCCAAAACCACTTTCTACCATTTGTCTATTTCTCCTTCAACCATATCATTCACATCTCCTCAATTTCGATAAAACAAACAAAACCCTAATATTTACTTGCTATCGCTATCTCTCTCCCTTCTCCTCTATAAACATACATATAAATTAAGTACACCAAAATGTGGACGATGGGTTACAACGAAGGAGGCGCAGATTCCTTCAACGGAGGAAGAAAGCTTCGTCCTCTCATCCCACGCCTCTCATCTTGTCCCACCGCCGCCGTTAACACCAACTCCGACCACCGCTTTAATATGGGTACCTCTTTCTCTCTCTCTCGTCAAACTTTCCAGTCTCTCATTCTCTTGTGTCTAATGCTCATTTTCTTGCTTGTTATGATTTTCACAGCAGTGGTGACAATGACGGCGGAGCAGAACAAGAGGGAGCTGATGATGCTAAACTCAGAACCTCAACATCCACCGGTAATGGTGAGCTCACGGTGGAATCCGACGCCGGATCAGTTAAGGGTTCTTGAAGAGCTTTACCGACAAGGAACTAGAACTCCTTCTGCCGACCACATCCAACAAATCACCGCGCAGCTACGACGGTACGGGAAGATAGAAGGCAAAAACGTTTTCTATTGGTTCCA